TGGTTCCTAATTTATATCAAATTAAATACAATGCCATTGTCGTTGCCGAAGTAAATCAGTAACATTATAAAACCAAAAGGACAACACGATCAAATAACAAAAATCTAACAATCTATCCTTTCATGCTAAAGAAAACTGAGCCAGCCAGTGATAGGTCGTCAACTGTCAAACTGATTTAGTAGTGCATGTCCTTACTCTCTTACAAAAGTAGATACATATCCACCTAAATATTCTGAATTCTATAGACGTTTAAAACATGGGTCTTAATTTATATCAAATTAAATACAATACCGTTGTCGTTGCCGAAGTAAATCAGTAACATTATAAAACCAAAGGTAATATTTTGGTCAGCAGTGCTGCTTACAAAGAAATTTCGATAAATTAATCTTTGTTTCGTTAAAAAAAATTAACAAATCTTTTACTTCCTAATTGGGAGGTTTAAATAAATACTGGAAAATTAATAATATAATATAATAAGAAAATATGCTCAAATAACTGAAAACTTACAATATATTCATAGTATAAAGAAAAGTGAGCCAGTTAGTGCTCGTTACCATCTATATCACTACAAATGTCCTGTCCAAGTCTTTGGAGTCATCACTTCGTTTTAGTTTTATATGGCCTAGATAAAAATCAACCCTGCTCGAAAAACTGAACGAACTGCTTTTTTTCCCCAAGAAACTTTCATAGGCTGTGGAACTTATAGGTAGATAGATAATATAATAGAAATGGAAATTATACGGAGCCCCACTTGTGGCAATAAATGCATATAACTTATCTCCTCGCACCTCGACGTATTGAACTCTATCTGTCAAGTACGACTCCAAGAACAATACTGGATTTGCTTTAAATCTGCTGGAACCCCCTATATATTTCTTTTACATTCGAATTATAAGATAGCAGCATAGATGAAAATATGTTTTAACTGCTTCAGTTAATACAATTACAAAAACAAATTACAAAACATCATAGGTCCATTTTTTTTAATGCAATGAACATGTTTTTTTTTTCTATATATGTAAGTCCTGTACCTATATGTCATAGTTTCGAAGATATGTACATTTTTACTTTCATTAAGTACTGTAGAAACCATATGGTATTTTGGCCATCAAACATTCAATATTGCACAAGTTTGTGGAAAAATGAAATATATATGAGAATCGCGCTCTGAATTTTTATCGTGACTTAATATTTACAAAAATCAGTTTTGGAACGTTGCTGTTTAGTGATCACTTTAATTCGATTTTATATATTGTGAAATCACATTGTCGGTATATTACGACATAGAAAACATTACTAAGGGAAACGGTAGACGGTTAAGGACGGATTTCTTCCTGAAAATATCCGGAAGGCCAGCTTACCTAACCGGTACAGTCAACAATGCATTTAGTGCCTTTCCTTCGGCAGAGAACAGCTTGCGTGAACACAGACCGCCTATGGGAAAAAGAATTTAGAAGACGATTAATTGTAATGTGTATAACCATCTTAGGGTTCACAGCTAAGTATTTCGAATAATTATTTACCAGCGAACAGTAGCAACTGGTTCCGATGGAAATATTTCCACTTAAGTTATGTCAGTTTATTAATAAGTGATTAATAAACTGAATTCTCCAGCCATAATATTGGAGGCAATGCTCATTTTAAGCAGCATATTTCAAAACTATAAACTGTTTAATGCAAACAAATTTAATAAAATTTAAAGGAATTACTCAGTCAAAAATTCAAGTGCCATCAACATATTTTTATAGGCTAAACAAACGTTAGTAGAATATTGTATCGAGAATCTCGGGCATTATTTTTTGAACGTTTGTTATAATTTACCTTACTTAGTGAAGTAAAAAGTAAAGGTTATAAAAATAATATATCTAATAATCGCATTCAGAAAGTTCAAAATACGCGTCGGTGACTGGTATTTATCCAAAAGGAATAATGTTTTAATATTAATATTCACTTAGGTATTTTGTCCATAAGCTTCTTTACTTTCCGATTGTTTGCGGAAATATAAAGTATCTACTGATAATAAATAATAAATAAAATAAATTATTTAAATTATTAGTATTATCATTATTGAGGTGTGTTGGCGGTTTATATCTTGGGAAGCGTTGGTAGTAGAAAAAAAAATAAAAACTTGCCCAGATGCATGCAAGCATAACCTTATGTTATACATGTTCTCATGTGTGCAGGATGTCCCTAAAAAATTAAAGTTATCTTTTTTTCCTTTTAACCCCCTATATATTTCGCTCATATTCGAATTACAAGGTCTTTTAAAAAATGTTGTACAAGCGTTAAGCATTTAACTGTTTAAATTAAAACAATTAAAAAACATCATATCTCCATTTTTTAAAAAATGAAATCAACGTTTTTTTTTCTTTCTTAACATCAAATGCTTGTATATAAGTAAGTCCATACGTATCTATAGTATAGTTTCGGAGATATTTGCATTTGTGCTTGACGACAGATCCATAATTAACCTTAATAAAACATGGTTCGATACACACGACACATCCGAAGTATGGGTTGATTCTTCTCAAACCAGTGAGACGAATGCAGCTTCAAATGAAGAAAAACGCGTCACTATAATACACGCTGGCTCAGAAGACGGATTTGTCCTAAACTGGTTGCTGTTGCATGTTTAGCCTCATAGAGCATTAATGAAACCATGTAAAATCAAAGGTCAGAACAGAAAATGTTACTCCTACGTTAAGACCTGGTATTATAAATTTGATACAAAACAACCTAAATTATTAATCTTAATGACGACTCTCATAATGAAACAGAATTAGATTTAAACATTTAGAATAAAAATGTAATTATGATAGATATTCCTTGCTATGAATTTATTGCGAATTTATTAATTTATTTAATGTCATTATTTTTTCTCAATGTAATTTAATAAGATTGTATCCTCCTAAATAATCAGAAAAATATATTTATTACCAAAAGCTTTGAGAATCCGTCCCTAATGTTCTGTCCTTTACTACCCACGGGACCAGAGTTTTATTGCCGTCGGCAGGTAACTTCCAGAATAGCTATAGTTACTCTTTGTTCAGTCCTTTAGAAAACATAGTACTTTAGCCATTAAATATTTAATATTGCTATTAAACGAAAATATGAATACTTAGTTATAACTTAAGGCACGAAGATGACCATGAGAATTCTAAAGTAGTTATTGTCATGTTTTAAATTGCATACATACAAGCGTTAAAACAATTATAAATATAAACTTTACTCGAGACAATTTGGTTACCATGACCTATGTTTTTAGTAATAAACATTTCTATTGTGGATATACTACAAATGTGCGCTGAAAAATTTGATTTTTTAATCCAATGATTTTTTTTCGAAATACTGATCTTAATTTCATCCACAAAAAAGCAATTAATTAAGATGACAATGGCAATTAATACATGACGGAAAAAAGATTGAAAAGGCTTTTCCAAAAATCTGCTTTATTCTACTTTTGCAATTTGAAGTTTCAGTAAAATAATAGTATTTGCTAGTTAAATTGTATTTTATTTAATTCAAACCAAGATCAAATTAGACTTGTATATAATGACAGCAAGCTTTGATATTAGGAACAGCATTTAAAAAAACATGGACCATTAAAAAAAATTGAGGGTGAGGTTTTAAAGTGTCTTCATTTCTCTTTAATACATCAATTTTACTTCCTTACACATTTTTCTTAATTAAACGAAATGACATTCAACAAGCTGAACAAAATTCAATGTCGTGTTTGGCTATGGATTTAGAATACTTTTTCCGATATATTACCAACATACAGGGTGGGAAAATAGTGTGACCCCTTATTTACTACTATTTTGAACAAATGTTGTAATAAGTGTTTTATAGATTCGATTAAAATTAAAAATATTCTCAATTATATTTGCTGTTTTGAACTAATTTCTCTCTGATTTTTAAAATGGAACGCTCTCTATTTAACTACTTTTATGGCGTTCAGGTATTGTCCTTCTACCACCTTTGTAAAGTATACCTATACCTATCGATTAAAATTTTTATATTGTTAAAGTAATTTAATATGTATTTAATACCCCGGTTACTTAAAAATACTTTTTTGTTACTCCGCATGTAATTTTCTAAAAAAAAGTATTTTGAATAAAAAGTTTTACCCATTGGAAAAGTTCATAAACACCTACTTATGCGACAATATGTAATCAATATTTTGAGTGTGAGCGAAAACGGCGGTTACTATTGAATTTTAAATGGAATACATTTTATATTTTTTGTATTCAGAAGATTGCTTCAATACAGTAAATGACAATTTTCTCCTATTTTTATACATCATATAATTTTGATTTCATTTAATAAATTCCAAAATAGTCTAGTTAAAGCAAATACTTCATAAATACATACAAATTTATTTCCAGCGTTGTCGACAGTAAGCTCACAAAAAAAGGTGCCTTAATAACAAACCAACCAAAATAAAACTGTATAATTTTCAAAATCAAATAAAATACTAAAATGCGAGAAAATTGCATGGCATATTCCGCTGAATCCGTTAATTGAAATATCAAAAAATTGTATTAATTATGATAAAAAAAAAGAATTTTGTAGATCATACCTGCATTACGCAAATAAAAAACAAAACTTTTTAAGCGCTTCCACCTGAATCATCAAAGCCTAGGTTCATCCGTGCTTCGAGCACATAAGCAGCGTCATGGTTGTTGCCTGGTCTTTGCCAAAAATCTACATAACAGGCTTCGCATTCTAAAACACAGAAAAGTTCGCTCGTGCAACAAAATTTAATCACGTTTATTTAAAAAAAGATTGCTTTCCGCCTAATGTCAAAAAACGCTTGTTTCCGGAATCGATTCATATAGCCACAGGAAGTTATCTGACTTATATTTATTGAATCGGCAACTCGTATTTTGTTGGCGTTAAATCGTCACAGCTATCCGATATCTTAACAAAGGTTGCACGCCACTGCGTAGACACGCAGGCGCCGACCTAACCCCTCAGTCATGGCCGCTTTGCCAGGCGAACGATTCGTTTTATCCCTATCGCAGAAATGTACGTCGCGTTATTTCTCCTATATCCCATTAACCTAAATCTGGGTGTTAAATCTGATGTTAAATAAACACAGGAATACTTTTTTAAACCTAGTGGTCACACGTTTACATCAATATTTACAAATGGAACCAGTACAGTGCCTGTTTTATGATTGGTTCGTTTTGAGCACATTTTTCCATTTCAAAGGAAGTAAAAGTGTTAAAAAGTGACATAATTAAATTGGATTTAAAAGTAATTGATAATCTGAGCTACTAAAACATTGCTGCGCGGCTATAATATTTACATGAATTTAATACAATCAAGTCATGGGATAAATAAATATTCAAATCGTCCATCTATTTATTGCAATTTACAATGATTCTATCTCAGTTTTATCGATCGTATATGTGATATATAGTAATTCAAAATAAGAGATTGTATCTAAAATTTGCGTCAATTTAAAAAGGACTGACGAATTATAGACATTAATAAAAGTGGGACAAACGAAAATCATTGGGTCGATAGACTGTTGCGTGTTAGTTTTAAAACATGTGTTTGAAAAGTGTTTCGGATTATTTTACGGTTATCTATCTGTACGATTAATATTACTATCAGACATACTTAAACGAGAAAATGAGCAATAGCGAGTCGTCATACATGGCGTTTGTCGTGAAAAATGAATCAAAAATTTCGCGATTGCGATTTGTGCAAACAGAAGCCGTTGGCAATTGAACATGGGCTGACTGGGTTCGCTTCTAAATGATAATAGTGATTGATTGAAAATAATCCAGCATGTAATGAAAAAATCGTCCTATCGCCATCAAAGATGATGTAATTTTGTTTGATGAATCATATGATGCTGACTATAATATTCATATTATGGTCATTTATTCGGAGTTTTGCAAAGACTGCCAAGTCGACGCCAGAAAAATCTGCACCCATCCCTCAAACTATGGAACAGGTTCCTGAGGAAGAACCACCTCATTATTCACCGGAACCCACCTATTCCCCTAGTCCAAGTCCTGAACCTGGTGAGCTTTTGAGTGAGATGTCAAATCCTACTAGCAGAATTTCTAGCGATAGTTACAGGTCAAGGTAAGGAAAATTATATATACCTAATGTGTATGAGCAATAAAAACATTAATATATGAGGAAGCGTCCTTTTAATACTAGTAATAATAATCTATTTATTTATTGTAATCAGGTAATATCAAACCCGTCCAACATTGTAAATATCTCGTTACTTATACGTGCAAGTTTAAAACAATTCATACAGCATTGAAATACCGAACAATGCATTACACAATATTAAAATTATATGCTTAAAACTTCAAAACCGAGCTCGCAATGTCAGTTATTATCTCAATCTTGTGTTATTATATCCACGAGTCTAGGTTTATAGTCGGTTTTATATAATATTTTTGGTTTATTTAATAATATTGATAAATATGCCTGTATCATGTAGTAGTTCAAGATTTTTGACTGTCAAAAACTCACACCTAGTACATCTGATTGCAGTTTTCTTCTTTTAATTCTTATTACATATTACATTGCTTTCCATTTTATCTACTATGATGCCTAAAAATTTCAAGCTGTGTTTTGACTGTAGGTACGAAGAACCCAAAAAACGCAAACACAAATTCCATTAGTGTGTCAGATTTGTAAAATTGGACTTTGTAATAGCAATAACATATTTGTATTTTTTATCGGTTGAAAAAAGGTACCGTAAAATTAAAAAAAAGTGCTTTAAATACTATTTACCTATTTTAGAAATGGTCTATAATAAATAATAAACTCAAAAGAAATCTATATAGTAAATAAATAGATAAATAAGCCAACAAACAAATTGTTTCGATACCCTACCTCAATTGTCAAAGCTAAGAAATTCGGGATTAATCTGAATCTCAATCACGTTCCAAATCACATTCTATCGCCAAACGAGTAGTTCGCCATTCTTAAATGTTTATGCTTGTTGGTGGTCGCCTTATGTATTATTATTGGGCTACTACTTCTTTCGTTGGTTGGTCTATTTCCACTAAACGGACCACAGAGAAACGGATTACAAACTGGTGTTGAATAAAACAAAAGTGCAACTTTGCTATTTAGTGGAATTTCATCCTGAAATACTGCAGAAATTTAATAGATAACAAAAAAAAAGATGTATTTGGTGGAAACAAGAGTGTCGAGTTTGTTTCAATTAAGGTTTCAAAAACAGAAACAAAACATAAACTGCACTGCCCCTTTGATGTAAAACCGGTTGTAGCCAAAACTCAGTGTCACCGTTTACGAATTACGCCCAGCATCTTAAAATTTATATTAGAGTTGAAATTGAACGTGGTAAAAAATATTAATTGGTCTGAGTAGAATACGTCAATATCAATTTACTTTGTCCCGGTATTCTTTAATAGTTTAATTAAGTTAATGATCAGAACAATTAATGGATTGTTCTATTTGTGGTAAAAGTATAACGTTAGATTATTGGTAACATGACGTATAAGTTCACGTCAATTCTCAAATTTACTGTGTAATAAACAAACGTTTTAATTAGTGTTAGATTTCTTGATATTTGTTACTGTGTTGTCTTTAATTCAATGCCAATCCTTTTATTATCAAGTAACTCAAATATAATGAGATATTGCAAGTAGATATGCAAAGGTAATGCGGCCATTGAAATCGTGACATAACCTCAAACCTTAGAACCCAGCGCTGGCTCGACGGCGAGCGCTTATCATAACGGATCAGTGGATGCTGCGATACTGTCTATAAATGGCGCACACTGTAATTGTTAAGACACCCTGTAAGTGTCCCTCAAATTCCGTTTGAACACTGGTCCATCTCAAATGAAGTTTTGGGCGGGTGGTCTAAAAGTCATAGCGGGCATCAAAAGGCCTTAAAGCGTTAAAAGCATTGCTCAATCCGTAAAGATGATAAGCGATTCGTTCGAATGCTGCTGTGTGCTGGTGTATCTGGCACTGCCACTCGGGCAATTTGACCAGCTTACAAATATTAGTAAATATAATTCAACATTCCTAAAGGATACCTTTGTAAAGGAAATATCTGTATTATTCCATCATCCTCCAGGTTTATTAACATATTCATACCGTGGAATAAACTTCTATATAATTAGTCATGAAATGACTACCGATTCATCTAACGGCTTCAGTGATTATCTCATACGAGATATCCGATCCTCTCTGCCCTGGATACCAGCGTGAATATAAGAGAGCAATACACCATACAAATCCATAGACATCCACGCAAAACAAGCACTATTTCACAAAAATATAAGCACTACGCTTCTAACAATGCAATTAAAAGATGTACTGAACAAAATTTTCTCAAATGAGACAATTTTTCCATCGATTTCTAACTTTTTTGGAACCGGGCTGGGACAAACATCCGCCAGGTGCAAGGGTTCCCTTGTCAATCTCAAGTGAAAACAAAATATTTTACGGAAGAAATAACACTGACATAGTTCGGGGCACGGTCTCTACTTTCATCCAACCAAGTCATGGTAAGCATTTCCCAAATTAAAAATATAATAATAAATACTGCCATTAACAGATTATTAGATAATAATAATAACTCCTTCGTTTCCAAATTAACATTCGTGGATTGAAAGCATTCCAAATCCAATAAAATGTTCCAAATTCTGTTCTGGAAACTCTGGAAATGATCCTTAGCAAAGCATTTTATGTGGGCTTATTCATTTTGTAATCAGAAAACTATGAGTGGCTTAGGATAACACTAAACTCAATCAGCTAACTAAATAAGACATTGTTGTGAAGTTGAATTTTAGAGTATTTTTGATATATATTTTTACATTATATTAAAAAGGGTCAGTTCAGCGTTGCTTAAAAATCGGTAAGCCTAACCAATCAAGGTCAAAAGTGCTCAGTCCCATAGAAGCCATACTATTTACCTAGGATTAATATGGTCCCAGCCAATAAACCAAGTTTAAACACTCCGATAACGAAAGTGACAAAAACGATCTTGTTTCTTTTTAAATTAATAAATTATTAACTGAAGTAAAGACATGTTTTGTGTATAATCTATACATTGTGGGTCACCATGGTGATGCATGTGTAAAAGATTTATGGTTAATTTTTCTTTAATTTCTCGAGACTTTTAAAAAGTTGACGATTTATAATTTTGAATCGCCATGGTTAGAACATTGTGCTAAAATTTTTTGTAATATTTAATGTAGTAACCATTAGTACTAGCAAAGATAAACACGCTCTCCATTTCTTGCAATACAAACACTACCCGTGTATATTCAGACCGTAAAATTGATATACATCAGGCAGACTTGCTGTTTTGAAAATGGATCGGGGCATATTTTGATCAAATACTGCCGTAAAAAATGCATTATCCGCCCTCAAAACTGGCGAAGTGTTCATTGAAGACTGCAAAATTTCATTGAGTGAAAGTAAGATTTCATGCTTCTTAATCGTTTTTAATATTGCCTTCAAAATTTCCAATATTACCAGAATAGGCAAGGCCCCTATATACTTAATAGCTATATGATATTAACAAACATCTGTATCTGTACCTTCGAGTACCGGCTCGGAAAGAAGCCCATAATGGTGTAATATCTGCCGATCTAGCGGAGACCATGAAATAAGACTGTCACTGGAAACAATTTGTCTCCAAAAGTTTTTCCTAATGAATTTCTGAGAGCTTGTAAATTGGTTCTGTTAAAGGCATCTCAGCCGGTGGGGTCTTGCTATTTATAGCGTATTTAAATCTTTGGATCTTCTTATTCTTAATATTAATATTCTTAATTCTATAATTAAGATGAAATTAATTAAATATTTTTATTAGGTATTGAAAAAATAGTATATTTTAATTTTTGAATTTGAAAAATGGTGTCCAAAAGAAAAGTTAAAGTTAGTAGAGAATAGCTGAGAATATGGAATTAAGGATTATTTTGCAGATTTGGGAAGAAAATGCAGAAAAGACAGTTTTTTATTAATTTCAATTAAATTCTGCAGAAACTTATATGTCTATTAACTACATTATATATTTTTTAAAATTTATTTAAATTTAATTGCATTACCAAGTATTTTTTAAAATTTTTCTATTCTTACGTCCGGATTCCCAATGAATATGTCATATATTAAAGAAATTATATGCTATCTATATTAAATGAAACTTATAAAATGTTGCTCATACACATTAATTAATATTATAAAGTCAAATAAACATTTAGGGTTACATAACTTTTAATTTCATCGCAGATCAGAATCTTCGCCGTACTTGACAAAATTGCATCACCAACAACAGAAAAACACTTCCAAACCTTCAACGACAACATCGTCCAGATATTCGTTGTACTCGAGAGAATCCTCTGTTGAAGTGGGCAACGAAAGTCGACAATCCGTCACTAGCTTATCGTCTTATTCGACGTCGTCCAGACACTACGACTTTATCGGTCAACGATCGATCGATTCAAGAGCGAGCGTGACTAGTCTGTGGTCTTCAGACTTTTCATCAAGAAGAGATTCAGAAGCTGTTCGCGAGAATGAAATTGACTCGAGTGACTCTACCAGAGCTTCCTTTGCTTCGGCAGGATCATTAGTGTCTTCCGATAACAATAGGCGATACTCTGAAGGAGTTGCCAAAAGAAGAAGGTCATCGGCTCGAGCGGCACAAATTAGAAGATTTATAAGAAGAGCACCATTTAGCTACGATAGGAGAACTACTGGAAGGTTGTTATTTAGAATCTTAAGATGACAAATACTTTGTCATCCTTATCGATGTACATTTATGAAGAATATTTTATTTTGTTATATGATAAGCCTATTTTTTCTATCTACTACTCAAATGCGCGATTTGTTTGTTCGCATCCCACACACTTTTCTATCCCGAAAATATAGTCGTCGACTTAAGATGTTGATGGTGTTTTAAAAATATCATGCCAAATACATTTTCTATGCTGACATGCTCGTTATCTCGCAAAGTAAATAGGACTGCACCGACTGACCCACATTGTCTGAGATTCAGGATCAGTGAATCGATTTTTTTATGTCTTCTGGTTAGTGAAGATTGGTCCAATAAAAATTGTGACATTGTTCTGTAATTTATTAATAAAACAATTTTATGCATACGAAGCACGCAAATCGTAAGTACCATTCCACAACCATGAGATACCATAATACTGAATTACAACATTTTTATACGTATTTGTTGACAATTACTAATTAATTAATTGACAATAATTCATTGGCTAATTTGAATTGATTAAGAATAATCCTTTTTATAAAAGGCGTATGTGGTGAAGGTTAGGCCGTTATTGTTATTTATGACTGATGTCCTGTCCATGTGGATCTACCAGCAGTTTTAGCACCCACTATACAAGGTATCCAGTTTTCGCATATTTCCTGTGGATCTGGTTTATATATTAGGTTTTCACATTACTGTCCAATTTTCTCGAATATTGAAAATTGGAAATAACAACAGAATAATAATTTCGCGGTTTGCATTATTTTCGAGATGAAAATTGTCGTTTAGTTAATTAATTAATAATTTTTTGACTTTTCCTAGAATAACCCCATATTCGTCTTATTAAGCTTTCAAAGAATGCATTTTTACAAACGTTATATGCGGCGAATTTTTTTTGCACAATCGACCATGGTTTAAGAGTAGAAAAGCAAATTTACATTTTTTACAACAATGTATTGGGTTGTTCGGAAAGTCATTTCGTTTTTTTTGGGGAACATGAAAGACAGTTTTCGTATAATGAATAAATATCTTATTAAATTATATATTGGCCATTCTGGTCCAACACCTTTTGCCATCTTTCTGGCAGTAACATAATTCCCCTCTCATAAAAGTTTTGGTCCTTGCTGGCAAAAAACTGGTTCAGGTGGTTTTTGACATCTTCATTTGAGGTAAAGGTTTTGCCATCCAAAAAATTTTGCAGGGACCGGAACAAATAGTAGTCGGAAGGCGCCAGATCTGGAGAATATGGTGGATGTTGCAGTACGTCCCATTCAAGCTGTAAAAGTTTTTGGCGAGTGACCAAACTTGGGTGAGGTCTCGCATTATCCTGGTGGAACACTACACCCTTCCTGTTGATTAATTCGGGCCTCTTCTCTTTAAGTGAATCATTCAATTTGTCCAGTTGATGACAATAGACTTCTGAATTAATCGTTGTATTGTTCGGCAAAAGCTCAAAAAAAACGATTCCTCTGACATCCCACCAAACGGAGAGCATCACCTTTTTTTGGTGAATGTTGGCTTTTGACACGCTTTGAGCCGGTTCATCTTTTCTGCTCCATAACCTCTTGCGTTTAACATTGTTGTATACAACCCATTTTTCGTCCCCAGTAATAATCCGCTTCAAAAATGAATCATTTTCTTGACGTTTGAGGAGCGAATCACACACGTCAACGCGACGACACAAATTTCGCTCCGTAAGGACATGGGGCACCCACACATCGAGCTTCGAGGTTAAGCCCATGCCTTTCAAATGGCCATAAACAGTCGAATTCGACAAATTTAATCTCTCACCGATCTCTCGTGTGATTATTCGCCGATTTGCATCAACTAATGCCTTTATCGCATCTTTGTCAGCTTCGACCGGCCTTCCAGACCGTGGTGCATCTTCGACATCAAAATTGCCAGATCGAAATTTTGCAAACCAGTTCTGGCACTGGCGTACTGCTAACACGCCTTCTCCATACACATCCGTCAATTTTTTTCTAGCTTGGACAGCATTTTTACCTTTTCTGAAGTAAAAAAGTAAAATATGACGAAAATGCTGCTTATTGCTCTCCATATTTAAAAGGGCACCAACCAAAAACTACTGCGTAGAATTAATAGAACTTTTTCACACACAAGCCTTGCAATATCAGCTCTCAAGACATATAATGGTTATGCGGCTTAAGTGTGAAGTTGGTTTCGAAAAAACGTAATTAAGTCCTCTGACGGGAAAAAACGAAATGACTTTCCGAACAACCTTATAATAAACAAGAAATAACACAAAAAATAATGGATCAATATGTCAAACTTGTCAACTTTTTTAAAATGTTCTTACTTTGTGATTGTGCATTGACATATGCAAATGCGCGAATCAGCCTTCTATTTTTCTGTTTATTTATATTTTTGTGAGTAGTTTTTATTAAATCAAAAGAAATAGATTAAGAATAAACTGAGCTTTTAAAATTTCTTTGTTTTAAATTTAATAAAAGAAAAATGTATTTTACAATGAAAAGATTTTCCAAACACAGCCTGATATTTAAAAATAATAAAACTTAACATTTTCGCAGGTAATTGGATACCGACCACTATACTACTTAATAATATAACAATGGCGTCAAGGTATATAATTCGCCGCACGATATACCGTTTTTACGACATTCTCCGGTATTTAACTCTGGTAAATGTTTATGAAGGCCTAACCGCAGACCTACACGGCTTGGGTTTCTCTTTGTAACCCTCAATAAATAGATTGGCAATTGGATTGACAATGACAATGACGTTCCAGATCCGTACTTCGGTACTTCGTGCATACAAATGTTGATTGCTGACGGATTTGCGTAGAGTTTCATCGGTATAATTGCTCGGTTATTATTAATCCATTCAGTGAAAAGTCCATTCTTATTTTAAAATATTTATTGTAAATATAAATGAAGGAGTAAATTTATTTAACTTATTTTTCAAGAAATTATAACTATGCATAACCCTCGCATCTGCAGAAAACACGAAAAACCACACATTTTTACATTTATTTATTTTAAGAATTACATATATATTTTCAAAAATTTTCAATTCATTTTTCAATTTTCAAATACCAAAGTCGGAAAAAACAAGTTAAACATTACTAATTGAAATTCTGAAATTGCTGGTTTCTCCTTATTTCGATTTAACGTTTAAGTCAACTAAAGCATTTGAACAGCTTTTAACTAGCTTTTCACAGCAGTTATAAGGTGGCCGCCCGAAGCGCAACGAAAATAGTTTGCGTTGAATATCCTTGGGCTTATTATTCGAATATGAAAACGTGTTTAAATATTTAAGGTTCACAAAATTTGAAATTGAATATTCGAATATTTAAATTCTAAATTACCACTTAATCTTAGAGCACCTAGCCACTTTGCGTCACATATGCCTAAATTTTTGATTCAATAGTATAATTGTTACATTGTGGAAATGTTTTGCGTCAAACTAAAAAGTTTTTTTAAATTGGAGTGGTACATCCTGCTGGGCGATAATTTTTATCAATAAGACTTCGTAACTTTTAAACAGTTCTAGATAGAATGAGGGATCGCTTGATATAGGATTAATATGTTATTTTTGTTAATAGGCAGGCGGTTTGAGCGAAAATGAAACTTTATATGCACTCCATATTTCTTAAAAATTTTGTATTAATGAGATTATTCAATGCAAGCGTTTTTCAATTTCTTTTAGTTTTTTTTCTTGCTTTTTATATGATTGTTAAAATTTCGTTAATACGGCAGCGGTCATTACAATGATGGCTTAAAATTTTTTACTTGATTTTTATTTATTTTGCATTGTCAATTTCATTTTTTTTTAATCGTCAACGCTATATGCTGGATCAAAGTTTTGCATCAACAAAACGCAACTATCCGGTTAATGTATCCTCCAGAGGGTGCAGCATCAGGCATGTACATCATTTAATTTTGCTCTTCTTTATTGTATTGCACTCTGTTTTTTTCAACTTAAAAGTTAATTTCGCAATACAAAACATTCATAGACGGTCCGTGGCAGCAATACTCATTACACGCAGGATATTTCTAGAGTATGGGTTTGTATTGAAGTTCTAAAGCCACAATTTAGTGTGTCCTTTTAAATAACACGAATATTTATTTTCGAATCTTTTACCATTGGCGAATCTCATTTTCTCACACTTCATTTGCCTAACTTTTGCCATTTATAAATTGTAATTTTGAAAATATGTAATTAACTGGGTTCGAATAGTGTCCCTAAACGTTTTTGAGCGACACAGAAGGTCTGTAATTTTTGACGAAACTCATATTCATGTACTTTTTACTATATTACTAGATTATCATGTAGTGGAGAAAATGTATTTATAATTTATAGGTAACATTAACAGAAGTTTTAAGGAGAAGTGGGTAATAAAAAATACAATGTTTATCAATTTCTGATGTACATTATAACAAATATTCTAATTCTAAATTATGAGATAATTATGAGACATTTTTTATAGTAATGTAACAATTTAAAATATTGCAATTAGATTATTATAATTAATAACACAACAATAACACTGAAAATGACGAGGAACGGTCTTCACAATATATTGCTTCACATTTTGCTTAAGAATGAGTAAATTTTTATTTCATTCGTTTTCGTTTGTCTTTTTTTTAGTTAAAATTCAAAAATAAAATAAAATAAATAAAATATAATTTATTTCTAATCGCTGATCTACCCGTTGTAGAGACAACGGGTAGATCAGCAACGTAGTATAATCCGATTAGCAATGTCGAACTACAGGAATTATCTGATTTAGTTCTTTAAAACGTTGCCTTTTCTTCTGCACATATGCATTCGAATCAGAGTAACGTTGATACGTCGAAGATTTATCCCCGCGTGCGCATCAAATGCAAGGGTTACAATTTTGGGCATTAATTTTACGCGGGACATAATCGAACCAAGAACATCGCTACAATGTGCATACCTTCTAATAACATGCGTAACTGAATGATTATACACGTAGAAATGTGGTGGTGAGATTAACCTTATCTTATCTAAATAAAGTAGTTAGATTGTTGACACCACGTTGGAAAAAAGTACCACCAGTTCGGAGTTTTTGGCGTTCGTTGTTTTATTATTAGGATTAATGTCTGTTTATGCTAGGAAAATAAGTTTTCACAGAAAACCTACCAAGATACCTAGAATAGATTCCGATCACATATTGCATCCTTGTCTCAGGTTTGTATCTAAAATTATTTTGCAATACATGCGTACTATCCCGGCCACGCGGTAAATAGGTCTGAAATTTTCCCATAGTTAAGATCGTTTTGTGTTGTGTGTGTGCGTTAATATTAGTAAAAAATGCATCGAAATTGCCAATATAAATGTGTATGTCCCCTCGGATCTCGAGTACAATGGTGGCCACTCAAACACCAAAAAGCAGATTTCCGTTACAACTAATTCGATTCTTGTTAGTTTTTAACCATACTATTCAATAATTTGCTATCTAAAAATATGAATCCTATGGCAGAATTAAAAAGCGACTATTTCAAGAATAAATATGTTCCGGGGGCGGACGATATAAGTGGCACGTACTCCCAATTTCTTTTCCGAGGAACAATTCGTTTTCGACTTCGTAATCTGTCTGGTAAACTTGAACTCGATTAAGTAGTATTTCTCCTGTTCTTTATATTAACCCAAAAGTAACTAAATTTTTTACAATATGGTGTTGTGTTACTTGAATGTTGCAACCGACGGCTTCTAAAAGAAATTAAAAACTACATATTTTTCTACTCCCGTCTGTAAAATACCTAATTACCCACCGATCCAGCGTGCGGGAAGAGTCACTTTACCACGTCAGTTTCGTTTCCCATGAATCCGAACCACTTCGGACATTTCCGGGAATTTACCGCACGGATTTAGGAGCAATCGGATGTTTTCGGGGATATTTCCCACGCTTTGAATTTTGACGTTTTGTGAATTCTGACGGTCATGTCAGTGAATGTATTCATGTTGTTTTGCGAAAATGTACCCAAAAACTGTCGTAAAAACGTCCGGTAAACGTTTTAACTCACTCGTTTATAAAAAACTCGCTCCGCTCGTGAGTCAAATGCCGTTTACCGCACTTGTTGCATAATATACTATTTGAGGTGTGAAAAATAGATATAATTTTTTTTCTGTGATAGTAACGTATTTTGCAATTTCGATTACTTAATATAAATTTTATCAAAAAATCTGTCGTTACAAACATAAAATAATATTCAAAAATCTATATGGTTACTGTATGTGTATATATGACTTGAAAATGGGTGACGACACCTGTAATTATTTCATTTGACATAATCTTCGCTTTTTACTATTCGTTTGAAATATTTGTCTCTGAAGTGTAAAACCTTTTCTGCATTATAGAGTTTGCCTAGACTCTTTTTACGTTATATTTAAAAAAAAATTATGTCTGTGGAAATTCAATACCTACATATATCAGTAAATTTTAATTAAAATTTCCACCGATATTCCTGAAAATTTTAATAATAATATTACCGGCTTTCGTAAGCTCTCTTCTTAGAGATTCAAAGTATTTGTTTATAGAAACTTTTTTTCTTAAAGAACATAATTTTTTCTTATTGCATACCTTTTGCCCATCAACGTAGTCCATTTTCACTAACTATGCCCCCGACATAACTGCTTTACTTTTTAAAATAGATAAGTATTCGGTTAAAAGACGTATTTAGCAAAAAAAAATAAGTTTTTAATCACTTAATGGTGTAAAACAAAAAAATATAGGGATGTGTTATTAAAAAAACGGATATTGTATATTCAAATTTGTAAAAACTATAATCTCACCTATTAAATATTTTTGAAAAATATAAAACCCTGTCCCCAAAATTTGATTATTTGAATTATTTTTTGACTTATCTTGTACAGCAGAAACTTGCTTTTAATGAGATATCTATTAGTATTGCACCATATTGTCTTCAAACACAAAATCTAAATTTGCGTTTGTTAGACCCTGTTATCAAAGCCATAAATTTTAAACACCACATTGATGACGCGACGTTTTTATATTTCAACATAAAAACAAACACAGGGTAAAATTTAAATGTAATATAATTGACAAATTATTTTCTTCTTCTAGTTTTGATGTTGAAAATGGAGCGAGCCCAGGGCGTAGCCCACTTGACGGTTCCGCGTCACCTTCTGCGGGATTGGTACTTCAAAATCTCCCCCAACGACGGGAGAGTTTTCTCTACAGGTCCGATAGTGATTTCGAAATGTCTCCCAAATCGATGTCGCGAAATTCGTCCATTGCCAGTGAAAGGTCAGTATCAATACGCCAGAGGCAGCACCAAAACCGACGCTTCCCAAACATTGTTCGTAAAAATTGCATTACGATTAATTTCCTTGGTGTGCATTAGCCATTTCCGGAAAAGGCTTATGTTATTGAGCCTCGACCTAGAAATTTAATAAACCGGGATCATAGATAAACCATCGCTATGCGGCCCGGAATATATTTAGTGGAAACGTATCTTCAGTGAACCTGCCGCAATATTAAGCCTTTGAAATAAATCTATTTATACATTTTGTTGAGCAAAGGGCTCCTCTTTCTGCCTTAAAGAATTTTCCCTTTTTATGCTTTTAACAGGTGCAATCGTTCTTTCTTTTACTAAGAAAATGATGCTTTTTTATTTCATTTCGATTAACAAAAGTGTAGTTTTGTAGAAGAACGAAACTAACGATTTGGAAAAGTACTGGGGCGTATCTTTGATATACCCCGCTCTATAAAATATAATATTTTTTGTTGTTACAGATTACAACAAATATTACATTTTTATATTCCCGAAAGTTGTGCATATTCGATATCTAATTCGGCTTTAATTCGAAATATTGCAAGTACAACATACAGAAATGTAAAATATGCCATGAAATTTGACATTAAGAAAAGTTATTTAGAATTAAAAGATTGTCTACTATCCAAAAAAAATCTATAGCAATTTATTTGTTTTTCGTTGAATCAAATAGGTCAATAGTTTCTGTGTATTATGTTAAGCATGCTTATAAGCGTAGAGTGCGACTAAACGTTTGCACATTATCTACCCATAATTCTTCTCTGTTATTTCAGCGCAACTCTCATTAAGTAATAATTAAAAAAAAAAACTTTTTAAGAAGTTTATACCAAAAAAACGTTTATTTCTCTTAGTTACGATTTAACGCACAAAAAATAAAAGGTCAGAATTTTGTACAAAAATACTTGGACATAACAGTTTTATTATTCTTATGTGGAATATTATCATTACAAATATGGCAGAAGGATAACGTTTTTATTATAAAAAATTGTTTTATTTGTTAGATAAAATGTCAGAATTTATTTTGTTTTTGTAAAAAATTATTGAATTCGTGAGAATTATCAATTGTCAATTGTTATTTATAGCCGTAATATTTAAATGGTAATACAAATAGGTATCCCATTTTGAATTTTGCACGAAAAAACTGGGGCAAATTTACGTTTTGGGAAATTGTCGCACTGTAAATTGACAACTAAAAGGCATAATGAGAATATCAATCTTTATGTAGACAGGAGGATTCACGATGTCAAGTTAAAATTTATGGATTAAAAGACATGTGATCGTTCTGTTATTGTTTTCTTTTTCGTTGTTGGTTTCCGACTATTTTTGTAAAATGTCTTTATGTTTTTTTATTTTAACGGTTTTTGAGAAATTATTTTTTCCATAATTTCCTGCAAAACAGCTTCAACGTTATGGTGGGCATAATTTATTAAGGTTAAATGTCAAAGAAATTTATTCGACTTTATACAGGATCATTACAAAATTTGCGATTTTATCGTTAGTTGGAAAACTTATGAAAAATTCTATTCGCGTTCGCACATACGTTTCAATAATATCATGTTAATAGTTAGTTAGCATTTCGAAAAGTGAATATAATTCGGACTATTTTATCATATTTGCCAAAAAGATATTTGTTAGTATAATGTCTGTAACTTGTTGCATAATACACTATTTTAAGTAAGCAAAGTATTAAACCGATTCTATAACCTTAAAATATAAATGTACCACTTAATTTAATATTCAAGGCTCACTAGATAGCGATAAGTTACCGTATTTTGGTAAGTAATTTATTGAAACTGATATTACGGAAAAAAATTGATTACTCTAAACCCCTAGTAATGAGATTAACTATGTGAAGGTCCGTTTTTAGGAGACCATAAAACCCAAAAAATGACCCCGAGCCCAAATGAAGATTTCTTGTAGGATTCTTAATATTTAAAAATAAATGTTTTGCATTTCCACGCTTGGGTGAAACACCTTATATGTAAAATATTTTTCTTTGTGTGTCTAAAATCTAATCTTAAAAATACTTCTACATATGCTATGTATATACAGGGCTAACACACAAGCACGCAAGTCAATTATCTTCCTCTATACCTCATCAACCAATAAAGTCAGGATTTTCGTGCATACGGCAATCTAGAAAAAAACTCTACAAGAGACCCTTTAGTCCTTGTGTGAATTTTAACTAAATGTGACTTATTCAACGTCCGTAGTCTAACAAAAATGTTTTGTTCTAGACTGTAAAAATTTTGTTTTGGTAATTTATTCCCAATTATTTGCTGAATAGTTGTTTGAGTTGCCCTGTATACTTGAAAATATTTTGCTGATACACATGCTAACGAATAGTAAGATAAAGATAATCTTAACTTGATTGATCTATGGACCGACGCTGATTTGTGTGAAAATCTGTTTACTGGAAAGCTTACTGCAGTATTCTTTTATATTTGGTTTTGTCTAAATAATGCAAAAGTTCTTTGTCTGAATGTGGCTTGGTTAACCTATATTGAAAATTATACTTCTTGACATTATAAATAGTTTATGACTGTATGACTGTATGACTCATTCTAATAGTCAATGACTCTCTGCCCATCATTGATTAAAATCTACACTAAATAAGGCTCTCAAATAATCATAAACTCCTATATTTTTAAGCTTGGTATTTGCATCGTTCTTAAATAAGTAGTAAGATCTAAGCCTCGAAAAGTATTCATTCACATCCTGTTAACTTTAATGAGGAGGAAGTTTTTTTTCATTATTAATACACATATTGCATATTTTCAGAAGTCAGTAGTCTTAATTAAAAGTTTTGCTTAATTTCGAAAGTTTAATCAAAACTAACAAACAAACTAGCAAAGTGAGGTGTTGTGAGAATAATAGAAACTTATGGTATTCAGCGCTTTCATCATATTTTGGTTTTTAAAATGTTTCCATAAAAAATATTTGCGGATATAAAAGAATCTCGCAGCAATCAGCTACCCTGTATAATTGCGTATCAACGGCGCATTAACGTGTCGAACAGTATTTAATTAACTTCGAGAAATAACAGGTGCATGCAGTACATACAAAAGAAAAAGCATAGGTCTCAATGTGCTGCCATGGGCAACGCTCTTGGCAACTACCCGAAAAAATCTGGCGGAACTGTAAAGGCTACACATTTTAAAAACATAGTATATTATAATAGTGAATCGCAAATTTTTGAAAAATCGTTTGAAATGGCGACAACTTAATTTGGAACTTTTTTATTTTAGTTTTATGGTTACGACTTACCTAGAAAAAAGATAAATATAAAAACAATCTTTACTACTAAGTATGGAGGAGAGAACGTTTACATTCATTTTTCACCAGATTTTAGAAATGCAATAATGTGTAGTAACGAGGAAACTGTCAACTTCCTGTAGAAGCTGAAGAAAATTTTAGGATTCTAACAAGTAGACATTTTTGGTATATTCCTTTTTTCAAAATCTTTTTATGATTTAGAAACCGGTCTTTTTCTGCTCTTAAAAAGAATTAGAAACAGCGCACTGTTGTCTGTATCGGTATTTAACCGAAATTAAATGGAGAACATCACACTGAACCTGCAAACTTTTGTCTGCACCTTACAAGACTTTACCTAGTTATAATGTTTCCACTATAGGCTTTATTTTGAACTTTCAGCTGTACCTGCTAAAGCATGTAAAATATATTCTTCCCATTTATTTCTATTCTAACTATCTAAAATATTTCGTCTATTTTCCAGATTTAAGGAGACCGAAAACATTTTGGACAGATCGTATGTATTTGTTGGCGATTTAGTTTTCCTAGTTATTTTAATTTTGCATTTTCTGCATGCTTTGTGTGTTACGACGCGAGGCGACGGCGCGGCGGTTCAACTATGAGAAATATTTCTACCGCCACGGCAACATATTTTATTTTTATTGTTATCGGCCGCTTAGTATTTTGGGCAGCATAAATATTCGTCTGTTTCGCATTTGGCAGGGCTTTTGCTTGATGGGATGATTCCTAACTTGCAATGTTCAGTCAGCCAGCAAATAAATAAGATGACAGAATTGAAGTATATTGAGGAGTCGTTTTTTTATTTATACAGCACTATGCTATTTTAAAATTCTAAATCATATTAATGATTATAAAGAATCAATTGAAAGATTACATTCTAGTCCATGGTCTGAAAATATGTTTTCATATTTGAACCGTATTCTATAAATCGCAAGTTCATTTTGCTTAGTCTTCTTTGCATGGAAACATTAGGATTTTGGGCTGGTTTGCCGCTCAACTGTACCAATTTTTAGACATATTCATTGATATTCAACGAAACGGGGACATTTTATTTTAAGAAGCGAGAATTTATTTTTTTTATTTTTAGTTAATTTTCAAGCATTATTCATAAACATATATTCTGAATACCCTCTTCACTTTACACGACAGCAAAGCATCGCAACAAAAATTAAACCGAAAACGGATAATGTTCGTTATTTACCTTGGTGTGATTTATCCACTGAAATATATAAATTTAAGACAACCGAAAATTTGGTTCAGGTGCGGCACTCAAGTTTAAATTTTAAAAGGTCGGTTAATAGTATACCCGAAACTTTACAGGATAAATCTGTTAGATTTACAGGTTTTTCATTATAAGTTTACATGTTGTTCACTGCAATAAGTTTGGGTTATGATTGACAAAATAATTGATTATATCCTAATTTATATTGTATTGCATGCTCAAAGGCATCAGAAAATTATTTTTAAGAAATGAGAGCATAACGTTAATTTTTATCAATTTGCCTTTTTCATTATTGAAAAAAAATTGATTGATTTGCCTTTACAAAACCATTTGTACGTAGTGATACATAAGCATAAGCATACAAAGTGTCTAAGTTTTATTTCTGTGCTTTTCTGCATAATTTCCTAAATAGTGCCGATTTCTGAACAAAAATTGGTACCGGGGAGGTTTTGATATGAGGTATTTGAAATTAATCTTAATGTTACTCTTACTTGCAGGGGAGCTACTTACATGTCTTTTACTTTCACTCCTTCACACTGTCAAACGTTCATAATTTTTTGTCCTGCATTGCATATTTTTGATGAAAAAGAATAAATTCCTCAATCATTTTTACGTCAGGAGGTCCGCTTATTAGAAGTTGCTAAGAATGAGTGTCAAAATTTATTTTCCTTCCAAAAATATAATAAATATAATTTCTCATACCAAGGACCAGAAGAATTTTCGTTCCGAAATCGAGATTATTTCAGAAATTATAAAGATAGGGCAAAAATAAAACTTGGAACTCGAAAACGAAGAAATCTAGGCTACACGTTTTAAAAACTCAAAATACTTAAGAAATTGCTCTGTAAAATACTGAAAACTTATTAAATAACACCATGCCTAAAAAATCAAAAATTTAAATGTAAATTATAGACTTAATGAGGACATACAAAAACATATACAAGCCTGTCGGTTAACAAATTTTTAGAAGAACCGACTCTAAAATAACCAAGACTGCTTAGCTGTTACCAAAATAATTCGCAAATTACATGCACCTTTGACCAAATGATGTTTAATTTTAATCAAATGATAAATCCAATAATATAGTTGAATGGTTAATATCTGTGATTTACTTATCAACATATATCATAAAATTGAACGATATACGGATCTCATAATTTAAGCGCAAGCAATTACCATTAGCGAACACGCCAGCGCACATTAGCTGCTCCAAATTTGTTATACGGCCTTAATAGGTGATCACCTATATTTTTAAAATGTTTCGGCTCGGAACATAAAATTATAAGTAACTTTTTGACATTTATGCGATATTATTTTGTGAGCAAAGGAAAGTTTTTGGCGCAAATATATATAAACTCGATGTTTCTTAACTGTAAAAGTGAGCTATGAAAATACTTTTGCGTGGTTAATTTCTTGAAAAAATAGAACAGGATTGGAAAAACCGCAACCTGTTATTCTACCTTTGAAATATTACGAATAAACACAAACACAAACAAAAATTTTTTTGATGATACCAGTCCCAACAACTTATTAGGTTTAAGTTAATTTCTAACAATTTTAATTTCTAACCAAAACCAAAACTAACCAAAATATGTAGCATTATTGCAAGAGAAGAGTTTCGTGTGTTCACCTGACACAATCAGGGGAGCGCTCCAAAGATCATGAAACTCATGTGACGTAATTTATTTTCCTTGATTTTTTTTCCAAAGAAGGCAAGCAACTTTGTCCGGTAAATCGAAGCATCATTTAATTCGCAAAGATATGCAGATGCAATCAGCACATAACTAAATTATTGGATTCAAAAGCATGACAAACGTGCATTTTGTTCCTCTAAAATGCGTTTGAATATTACGTTATACAAAGCGAACTATTTCATCTGTTGCAACGTTGGTAATTCGCTATTAGGTGATACAGCAGCATAGAGATGAAGCTGGTTCAAAGGCAATCATAAACACAATATCAGAGAATTTACAGTAAACGCAAAGATAGACGAAAAGATTTTTTAATATTACAAGGTGTCCGGAATTGGACGTCAATATTTTAAGCACTCATTCTCTGCCCTAAAATAGAAATAATTGTTCTTATAAAAAAAAGGCGGACAAGTATTTAAGATACATGGTGTTTAAGACGAGAACGTGTAGAGGGTTTTTTAATTATTTAATTAAGGTATTTGATCCTTTCCTGAAAATTTGTAGTTATTGATTTTTAGTAACTTTGGCTGTGAAATTTGAAAATTTTACATTTTCTTCACAAATAAGATAATCTTCTCACAGCTCGCACCAACGCACCGCTTGTAGTAGGTGTGTGAAACAAATGATACTAAATCAAATAGAGAATTAGAATATGTGTGTAGGCTGATCCGTTTATTATTTGATGCTACCTTTCTCAGAATATATAAGATATTTAAAAGAAATTTTTGGATTCATTTATACTCTTAGCATATTTTATTAATATTATATACAAGATATATTTCATATATAATTCCTATACCTAACCGTGTCTGAATTTTATATCCCAAATGACATTGGCTAATGTAAATGTATCTGTTGATTTCTTTCACTGAAAGCCTTTTTTTCTTTGGAGTTTAGTTCCTTATAAAAGTGGCCTGTGCTTATATTTTTAAAAATAAATAAATACGCGTCAACAGAAAGGAACATTATAAATGTACCAGATTTTTATAAATTTATCGTAAAAACTAGTAGATTTCAAAATATTAGCAATAATACGTTTGATTGAGAAAAATGCTGTGACAACGAAGTAATGCAGAAAAAACAATCACCTAATACAGAAATGTCACTATTTTGGAAAATAAATATTTAGCAGTTTAATGCCACCTAACTTTTCTAAAAAAAAATGAATAATGGAGAAAATACCGTAAAAGTATACGTAATTCCAAACTTTTGTCTTTTAGGTTTATTTAATATTTTTTGGGATAAGGTGTCATCCCGTAATAAACAGACCATCCTATACATGGCAAAATAATGGAGGTGGTACAAAAATATCGTTCCTAACCATCGACAATCCAAGAGTATTTATTAATAAACATTAATATCTAGTTTATTTCTACCTAACAAAACAATTTTTGGCAATTTAATCAATTGTTAACGTTTGGATCAAATTTAGGGCGTTCTCAGAGCAATAACCTCAAAATTGACAACTACACTACTTTCCTAGTTAGTGAATTGACTTGAAGTGCAGGATTGAAATAAGATTTCGTTTTTAATTTGTCTTGATTAGTTTATAAGAACTTTTTTCTACTCCCGTCTGTAAAATACCTAATTATCCACCGATCTAGCGTGCGGGAAGCGTCACTTTACCACGTCAGTTTCGTTTGCCACGAATCCGAGCAACTTCGGACATTTCCGGACCGCACAGATTTGGGAGCAATCGGATATTTTCGGATATATTTCCCGCGCTTTGAATTTTGACGTTTGTCAATTCTGACAGTCATGTCAATAACTGTATTCGTGTTTTGCGAAAATGTACTCAAAAACTAACAGTCGTAGAAAAAGTATAGTATGCAACACGTTCGGTAAACATTTTAACTCACTCGTTTATTAAACACTCGATCCGCTCGTGTCAAATAAACTCGTGAGTCAAATGCCGTTTACCGCACTTGTTGCATAATATATTATTATTTCTATTTTATAGCGGAAAATTAGAGGTTAAAATATTGACGTCTTATTTTTTTCATGTCATATCCTTATGCGTTTCTGTGTTATAGGTTATTTTACATTTGCATTCCTGACAATAATTTTGATATAAAAGATTTGTAATCACTTCAATGGATGCTTTTCTAAATTTGCTTAAGATAAAAGCGCCAAAATTTATTTGCTTACATTAGCGTTCGTCACTCACAGCTCAGTTCCTCGAAATTTGTAATCTGTGTCATTGATTTGTAACAGACGTGCATTATAAATCTTGCTTAATGTTTAATTTACTTTTATACCATTATCACACTGATATTCGTTAAATTCAAAGTGAAGTTTCGCAATCAAAGAAAAAAAACGTTTTTTTATCCACCTTGCTACTTAATTAAATTAAATTAAATTATCGGTGACTTATCAACTTATTTGAAAGCCAAATACAACATTTTCTTGAGTAGTTTAGAATGTTTAATCAAAGGCCCAAAGACTTGGAAAACGAAAAGCCTAAGACAGATTTAATTTTTTTTTTACCCCACAGCACTCTTTGTGCGGCACGAACATTATACTTGTCGCCGTTTTATCAAAGGCAACATACATCTGTATAAACATTGAAAACTTTTTTAACCAACATTACACGTAATTGTTTCAGCCATGGCGAAGATCTTATCGTCACCCCATTTGCCCAAGTTCTCGCCAGCTTGCGAAGCATTCGCAACAACTTTCAGTGTCTCACTAATGTACCGTCGAATAAGTAAGTAAACATGCACAGGAGACGTTGATTTGGGGCTAGGCATTCCCAGTCTTATTTTGACCCATATAGTTACACCATTTAAATTGAAGGTTAAGAATAGCGTTTCTCAAAATCGGTTAGAACGCTCTAAGATTTATGTGTATATATACTTAAAAAGCGCAAAATAATTCAGTCAATCTAAAATTTTGGATAAGTTTATAACTTTTTTATTTTTGTTGTTTTGTTTCTTGTTATATTGGTAACTAATTTTCTTCACTTTTGGTAGTATTAATCATACAGGACAAATCAAAATGTTTTTTATCATAACTTCAAAACACTCTGTGGGAAAACAGAGGGGATAACAGGCAGTTTGCTGCAATCTTTTATATATTCAAAATCTTTTTTTTTATCATACCACAATCTCATTTGGCGGAATTGTTTGTCGAAATGTGTATTTCAACATTGCCGCAGTATAATATTTTTCTTTTTTTTTTTTTCAAAGAAACTTTCACAGGCTACTGTAATACTTTTTATAAAACTTCTGGATTCCTCCTGCGTCGGTTTTTGTTGACTCGAACTAGCTAACGTTTGGCCAATCATCCTGTTGGCTTCTTCAGAGCTTGACTGAAACTGGCTCGCATTTTACTCTGTACCTGTTTTTATATTGCTTGAGAGGGGCCGAGCTAAATGAGGGGCATAAACACCGTCTCGGATGACTGATTCCCATATTGGTGAGTCGCGGTTAAGATTATTAAGTTCCTTATAGATTTTGTATAGACTCTCGGATGTTCCGTTGGTAGAAGAATTGATTACATGCAAGAATTTGCGTTTTATCGAATAAAATTTGATGTCCGGTTTCGTGATTGTGTTCGACAACTGCTGATGAGTTTATTTGTCTTAGTCTTAAGGCTCTTTCATGTTCTCTTAGCTTAGTTGATATTTTTCGTTCGGTCCCTTCAATGTATTCTTCGTCGCATATGCATGGAATGCATCTCAAATGTAATTTTGTCCTTGATGGATCGAAGATGTTGAGAGGTTTTAGGACAAGTGGTGAATCTATTTTTGAATTAAATCACTTTACCTCTGCTCTTCTATTTAATAATTTCCACATTGAAGATATTAAAAGTTCCATCATAAAATACACTTCACCACAACCTTTCAATGACAATGAAAACGTAAGCACTTGCGACTGTTGTCCTTCCTTATATTCAAAACATCACTGACCACATATCAAAAGTTTTAAAGGTCAAAAGCAGATTTGCCACTTGTCCCAGAATCTCTCAACATCTTCGATCCATCAAGGACAAAATTCCATTTGAGATGTCAGGAGTTTAAAGCATTCGAAAAATATCAACTAGGCTCAAAGAACATGAAAACTGCGTCACACAATCACGAAACCGGACATAATTTTATTCGATAAAACTAAAATTCTTGCATGTAATCAATTCTTCTACCAACGGAAAATCCGGGAGTCTATAGAAATCTATAAGCAATCTAATAATCTTAACCGCAACTCAGGCCTCTACATGTCACCAAAATTTTTAGGAAAAAAAATCGATTTGTTATGGTTTTCAAAAATTAATTAAATTATGATGGAGGAAATTGTAAAAAGAAGCTGTGAAAGTTAGCATTATTATATAGTAAAAATTGAGTTATGGCTAAAAAAAATATTTCAGATCAAAACGAAAAAAATTTACATATGTCCACCGATTATTTGGTATAATTATAAATCAATGACGATTTTTTTCTTTTATACTTTCAACCTACTGCGTGCAGAATGGCACACAATTTTTCGATAGACAATAACTGTAATATATATGTAAAGTATATTTACTGGTTATCCTTTTTTGGTTAGGGGATTTAATATATTATTAATATATATCGCTACATTTTTTGTGATTTATGAAATAACTGTACTCAATTATAAAAATTACAAATAAATGATGTTTGTGAAATAAGCCTGGAATAAAGTAGCAAAATTGTTTTAAATAAAATCGTATTAATTTGAGCGACAGGGTTGATAGTCCTGCTATTATTGTGTTACAGATCCAAGCGGTCATCTGGAGCCGCCAACACTTGGTTTCCCCAGTCACGTAATTTAACTCCCGGAGGTAAGTTGAGTTTACGGACAAGCTTGCTCTATTAACTAAAACAAATAGTTGATACTATTTCGCATATCTGATTTCAGTTAATCGTTATTTACGATCTGTTTCAATGTGCTTGTTTTCCTTGTTTTTTTCTTTATTTTAAAAGCTGTTTCACATGTTTACCGATTTAAATTTGTTTTCGTAAAGCCTCAGGCCATATTCCATTAATAGACTAATTAAAGGGAATATTTTGATTTATTTTCATTTTCAGATGACGCATACATGAAGCTGGCTACGGAAACTATGGAGGAACTCGATTGGTGTTTGGACCAATTGGAAACTATCCAAACGCATAGATCTGTATCAGATATGGCTTCGCTTAAGGTACATGCAACAAATAAATGACAAAAGGTCAACAAACAAATGGCAGTTGTCGACAAGTAATAATTTTATTTAAATGTTATTTAAAATTATTGAGGGCCGCAATTTTGGTAATACTTTTTATATTTTACTTTTATATTGTGCTTTTTTCACTCTGTCGACATTTCATTTCTGAACGCTGTGATGCTCCTGGTTGGATTTCTCGGTGTGTAATTAATTTTTTATTTTTCATATATACAGTGTCGGCAACTACCGGACAGAAATCAGGTTTATCTAAAATGGGACACTCTCGTTTGGTTAGCTTTGTTTATGGTTCCGTTTTCCCGTATTATAAAGAGATGTCGAACATCACTTACAATCCACCAGAATACACTTGATTAGCCCATGTACTTAATAATTTATATGTATTATAAAGTGATAGGCTAATCAAGTGGCATATTATATTTTATAAACGTAATTCTTTCGTTGGTATACAAATGGGTACAAGATTTTGTAAATAATTAAAATTGATCTAGTTGTATAAGGTGGCGCCCTCTACAAGTAACTCCCAGAAACGTAGTTTCGCTCATAAATCGGAAAAATACTTCAGAAATCACCCGTGAAACATCGGACACTCAAGATAACCGAAACCAAATCAAAGTTTTATTAAAATAACGATAAAAATAATAATTTGAATAAATGACATTTTATTCTGGTGGATCTCACTATAGACTCACTATAGACATTATGGGAAGAAAATCAGATTTACCTCTTTTTTTTTATTGACTTATTAACTAGATGAGGTATTTTTTGCTTTTCAAATGCAGATTCTACATATTTTTTTGTTTTGTTTTAACATATATCAATGGCAATGTTATGCGGGGTATCCCAAAAATTGGCGTTTTTTTAAATTAAAAAGTTTTTTAAAAGTTTTTGAAACAATTAGAATAAATCACCTACCATATTACTAAAAGATGCCATCAAAAATATTTCACTCTCACTTGCTTAACAAATAACTAATAAATAATAGCCAGATCATAAAATATTGTTTTTCTACTCCCGTCTGTAAAATACCTCATTACACACAGATCTAGCGTGCGGAAAGCGTCACTTTACCACGTCAGTTTCGTTTCCCACGAATCCGAGCCACTTCGGACATTTCCGGGATTTTACCGCACAGATTTGGGAGCAATCGGATATTTTCGGATATATTTCCCACGCTTTAAATTTTAACGTTTGTCAATTCTGAATGTATTTTTGTTGTTTTGTGAAAATGTACCCAAAAACTAACGGTCGTAGAAAAAGTATAGTATGCAACACGTTCGGTAAACTTTTTAGCTCACTCGTTTATTAAAAACTCGCTCCGCTCGTGTCAAATAAACTTGTGAGTCAAATGCCGTTTACCGCGCTTGTTGCATAATATACTATTCTAATCTTTTCTGTAAAATAAGTAATTATACACCGATCTAATGTGCGGAAAGTGTCATTTTACCAGGTCAGTTTCGTTTCCCAAGATATCACTGCTCGGCTTGAATTTTGACGTTTGTCAATTCTGACGAATATGTTAGTGAATGTATTCGTGTTGTTTTGTAAAAATGTGCCCAAAAACTAACGGTCGCAGAAAAAGTATAGTATGCAACACGTTTGGTAAACTTCGTAAGTCGCTCGTTTATTAAACACTCGCTCCGCTGCGTTCCGGTCGTGCCGAATAAATGACTCAAATGCTGTTTACTATACTTCTTGCATAATGTACTATTGTTTAAACTTCTTCTAGTACCTGTTTGACATTAATATCCGCCATCCGATTATTTCTAAACCCGTAGGTAATACCCCAAAAATGTTCGAATTGGCTGGCAGTCATAGGTAACCAAATTGCAGTTGTAAAATTATACTTTTCGTACGCTCGCTAGGTGTATAATTGGGTATTTTAGAGAAGGGGACAGAAAAACAATATCACTTGGTATTTCTTGAAAAACTAAACTTACCCTTTTAGCCATTTAGTAATAGTATATTATGCAACAAGTATGGTAAACGACATTTGAGTCACGAGTGTATAATAAACGAGTGACTTAAGAAGTTTACCAAACGTGTTGCATCCTATACTTTTTCTATGACCATTCGATTTTGGGTATATTTTTGTAAAACAATACGAATACATTCACTGATATGACCATCAGTATTGAAAAACATCAAAATTCAAGCCTTGTTGTTATATCTCCGAAAACATCCGATTTATTTATTACATTGTACGTTTCGGCCAAAAACATTAGACAATCTTCATAGACATATTGTATATAACAATAGTAATTTATTTATTTTTTGTTTTTTTATTGCAGTTCAAGCGTATGCTGAATAAAGAGCTTTCTCATTTTTCCGAATCCAGCAAATCCGGGAACCAAATTTCAGAATATATTTGTTCAACTTTTTTAGGTAAGAGTTTTAATTTTTTTTGTTTAGTTTAATATAATGTTCAACAGTTAAATTTTTGTTTCACATGTTTCACGCGATATTGCAAGCATGCTTTCCGTATAATGTTTGGTAAATTTAGTCCCCGATGGTGACCGTTAGATTCAGATTTCACCATGGACATAATTGTACATATTTTATCTCATCATTTTTGCCGCTGAAGGTTTCTATTAATTTGCAAACCGATATTTGTCTTTTTATGTGATGTAGAAATATAATCTTTGCTTGGCGTGTTATAAATATTGCACCCAAAATCTCGACTTATAGAAAAGAAAATAATTCAGTCTTATGGTATATTTTCAGACAAGCAACAAGAATTAGATATTCCTTCTTTCAATGTCGATGAGGGCGCTGAACCATCCAAAACAGTAGTCCATGAGCGCCCTCGAGGTCCTGCTACAATGTCACAAATTTCCGGTGTGAACAGAAAACTATGTCACACTAATTCATTCACTGGCGAAAAATTGCCGACTTATGGGGTTGAAACACTCTACGAGGAGGATTTAGGTGAGCTGTTCTGTTATATTTTCAGTGCGTGTACGAGTGTGTGTATTTTGGTACAACTCTAAATATAAACTCGATAATATTTTTTTTTATCAGTAATGAAAAACTTACTTTAGCAAAACACGCACAGTGTTTATTCTTCATGATATTCATATCGACCCCTTCACCATTGCAGAAAATGTATTTTATTAGTTTGTGTATGCAACCAACAAGAATTACACTTTATTTATATATCTTGTGGATTGATTTATCAACAACAGACGCAGGAGGAATCCAGAAGATTTGTAAATAGTATTGCAGAAGTTTCTTTTAAAAAAAATACACTGCCTTTATAACTATAATTTGAATATTTGTTGACGAGTTAATTTTAAGGAATTTCTTTTTCTTTCACGGCTCTGCTTATTCTGCCTACCATGCACTTACCTACAGATTATATGTATGTACTATGCTCTTTTTTACATTTACTGAAAAATTATGAAATGTCACTAAATCTTAAAAAAAGACAAATAAATAAGAATAACTACAGGTCTAGTGGTTTTTAAATTTTCAGAATAACTAAATTATCCTTCTTCGATATTTTAGGCTAGGAATAAGGTATCGAAATACGCTTTCATTTCATTTTTCATTTTGCAATTCTCTGTTATTATATAAAAATGCGCGTTATCTCTAAGAATTAGGACATATCACTGATAAAATGAGTTCACTAGAGCAATTTCTCCTTTTTCATTGCATCAACCCCACTACTTTATGTTAATAGAAATTTTAAAGAGCTTTTGGCGCTTAGTTTTAAACAGCACATTTTTTTGTACATTTACTAGGTGTATTTCAAAGAAAAATCAAAATTTATAATGTTGGTAACACCTCCTAGCGACTGAGAAATCTGAAAATATTTCCCACAGTGTTCATGTGCCAACTTTAGTTATAACATTTTTTTCATGTTTCTACGATAAAATGGTATATATTATAACAGATATATATTATAACAAAAACGACGAGAAGTCTTCATTTATTTATTTACTTTGAGTTAATAAGAAATGAATGAACCTTCCACATGTTTTTTATGTAGATGCCGAGGACCAAAATAAGATTTTACCCACTCCGTTTAAGAAAGTTTAAAAATAACACTGAAACGTCTCCTCTGCTTATAAATCAGTAAGAAGATTGGAAGTTTGCATGTACGTAATCGGGAAGCTTTAAATTTCCAATGGAGTTTGTATTCCCAAAATACAAATAATACGGTTAGAGAAATTTCATACATGTATAGGTATTAATTTTAATTAAGACTTTAATTAAACTTGCCTGCACATGGCTGTAATTGTAAACAGTTTCAATCTTCTAAATAGAATAAGCAAAACCTGCGAAAATCAATTTTTTCTTTTAATTTATTGACTTACTACCTTTTTCAATTTTTTTAAAATCCATCCACAAGTACATGAAAACAAGAAACAGTCGCGTGCAGAACGAATATATCTGTGTGCGCAAGGTGTCAGTTCGTTCAGATATTTTCGGTAGATGTTTGTTCTGATTTAAACGTAACATATCAGTGAATGTATTCGTAGTGTTTTGCAAAAATATATCCATAAAAATAATAATCGTAGAAAAAGTGTAGTATGCAAGATAACCTCCTTCAGTCACTCGTTTATTAAACACTCGCTCCAGTACGCTCCGCTCGTGTCGAATCAAACTCGTCACTAAAGGGGCTTTTATGAAATTAGTTATATAATCTGCTATTTTGATTCAACATTTAATGTGAAGTTTCAAAACCGACAAATGTCAAAATACCATCAATGTTTTAAATATCTACCGAAAACATAAGAACGCTTTGAACTCGTGACTAAATTACAAGGAAACCGGAAGTGCCTCGCAACAGTGTCTGACGGATCTGACGTGTTAAAGTGACATCGTAGACATACCTGATAGTTTATTATGCAACTAGTTTGATAAACGTCCTTTTGGTCACGAGTTTTATTTGACCCGAGCGGAGTGAGTGCTTAATAAGTGAGAAAGTATATTATGCAACTATTATACAACAAGTTTTAGGTACAATTTTGCAAAACAACTCAAATACATTTACTAAGTGACGTGTTTCATGTACGTCAGAATTGACAAACATCAAAATTCAAGACGAAAACATCCGATTGCTCCTTACTTTTATAATGGATCGCCCGTTACAATTTCTTTTCGTCCTCTAATTAGTGTTGTATTGCTAAATATTTTTGAACAAAAGTGGGTCATCGCTTTTTTCTAAAATGTGAAATCAAAAAGTTAAGGGGGAGGGGTGACATTTAAAATGAGGATCACCGTTACTATATTAAAACAACTGCAATAGTTAATCGCGTATAACTACAATAAATGTAATTAGCATATCGGTTTAGAAGAAATAAATAATAATGCACCAAACTTTTTCAGGAAAATGTTTAATGGAAATCGATCGCTGGGGAGTCGATATATTCCGTATCTTGGAATTTAGTAACGAACGACCATTGACCAGCGTGGCATATGCCGTATTCAATCAGCGAGAGCTTCTGAAAACTATGATGATCTCTCCGAAAACATTCATCACATATATTATGACGGTTGAAGACCATTATGTAAAAGAAAACCCTTTCCACAACTCTCTACATGCCGCTGATGTAACACAAAGTACCCACGTGCTTCTCAATACACCAGCTTTGGAGTCGGTGTTTACGCCGTTAGAAATAACTGCTGCCCTATTTGCTGCTTGTGTACACGATGTCGACCACCCTGGCCTTACTAATCAATTCCTAATCAACTCAAGTTCTGAACTTGCTCTAATGTATAATGATGAAAGCGTGCTTGAAAATCATCACCTGGCAGTGGCTTTCAAACTGTTGTCCAACGATGGCTGCGACATATTTCTTAATATGACAAAAAAACAAAGACAAACGCTGAGAAAAATGGTTATTGATATGGTATTAAGCACAGACATGTCTAAACACATGAGTTTGCTAGCAGATTTAAAGACAATGGTGGAAACCAAAAAGGTGGCGGGATCGGGTGTCTTGTTGCTGGACAACTACACTGATAGGATTCAAGTATTAGAAAATTTAGTACATTGTGCGGATCTTAGCAATCCGACCAAACCACTTCCTTTATATAGGTGGGTAAAGAAATTTTTGAAAGTCTGTTTCTGATACTTAGTGTTATTTTAATCCCGCTTGTAAACCCTAGCCCAAAATTATATAGAGGGCATTTCATTAGACCTTGTCTCATTGGTCTTTTGGAAATGCTATTATTTCCTCACTACTGTGTGATCAAGTTTGAATTTGTAGAAAGTGCGATTTTTTTTAAAAGGCAATTTATTTCTTGTCTCGAAGATGAAGAAATAAACAAAAAATAAAAAAACGGAACCGCTCTCCTTTTTAAGTTTGATAGAGTCCAACTTCAAAACAAAGCGTTTATTTCCTTCCATGCTATTTCATGCTTCCCCATCATGTAAAATTCAGTCTTGCTTAATAAATTTAATGTTTCAGACGTTGGGTTGCTCTACTCATGGAAGAGTTCTTTCGACAAGGAGATAAAGAACGCGAAGCTAATATGGATATAAGTCCAATGTGCGACCGACATTCCGCTACAATAGAAAAATCTCAAGTAGGTTTTATCGATTACATTGTTCATCCTTTATGGGAGACTTGGGCAGATCTAGTTCATCCCGACGCTCAAGATATTCTTGACACACTCGAGGAGAATCGAGATTGGTATCAAAGTGCTATACCTGCTAGTCCACCCCCTGATGATGAACCGGCAGATCATCAACGGCCCGGAATTCGATTTCAGGTATAAATGTGAGCACCATTAAATTTTGGTTCCATCTATCTATAAGATGTTCTAAAATGAGATATCAAAAAAATCAATTAAAAAAAATACCTCTTACGGGTGTCACCAAAAACTCCACAGGGTGTTGAATAGACAGAGGTGCCCTTTGTCAAAGACCTCTAGGATTTCAATATTGCTTCTTATACCTTCTAAGGGTTAAATATGTCACCATTCCAACTAATTACTAATTTTCGAATTTATTTTATTGTATAATACAAAAATATTAGAATTTAAAACTAGACGATAAAAAAAAAAGAAATAAAACACATATAAACATAAAAAGTTAACTCACATTATGAAACCTATTTAACACATGCAATTGTAAAATTTGACAAGTTCTTCAATTTTTTGAGTCTTTAATTGAATATTTATCCATTAATAACTAATTGCATGCAAAATTAAAACATAGTAAGAAACGTTGAAATTAATAGATTAATTTTATTTCATCAAAAAATAGAAAAACGTGGTACGGTGGCTGGAGCAAAACTAAGACACCTAAGACCTACAGTTCTGATAATTTGCTCTTTTACGCCATGACGATTTTTCAAAATATTTTTAATTATGGAACTGTTTCCTTTGGAAAAATAGTAGCACTTTTGATATTTTAAATTGGACACTGCATTTTCTTCTCCTGACAACTTTTGTCAACATTTAGGTGTAGGAACATACTAAATCAGTTAAAAGTGTTTTGAAGTGTTTTAATATTCGATAAAATACATGGTGGTTCCCTTCAAAAACTCACTTTTGGCCATTTGAAAATCAAGCCCATACTGCTACATTTTCATTGAAACTATTTGAATCGACAGGCCACAGACCACGTTAAGACTTGTCATACTTATAAAAAATTTAACTTTAAACTCCATAAATCATAACTGTATAACTAGAACCAAACTTTTATTAATATTGCCAAAAATCGTTGAATTCCATGTTTCAGAATCTTATTTTCAGTTTTCCATAGCTTAAGATTTTGTCTCGCTATATCAAAGGTGTTTACCTATTTTAAATTAATCCTCCCTATGATACACAGGTAACATTAGAAGAAGGTGACGCAGAATTGGAATCTGAATCGACTCCGATGTGACGGATGTTACCAAGTTTGTGTCGAAAGTTAAATGAAAAAGTGCAGCAATGGTGGCGCGTACGACCGTAAAAAGACGCTGGCGTCTACAATCAGCCGTATGGAGGCACACCAATTTTAACGAAAGCACGCTGGCGTGTTTTTGTATCATTTTCTCTCATCACTTGAGTAATTGGATTGTCTTGACTGGGGAAATAATATCATTTACCGAACTGTAATCTGAACTTCTTGTAGACTTGTGAACGTTGAACATAGTTAGAAGTATTATTAAATTCAATTTTGTTTACGAAATGTTTAAAAGTAAATTTATTGTCATCATAGTAATAGTAAACTTCATAATACCTATTACTAAATATTCCCCTTTTGTGTAGATATACTGATATTAATTTATTTTATTCTAAATCTGGTTGCAGTGCATCAATTAGAACAAACTAGAAGAGTGAAAACAGCAAATATTTCTAACTATTTTCAAGTAAGGATAATTTATTATCCTATAAGTACAGTCGGTAGGATCTATCTTTTTGTACTGTATTCTTCACTACTAAGCGTTAAACATGTTTTCCCCTTTTGTCAACTCCTTTGACATACATTGCCTTAAGTGCACAAAAGGATAATTACCGAGTCCATTCCCTTTTCTGATGTTTCGTTTGTAAATACCATAACAAAAAATACCAGTGTAATACTCACCTCACCATGTATACATAGTATTATGTGTTTTGTCAACTATGTTAAAAATTAAAGCTCTTCATTTTAGTAAGGTCTCTTATTCCCATAATCTTAAAAAACGAAACAAATATTTCAAAGCAGCTAACTTTCATTTTTCTTTCTAAGCACAATGTACACAAATAAAGGTCCTCTCAATTTGTATTAAATTTAAATAATATATAATAATAATATAAATATATAAATATGTTTTAAAAATACACAAACTTGTTTACTAAAACTAAACAAATTTAAGACATCATTTAAAAAATAAGAACAAGTTATAAATTAACCTAAAGACTGTTTTAATGTAAATATACTTTAGACGAGCTTTGATGAACATTATAAAATAAATTACAAAATATTAATTTATTATTTATTCACATGACAAAAATGAAAATGGTGTTCTTTATATTTAAATTGTTTAAGAAAATTAGGGACAAATGTAACAACCAAATAACAGCACTATTAGACAATTTATTTGAAAATGAATACAAAAATTAAGTAAGTACATATGTATATAACAAAATATAAAACCTATAAAAAAATCATGATTTTAAAAGTAACTTTAAATTTAAGTAATTTTAATAATAACCATAAAGTCACTTGCACAGTCTCTCGAAACATGGCTAATAATCAGTATGAAAAAGCAATTTCTTTAAATTATCTGTTATATTATACTGAAGATTGTATCAAATTCGTCATAATCCTCGAGAAAATATATTTATTAGTATAGACAAAATTATGGTACTAATACTGTTCCTCAAAATTACATAAAACTGCAACAATGGACTCATTTACTAAAATTTTTAAATCTTTTCACATCCACAAGACAAAGTACTAATAACAAAAATTTGATATTCCGTTCGCCTAATAAAACCATGTGAACAGTTCGTAATTTTAGAGGATGGACATTATTTAGAAATGCAACTTTGTCACCTAAAATTAAAGAAATTGTCAGTTTCATAGATCCGATTAAAAAAAAAAAAGCAAAGATATCAACTTGAAATAATAGAATGGTCATAATAAAATACTTAAGTAACTCTTTTTACACAACTCTATCATTATTTTCTTTTTTTTTGCACCATTTGGAATAAAAATTATTGGAAAATATTTTGTTGGATCTTTTAATCTTATATTATTATTATATTATATCTTTGACTTCACTTTACCCATTGCAACAAATAGTTATTCATCTAAATATTCTTATTTGACAATCAATTGATCAAAACATGCATAAGTACCCACATTTATAATTTTCCACAGCCCCCGCATGCCTATTATTTTTTTTGTACACAGTCAATAATGTCCGATAATGAAATAAAAAAATATTGAAAATGAACCACTATTACTGGAACTATTATTAACCAATTAATTGACCGGTAGAAAAGACAAAACGTATTCCTAAACTGACTGCCTAAATGTATTTAAAAATAATTAAACAAAAACACCAGATCTGAAATATTGAATTCACTGAAAATGCCACTGAACCAGAACTCCTTAGATAGCCTAAGCCAAAGTCAAACTGAATGACAGTATTTTCTGGATTGAACCATGGATTTGATCCATCATCAAAATACATAGGACAACGATCCCCTAAAACATTCCAATATTACATGTCACTTGTCATCCCAATAACAACTGGACATTGGAATTTATATGGGAGAAACTTTGCTGTATCATAATTTCAGAAAGATTTTTGCAAGATAATTCGGTTAGTTTTAGTGGTGTTGGTTATCATAGACCGTTCAAGTAGCCCTCACCAACTCCAGATCTAAAACATCTGAACTTCTTTTATAGGGAATTTCTTGTGTGAAAAGACATCTTTCGATTAGCAGGTTTTTTTATGCTTGTGCTTGGAAACGCTTTAGATATTGACAAAAATTTTCAGAAGTAATAGTGTTTCAAAATCTCTTCAAAATTCTTAATGCCATAACTACTAAACAAACATAAAATTCCTCCATGTTAATCCAATGTTCAGTCGTTATATATATATTACATTATTGCTGGCTACAATGAGACTATGTCCATAAAAAAGTTTTATAATGTGTTAATTCATAGTTCCCTTAACTGAATCTTCATTTAGTTGAATGAAATTGAAATTTTTATTAATTTTTTTATATATTTTTGTATTCATCAAACCGCTAATTTCTTTCAAAAATATTTTTAGGACTTACTTTCTCTCTCATATTCCTCCATTTGGAGGGCAACTGTAGCGCCCTCGGTATAATTTGTTGAATCCACATTTTGTTTCAAATCACAGTAAGGTCCAATAGCTATGAAACGCAATAAATATAGGACTTGCCATTAAGAGCTTAATGAGTTTGCAATTTTTGGTTTATTTCAGATTATTGCAAAACGAAACATAAAGAATTTTTTTGACTGAAAATAGATGAGTACCTTACCTTGCGACATTAATATTCGATTTAAGTCTGCCCTCTGATAAACCCAACATCTATATTTAGAGAAGGGATCCAGTTCGTCATATGTAATAAGATATGATTTTAAATTTTCTTTCCAAAACCCTATGCACTTCATTTTATAGTCAGGGTCGCCTAAAAAATGTTAAATGTTTGAAAATGTTCCTAAATACAGAAACTGATCATTTTAATTTTAAAGATGAAAAATGAACACAACAACAAACGGAATTTGAATTAAATGAAGAGAGTGTTCCTTATGATTTAAGAATGCAATTGCGCATGAAAAATTAATTATTATTTGCTTGATATATGATAGTGAAAAACAAAATGAAATCAGATTTTTAGCGTTACGATAACAGTTCAAATAAGAGTTTTTTTTACAGACAAAAAAGAAGAGCTCTCTAGTTCAAATAACTCTAAATAATCATTTCACCTCTATAAAATTGGTTACTTTTTGTATGTAAGAACGTGAGGCAAACGATTAAATTAAAATGTCAACATTTAAACATGTACACTAATTAATACTAAATTTCTTGCGGTACAAGCAATAATTGAAATATTTTTAATACAAGTTAATGCATTAAAATTTATTAAAAATATTTACTTACTATAAATATCGACAGGTTTGCCACGATGATCAACGGATAAGCAATAATTTTCATCAATAGCAATTTCTTTCTGTTCATCGCACACAGAAAAATCAGAAATATTTTGCTTGCAGTATATATTTGGTCTAGGGCTTTGAGTTACTCCACCAAGAATTCTAAAAACATTAAAATAAAAATAGAAAAATTTAATATACAAAAGTGGTAGACACACCACAAATTGCATTTCGACAACAAAAAAACCTGCAAATTAAGCAATGGCGGAACAGTTTGCAGATTTTGGAAATTAGAATATGTTAATATGGCTGACTCACACATGCACACGCACATTTTCGATTTTCCTTTTAGTAGATATTTATTTTTTTTTTTTTATAAACGTCAACGATGAAAAGCCACCCTTGTAATTAATCCTATTCAATTGATGTCAGTTAATATATGGCTGTCTCAAAAACAAGCGGAACACAAATACGGTAACAGGAAAAAAAACAGTGGATCAATCAAAATATGACCATTTTTTCTTACTCACTTTTCCTTAAATAATGGCATGTTTCAGGAACATTATGATGGAATCGGTTCTCCTAAAAAGCAAAGGATGGAGAAAATCTGCTATATATATATATATGTATATATATATATATATATATATATATATATATATATATATATATATATATATATATATATATATATATATATATATATATATATATATATATATATATATATATATATATATATATATATATATATATATATATATATATATATATATATATATATATATATATATATATATATTATATATATATATATATATATATATATATATATATATATATATATATATATATATATATATATATATATATATATATATATATATATATATATATATATATATATATATATATATATATATATATATATATATATATATATATATATATATATATATATATATATACACATATATATATATATATATATATATATATATATATATATATATATATATATATATATATATATATATATATATATATATATATATATATATACACATATATATATATATACACATATATATATATATATATATATATATATATACATATATATATATATATATATATATATATATATATATATATATATATATATATATATATATATATATATATATATATATACATATATATATATATACATATATATATATATATATATATATATATATATATATATATATATATACACTCTGAGAAATTGGGTATTGGCATTGGAAAAACAGAATTATATTTGGTTTCCTTCAAAGAGACGATTTATTTCTATCACATATGAACTACATTAAGATTAAATTTGAAATAATTGTTTTATTTACAACAGCCAAAATGTCTACGCTATAGCAAAGGTCGTATCAGTATATAAGTAAAACCTGAAAACATTTGTAACAACTGTGGCATAAAAATTTTCAGTTAATTTGATCCAGGAATTATCTCCCAAAAAATAAAAAGAAACATGACTCACCGAGTTTCAAAAGGCACATCTCCTTTCTGAATAAAAACTGAATTTCCCGGCAACTGGACACTTAATAGGTACAGGATTCTTTTTCAAAAACAAATCATACTTCCATTTAATCTTGTTCTTAAATTGGACCCACGAGCAAACAGTGCTAAAATCATCTTTGATCACAGCAATTCCTTTTCTGTAACGAATCACATTGTGGTGCTGAGGTACGAAATCAAAGCAGATATAGTCTTTTTGGCTAAAAAACAAAAAAATTTAGACAGGAAAAAGAAAAGGAAGTTTCCAAGAGCAAATAAAATGCCACATACCACCCATCCACAGTTAATCGAGCCATCATTACTCTTGTATCCCTTTGCTCTTTACAAACATATATTGTTCTACGAAAACGGCCTTCATCTGGATACCAAGTTTCAACAATATGAGTCTCATTTATAGCAACATCCGCATCAATATTGGCGGTATTAATCCACTCTCCAGTAAAATTTTGTGGTAGGCGACAACCCGGTTCCACAACTTCCGACTTAACTAAAATAACATATTTGGTGATTTACCGCAAAGGTTATAATAGAAAAGCGCATTTACTAGAAATTAAACCCACTAAATTTTAGCATAAATTGATCTTACCGGGTTTTACATGCAATCTTTCAGGGCTTTTTTCGACAGTTTTCAGAGTGTTGCATTCCGCGGTAATAGAAACACCAACATACAAGTCATCATCTCGATTTCTTAAAAAGCATCTATACTTTTCATCTTTACGCGATTCTTTCGTATTGGCAACAGCGAAGTAGTGGTTCTTACCGACAAACCAGTCACCCAGGCAACTGTACTCAACAACTAAAAATATAAATATAAATAGTATCGATCCCATTCACTGAGGTCAATTTTCGCAACCAGCCGCAAACGATGTAAAAGGAATAGCTTAATACACAAAACAAGCTTTGTAATAATAAGCACTAGCCCACAACCGCGTTGGTTTAATGTTGTTGTTTTTTTAGTTTTTTTTTAAATTTCAATATCTTTTTAAACCTCTATTACAGCATGCAATGAAATCGGAATGTATCTAATGTACTTTTTATTACCAAGGATGATAATATTTTGTTCCAATCAAATGTTGCTACTACAAATGAATGCCAAATCTTTAATTAGTTTAATTTAGTTAGACAATTATCATTGGTTACGAGTATTTCCAAAAGAAAGTATAAATTTCTATTTGAAAAACAGTTCCCAAAATGAAAGTCGTTTTTTAAATAATTATCAATATTTCCTTTTCTAATTTCGCCTTCCAAAATTTTAAAAAGAAATATTCGTTGATCACAACCAAAGGGCATATAAACAAATATTGTCCTTTGAAAGTCATGACGTCGACGACATCGCCTGGACAGGAAAATTTAGATCTGGCTGAGTTGTTTTGGTATTTTCTAACAAATAAGTATTCAACTGTGTTAAAAATAAGCACAAATAAAAAAATACTATTCGAAAATACTCTTGATAGTAAATTTCAAAAAATTTATCAAAAAAAAGGAAACAAAAAACAAAACTTTGGTCGGTAAATTCCAGAAAAAATGCATTCCTTGCATAAAATTTAGGCCATCAACCCAGAAACATTCAAATTATCCAGTGGTCAAATGCCGATTTTCGACACACACTGATTGTCCAAATAATATTTTCGCATTTTTTATTTAATAGACATTTTGCCCATATTTTCTCTCTTGGAAGATATAAGAGAACGACGAGGACGTCATTATTAGAGATTATATATATTAGAATTTTTTTATCAGATTTACAGAACCTTTTCCAAAAAAGTATTGAAAACTGATTTAAAACACTTACCGCCATCAAATGTCCCTGCCATTCCTTCACATTTTTTATATGTGATATTAAATTTTTGATTCGTAATCAAGAATTGTGATCCGGCAGTCTGGCATGACCGAATTTGAGCATCAGGGTTTTTGCACTCGCCAGTAAATTTGAACCGATTTTGGTATGCAAAATTCCATACACCTTCTAATGAAGATCGGCAATTTACAGGTACATAATTCTCGGAAAATAGCGTTATTAGCTGTTGATGAGGATCTAAAGTTTGGCAAACGCGTTCTACAGTAGCCTCCTGTTCAGGCAGTGTTACACAAGCTCCTACAACCGTAAAATTTTAAACCTTAATTTGTCTAAATTTCTTGAACTAAAATATTTTACAATAACTATTGTTACTGTAACATATGCAACAGTATACATATATATATATATATATATATATATATATATATATATATATATATATATATATATATATATATATATATATATATATATATATATATATATATATATATATATATATATATATATATATATATATATATATATATATATATATATATATATATATATATATATAAAGTAATACAAGTAATTGTAGAGTGTCATACTTCTAACAAGTAAAGCTTACCTTCCATTTTCTCTAAAACATTTACTGTTCTAACCATTAACTTCACACAACGAAAGCAATTTTTTAACTCATTATGGAAAACAATAGTATAATTTACATGTAGTCTATCGCGAATATCATGACAAGTCCCTCTATCAGACATTTTGGTAACATCTAATTCAGTTAGAGTATTTCTACCATTTTCCCAGGAAAACCACTGGCCACGTAGAATTACTGGAATTGAACAGTTAGCAGCACGACACCCTGAAACTGGTAGAAAAAACCATGTAGCTAAGAAAACCAGCAGTCAAATTATTTGTAATTTCCTAATCAAGTCAGCTAATTTTGTATACATTTTTTGGCAATGGTTAGAAAAAATATCAATATATTTCTTTAATCTCATGTCAAGTTAATATAGGACTTCACCTTTAATTGGAATGTGTAGATAATTATTGATTCATAAATTTTGTTGCATTAGTTATTAATCTGCTTTTTTCCATTCTAAATTAGAGAGTTAATGCTGACTGAATCTTTCGTAATCTTTCACGCCAATCTTCACTGTTGTTACTTTGATCATGTGGGATTTTATTTAGGTATTTTTAACTTTTTAAACAATTACATAGGAACATGCGAAGGGATAAATCACGCATGAAATCTGGTGTAGCTTCTCTGTGAAATCTTTGTTATCTGTGAAATATTTGTGAAATCATACCATGTTTTTTAAAATGTTTAGTTTTGAGCACTTTCCATTAGTTAAATCATCTTTAAATAACAACCAAATAAACCTAAAAAAAATCCAACATTTGACTAAATTACTATTTTTACATTATTTGTAGATTACATCTAACCTAAACATAAGTATTACAAAATTAAACATACTATATTGGTGATATATTTGATTTGGATTTTTTTTGGAGTAATGATATAGGGATCATAAATTATTCCAGGATATCATCCACTGTTCGTTAATTGAATTCATCAAACTCACTTGGTATTTTTAAGGTTATAAGATCTAAGGCAGATTAAAGTCACAGAAATATTTTCTCTGCTTTTTTTTCTATTTGCCTTTAATTGCAATTACTTTATACAGAGGAAATTAAGAATTATCGAAATTTCCAACTAAATGTCTTAAGCAGGTCCTTACTTAATTAAAGTTGAAGAAAAAGAAAAAAATTAGGAAATAGAATTTAAAAAAAAAAGAAAAATATTATTTTTATGCCCTGTGAAAATTTATTAAATTTATATTTACTAATTTAACATAGGTTTTAAGTGTGTTTTTTACATTATTTTTACTTGATACTTATTTAATAACTATTAAAACTAAAAATCGGTTATGACAGATCATTTAGAAATCTGTGAAATCTTTATAGAAACCATGAAATCTGAAACAGGTGAAATATTTGTGAAATCCGTGAAACATTGCTAAAAATCTGTGAAATCATATGGGTGTGCGAAATCTGGGTACCAATTTTAGATGATTAATTGAATCTTTTTTTTTACTTAAAATTTTGAATTACTATAGGTATTGTTGACACTGTAAAATACTGAAGCCACAGTTAAAATGGTGAATGGCCCATTCCCCCCAATAACTTACTTTGACTTGGGTACAGTGTTTCTGGAATATAATCTGATGTCCTTAAACTGGAACATTCAGCACTTTTTGATATGCTGATTTGTTGGTTATCATTTTTGAGAAAACACCTATACTGGTCCTCCCTACGCTCTTCATTTGGATTTATTACAGCAATAAAATGGTCCTGACCTATATACCAATCTCCTAAACATTTGTAGTTAACACCTAAAAATGGTTTAAAATTGGAGACTATAATATACTAGAAAATTGGCCATACCTACTTCTACCATAAGCTCCCTGTATCCAGTCGCACTTTCCATAAGTTATATTAAAAGAATCCTCAGGTTTCCCACAGGCATCAATTCGAGATATAGGATTGTTGCAGGTACCTTCAAATTTAAAATTATTTTGATAGCTAAAGCTCCAAACTCCTTCTAATGAAGATCTACAATTTGTTGGCAGATAAATGTCAGAAAATAATGTTGTAAGTTCTTGATGAGGATTCAAATCTTGACAAACTTGTCCAATTGAAGCTTCATGTTCGGCAATATTTAGACATGAACCTTAAAGAAACAAATTATATTAGAATTTATAAATCATAATTCTAACTGAATAGTAAATTATTAATGCAGGAATGTAGGAAACTACAAATTGTGTAAAATACAGCTGGTTTCTAGTAGGGCCGAGTCAAACGATAATTGAAATTATGAAACTAAAATAGATGTGATGTATGTAAATGATTCTAGACAGCCGTAAATGATGTAATAACTTGCAATTTGAATACAACTAACTAACCAAAAATTTTATGAATATTATATATTGACTAACATAGGCTTTTGTACATCCTACAATCTCATTTAAAAACATATTTGATGTTTTCTAAACACAATTATTCTACAAGATATAGAGAAAATATATTTATAAATATGGTATATTAATCCTATACATATATAAAAAAACCTTTAAAAATCTGGAATAAAATACCTGTCCAAATTAGAAATCTACAAGTACAAAAATTTAATTGAAAGATACATATTTCAAGTTGTCTCGAAATGACTTAATATAGACTAAAATATGAATGCAATATATATTTCTTTTTGTTTTTTTTTTTGCCTCCTTCATATGTGTATTTTTTGCTTGTATAAATGTTGATGTTCTAGACCTTTTGAGACTTGAAAGTGACTTTATAGCCTCATGGACTTACCTTCCATTTTTTCAATAACATTTTTTGAACGGACAAAAAATCGAATGCATTGAAAACAATTTTGATCGAAATTTCTAAAAACAATGGTATAATCTAGCCCAACATTATCTTTAATTTCATAGCAAAAGCCTTTGTCCTTCATACTTCGGTCATCTAATGCAATAAATGTATTTTCTTCATTCTCTCTAGCAAACCATTGTCCCCGAAGGGGTTCAGGAATTTCACAACTGATTAAACAACAGCACGGACATCCTAAAACAAAGTAAAGTTAAATTACCCTCCTACTACAAGTTACTTTTCTTTTTAGAAAGACTGTGCCTGTTTACATAACTTTTTCCCAACACTATAATTGCCTTTTTTGAGACAGTTCCAGTTGAGATTTTTCAAAATTGGAAATATGTAAAATACTTACCCAAACATACAAAAATAGCCAGAAGGTGCAAAACCAACATTTTTTGACTTCTATATTAGTTGACAATAATCCATACAATACTAATATTTATCACCTTTTTCATGAATTACAAATGGTTACAAACATAGATCTAATTATAAGGTCTATGGGTATACAAATAAATTACAAACAGGTTAACTTAAAACAATCCCCATACCACAGACCACTAAAATAGTTGATTATTTATGGAAAAAGATAATGATATGTAGAAAAAGTATCAAACAAGCCACGAAAATAGAGCTTAAAATTTCCTGTTATAACAAACAAAAATTTAGCATAAGATTTCGATTTGTATAACGAAATTTTATAATTGTACTACAAATTTCATGCTAACATTTCGACTCTACTTATACCGCTTAGTTCTCTGTTTTAATTCGACAGTTTACAGCCAAAATTTAATATACAAGCTTTTCCATGGACAGGCATCACAGAAAAATTATTTAGTACCCACATGAAATTCAAATGCCTTTCGATCTGAGTGGGCGAGGTGACGTCATTACACAGGACCCGCTCGTTTGATGCAGGCGAAAAGACAGATATGATCGTTTTTAGACCAAGTCGTTCCTGCTTTTTTCATCGCGCGATTATAAATATTGTTTACCGTTAAAAAATAAAATTATAAATTTAATACTATTTGAATAATGTAACTTTTTTTAATGAGTCGAGGATTCTAGAATATAATTTACAATTTGGCAAAAACGGGCTAATAAAATTGTTTTAATGGAAAAGTGAAACAAATATTTGTTCAAAAAAAAGATTAAGTAAGTTTATTCCATGTAGCTATGAGGTAACATAGGGGCGTACGGACGTTAGAAAGAATGATTTTTTGTGTATACCTTATTGGTTAAAAACAAGATGTTAATTGACCACGCATGCGCATATTCAATGACCCTTCTCAAGATATTTTCATCTTCGCTTCAAAATTTTCTATATTATCAGAATCAGATAGGGATTCGATCTAGCGTTTTATTTATATTGTGAAACATAATACATTTTTTTCTGCTCCCATCTCTAAAATTTCTTCCATTACTTGAGTCAAAGGTTTGGGAGCGATTGGCGAACTAGCTAACGTTTCGCTAATCATCCTGTTGGCTTCTTCAGAGCTTGACTGAAACAGTCTCGCATTTTACTCTGTACCTGTTTTTATATTGTTTGAGGGGACAGAGCTAAATGAGGGGCATAAACACCGTCTCGGATGACTGATTCTCAAATTGGTGCCAGTTAGAGAGAAATCTATAAGCAATCTAACAATCTTAACCGCGACTCAGGTCTCTACCTGTCACCAATTTGGGAATCAGTCATCTGAGACGGTGTTTATGCCCCTCATTTTGCTCCGCCCCCCTCAAACAATATAAGGTACAGAGAAAAATGCCAGCCAGTTCAGTCAAGCTCTGAAGAAGCCAACAGGATGATTGGCAAAACAAAAACCGACGCATTAGGAATCCATAAGTTTTATAAAAAATATTTATTTTAATTATTTGCAAAAGTTGCATCATAGTCGTAAGAAGGGTAATGGATAAAAGTTAAATTTTTCAATTTGACCTATAGGAGAAGTAACTTAAACTTTTAAAGTGTGTTTTCTGTAATATCAACCTAGTAATTACATTCTTTTGAAAAGTAAGCTTTATTCGAATAGTTTTTATTTAACATATTTTATTTAATTGCGATATGTCTAATTCTTTCAGATGGACCTAGTGTTTTTTGAAATAAGAAGTATTAAGACAAATTTCCCTAAAATATTATTAGTGTAAAAATACTGAAATAATACCTAAATAAGCTGGATTTCGTAATTTTATATTTTTTTAGATACAAAAGTATTCTTAATTCATTGAATTAAAAAAAATTGGCAGGTGTTAGCTTAATCAATGATATTTAGAAAAGTGCTAAACACTACCAAAATGTTTAGTAACTATTTTTAAAGTATATACCCTCTCATTAATATTCCTATCAGAGGTCACCTATTGTGATGGAAAATTAAGCCTGAAAACAAATATTATGTATGTTATGAATTTTGAATATGTGTCATTTAAAATCACAATGTATTTGAAAATTATCGTCATAAATTTGCTTCTCTACGGCTGCGTGGTGCTGGAGTTGTCGAATTCCAGAAAATTTAAAGCTGTGCGAGACCGTCTAAATCGTATCAGAAAAAGAGGAAGTGGATTGTTGAAACTAGTTGGAGGCAAACATGACTGTGAAGGTAATGTTCCGATTTAGTATTTTTTGCGATATCTAAATAACTATATCAACTTTAAGATTTAAAATTGTAACTTGAAATTTTGAAATAATTGAAATAATTGAAATAATTGAAATAATTTATTTGATAGTTTGGTGGCGCAAAAATGCTTTAAGAAAAGAAATTCTGTAAAAAAAAACCCAGAATTTTTTATAGAAATGTGCGCGACGCATATATGAAATGAATAATAATTATGTCACTGTTCTAGAAACGACTTAAATTGATTTTTTATTGTCAATTGGCAAGGATAAAGATATCATAGCGTGTTTGTTATTTTCTTTTCTTTTTGTAAATTAAAGCCACTATACTCATTTTGAGCTGATTGCTATAATTCTTTACCCTGATTTCTATTTAAAAAATACCGTTGCCAATTTTAATTGTTTTATAATTCGTTGACTATAATTAATTTGAACACAGGAAACGTGGAAATTCTTTACAACGACACCTGGTGTTCGATTCGTGACGATATGTGGAGTTCTGAAGACGCTGCAGTTGTTTGCCAGCAAATCGGATGTTCCGCAAGCGAGTCAATGGCTACTAAAAGAAATTATTTTGGTGTTCCTAAAAGTAAGCCATTTTATTAATTCCGTCTATCTATTACTAAACAATAGTTCTGAAAATTCCGCTATAGTTCGCTCGACCAATTCAATGTTTCAACTCAAATTGGGTATTTCGATGATGATAATTACAATTTTTTTTTCAATTTTTTCTATCAGGAAAAGCTTCTAAATAAATAGTACAATAATGCAAAAATATATATTTTTCGACAAAAAACTTTTTTTAATTTTTGGTTCCTTTTAATCATCCAACACAAATCGGTCCTCAGTATGACGTCTAAAGGACCGAAATAAAGTTTCTCCTTCTCTTTTATTTTGACATCGGCAAAGTTATCCGGGAATTAGTTAAGATAAGCAAAAATCAGCTAAATTTCGGCCAAATATGTTCTTATACTATTAAATTTCATAGATAAAATCTTGTTCCTAATTTCTTAAAACTTCCTTTTTGTCTTCTTGTATCTCAATTTAATTTTCTTTTCTTTAACCTTTTGAAACCAACAAATAAGCTAAATTTTAGAGATTTGATCCTCTAGTCAAACTGCAGGAACCGGAAAATTTTGATAATTTAAAATAAATATTTAATATTCAAGTTGCCCCAAAAGTCATGGATCATATTAAAGCAGGTGACAGTGATGGTCATATTTAATAATAAAAACACAGTGAAACTTTTTTTTCTTAAATTTTGGAAAATAAGAATATATTCAGAGACATTGTTTTTTTTTTCTTGAATGATTATGAGGAAATATGTTGCAACCCTATATGTTTAAAATACTAAAAATTTAATGTTTTAGTAAAATTGAAAGAAAATTACACCAATAAACAATTGAACCATAATTAAAAAAAAACTATATTGTAAACTTATGTTGGGAATAAGATGGTTGTTGGTTCCTCTTGAAAAACCAGATCTATTAGTTCTGTGCTTCTGTTGTATTATCGCTATCCCTGGTCTTCTCCTGCCTCATAGACCTTTAAATATGTTTCAAAACTACTTCTCAAATGGTGAAGGAAGTGTCAATCATCAACTTATTTATTTTTATGATGGGCACCATATTGGAGTTTTAAACGTAAAATTAGTGATGTCGGAAATTGCATCAGTAAAATATTGCTGGCTAAATATAAAATTTAAGCGATATTGGTTTTGGATTGTCTGTCAAATCAGATTCAAAAGAAGTATTTTTGCTTTTCGTTCATTGTTTTATTCGTAACAAATTTTGTAGTAAAAAGTAAACTGGCGTTTTAGGGAAAATTTGGTTGGAAAGCGTTAACTGTTTGGGAACCGAGCAAAACATTTTAAAATGTAAATTGGGCAATTTGGAACGATATGATGATGGTTCTTCTGGGGCTGGTGTAATTTGTCACGGCGACGGCTATTTTAAAAAGAATAACCATGAGGTAAATCAAAAATGGTAAGTTGATTACACCATAAGAATTGACTCTCTTGCGATAATAAATTGAAATACAAAAAATTTCTCTATTAAAACCATCTTCTCACATATGCCAGAAGTTGCAGGTCGATGCTGAAATTTGCAAACCTGACAAACCGTGTTTTGTGGGAGTTCTGAAAAAATAATTTCATTTAAAAATCGATATGTTCATTTTACAACTAAAAAATAGTGGGGCTGATCACTGTTAAAAAATCTTCGATGAACTGTTTTTGCCATGACAATAGCGTAAATATCAAATTAGCCACGACCATTCCGTCCTATATAGGAAAATCACCAATTTCACGGAAAATTGAGAAAAAATAAATAGAACTTAAATTTGGATAACCCGCAGTGATGAAATCGAGAGCTCATACTCTACCGGGTATCCCAGTAAGGACAACGAGGTCCAGTATTAGAAAAAGTAATTAATTAAATCGGCCATGGGAAATTAGTTTGGAATTTTTGAAGTCGGTTTCTGCAAAATATCCTTATATTAGCCACATGGAGTGTCGATAGCTTCAAATATTTTTTTGCAATACATTGATGAATTAATACCAAATTTTTGACTTTTTTACCCATTTTCGAATATTTTTTATTATCAGTTATCTTTTCATTAAAAAACGGTGTCATCACTAAGAAACTAAATAATACTACACGAATTTTTCGATCATCCCTCTATATTTCACCCATTAAATAACGATATCGACACACTTAACTTCTTTTTGATTGAAGATTTAATGAGATCTGGGCATATTTTGAGAAAATACTGCCGTAAAAATGCAGCATCCAAACTTATTGACGATCTGACGATATGTTCACTGTTGGATACCGCAAGCTTAAAAACGAAAATTTAAATCTCGCGTATGCGCATGTTGAATGGACCTTCTTAAATTTTTTTTCATAGTTACTTCATAACTTCCTGTATTTTCATTCACTATGGACAGAGGTTCTACATTTTTAGTAGCTAGATGCTATAACTGTTGATTTATTTAAGTAGGGAGCTGTAAAAAAGAAGAAATAAATAAAACATATCATAAAACAGCTCATAATTGCCTACATTTGAATTATCCTGCTGTGATAATTCCATAATTAAAAAAATATTTACTTTTTATTGATTGCGAAGGTACTGTGAAAAAAGTAGGTACAAAAGATAAATAACAAAATATTTTTTTTGTTTCTGATTAGCGTTTAATTTGGTTAGTCGTTAGTTTCAGATAATTGGATATTAGTTTTGTTTTGTTTAAATTTTAGTTTTCATTCATATTTTAGATTAGTATTAAGATATTGAGATGCCGTTTTCAGTCGGTTGCTGTGTCCTTTTTTAGTTATCTAATGAAGAAAAAAAAGTTTAATTTTTTTTCCAGATTTTTTTTTGCGATTATATCAGAAACCTCCACCTAGGAAAAATCCTTTTTAGCCACTTCATTTTTATTTTACTGATGATTGATGATATATATTTTCAAAAATGTTCGAACGCCCCCAGAGCTAGAGAAAAGAGCATGAAATAAAAATGATTTTTATTTGTTTTAGCTTTAAAACAATACTCAATTTAACAGTGTTAATATCAAAGAATTTTAGAGAAACCAGGTTTTAAAAAGCAACATGGTAATTATGTCCCCTTCATTTCCCAAATCCCGCATGTGCGTCCCACCTATTATTTACCATAATACCTATGTTCTTCAATTTTGTCAGGAAAAGGATTCCAAAAGATATCCAAGTACGAATTCAGGGTGGGAGAACTTTAAACGAGGGAAGAGTTGAATTAAAAAGAGATACTGGGCAGTGGGAAGTGATTTGTGGCAATGACTGGTCCAATAAAGAAGCATTAGTTATTTGTAAAACTTTAAATTTAGGTGAGTTTGTAACACTATTGCTAGCATCATATTGTAAATAATATTTTGGTAGGTTTGTATCCAGTGCAAATCTTAGTGATTAAAATATAATTTTTGACGGGGGCAGCTGCAATGAATTAGCAACACCATCAAATTGCAAAGTAGAGCCTTAAACCAAGCATTCACTAAATCTTTATTTCTTGGCAGGGTATGCAAAAGATGCTATTAGGACATTGTACTTTGGAGGGAATCTCGCAAGTAGTAGTTGGTCTTCAATTAGGTGTCTGGGGAACGAGTCTTCATTGGATAAATGTTTTTATAATCTAGCTGCTACAGAAGTTAGTAAATGTCACGATATTGCGGGTGTAATATGTGGTGAAGATGTACCGGATCTTATCATTGGTAAGCACAATATTTCAAAATACATCCCCAACGTTGTGTGTTATGTGTAATTATAAAATTACTGTTAACTCAATTGACGTTCACTACTCTTTTCAATGCCGCCAAACAAATTCAAATTGAAGATCGTTTCTAGAAAAAGTAAACAATCCCCATTCTTATCAAATCGGATAAAAATTATATCTAAAATATAATTAACCATATAGGGACAATTTTACTTTTTTTTAGAAAAATTATATATTTTATGAGCTCGTGTCAGCTTTAATTTTGATACCGTATTTTCGGATTTCCAAAAACACCTTACGTATGTACAAGATTGAAATATTGAAACCCGTAAAAAAGACGATTATTCTCCAGGAGGATATCTTAATTTAAGAATCAATAATATTCTTTTCGGAAACTGGAAAAACATCAATTGTTTCCAAAAATATACGGGTAAAAATGAAAACTTGCAATTTCTTTCTAATCTTTTTACAAAATAACAAAAAAACTCTTGTTTTTGTCACTTTTTTGCTGCATTTTATTTGTCTGTTTATAGATATAAGAAAGTGACCAATATCTTTTGAACGGATTATGCAAGGGTGGTCATTAACATACAATGCAACAAGATTATTACCTTAATTAATAATAAATAATTAATAATTAATTAATTAATAATTATCTTAATAATAATAATAATCTTCTTGCATTGTATGTTAATAACCACCTTTGGATGATCCGTTCAAAGGAATTGGTCACTTTCTTATATCTATGAACAGACCATACCTATATTTAGAAGACTGCTGTAGCTACTAATACATTTCTAATATTCTGCTAGTATAATAGAAGATGATTTTCATATATTTTTAATAATCAAACTTTTCTCGCAGCATTTTATACAATACTGAGATACTGTTAGCAAAATGTTAATTTAGTAATAGTCAGATGCACAGGAGCCACGCTTTACTATCAATTTTTGAGAGTACGATTGAATTAGTGTGATTGTGATAATTTGTGTCTCTGCTATTTTTTCCAACTTACAATTGCAAATTGGGCAATTAATCCAAGGCACGACCAGAATAGAACAGAATAGAATAAATTTGTCCATTTTTTATAAATGCTGCGGGAACACCAACCCTCATTGGATCGTGTTTCCGAAGATTCAATTTTCATTGATATATGCGCATCATCTCGAATAAAATATTTAGGTATTGTGCTTTTCAATGTGTCGCCTCATCACTTCTGTTCGGACAAAACATTGACGCAAACAAGAGTGTTGTCTCCGGTAGTATTTGCGGACCTTTATTGAATTGACATTGACTTTAATTTAGTCAAAAATATGAAAGATAAACATTTAGCCGTAGCATACAGCACATTTACCTTGGTGTTGCATGGCAAAAAATTCTAAAAAAATCTACTCACCCCCTCTCGATTCGCCAAAATGTCTAGAAAATGGAGATAAATCGTTGAAAAATTAGCGAATTTTCAAGCAGAATTGTCAGCTCTCAGGTTATTGGGTTCTACAGCGTAAAAGATCTAACTTTGTATTTTTTCGCACCCGAGTTAATAATGTTTTATAATCTTTGCTGAACAGATCACAACGAAATCAGTCGGACGGCACATCTCGAAGACAAGCAAATGTTTTTTCTACAGTGTGCAATGGAAGAAAACTGCGTCGCTTCTTCGGCATATGAAGTCCAAAGGGAGAATCCAGATTGGCACTTTGAGACAAGAAGACTGTTAAGGTTTACAGCCAAGATCTTCAATGCCGGTTCAGCAGATTTCCGACCAGCATTACCTAAACATTTATGGGAATGGCATATGTGTCACATGTAAGTAGTACGCGTATAAAATCTAAACATAAAATTATATACAGAAAGTAGCATTTAAACAAAGCACTTGCAAGGTCGAAGCGGCAAGCCTGAATTCTTCCGAATTTGAAATCGTTTTGAACGGCTCATATCACTTTCCCGTTTTTGTTTGGGGTGTGTAAAACGACATAAATTCGACAACTTATAGTTCAAATGCCCGTAGCAAAATGTAATTGATACTCTCTGCAAACTTCTAATGATTTTTTTGTTTCGAATGCGTTCGTCCATTGATTTTATTGTTACGTTAATTTTAAATTCGCATATACCGCTTTATTATTATTTGGAGGCAAGATTTTTCGAGTTACGGACAAAAAATTATTATGCAGTACCAAAAGACATCATTTACAAAGACACAAGTGAAGATCTTAGGTTTGGTTGTAATGCTATTCTAATTTAATTTTATTAAAGAGCAACTTAACCAGGATAGTGATATGTTGAGGTTCGCTGCTGCCAAGGAAATCGCAAAAAATGTGTATGAAGAATAACTTAGATTCATTTAATCTGGTGATCCCAATTAGTGTAATATTTTTTAATGTTGTCCGTAGCTAACTTTTGCATTTTCATTAACATTAGATTACACATTTGCGACCTGTGACTAAAGCAAAGCGACCCTTTGCGCATGCTTGCAAAAAAAGTGAAAAAAGTAGGAAAAAAGTAAAAAAAAGGAAAGTGGCGAACAGTGAAATATTGTAGATAACAACAAAAAAAGAGTTATACAGATATATATCTCAAATGAAGAAAGTTTACTCGCAAACATGAAACAAACTCTAATAAAATTTTAATTTTCAATAGTGGAACATTAGAGTCTCATATGCCGACTAGCTATAGGTCCTATGACATCAAACCTAGGCAACAAAGTCATGTTGCCTATCATCTGGTATTAATTTATACGCATTATTTTATATTTATAAGACAAAATAAGAATTAAATAGATAAAATCAATTTAATTATTATTATTAATCAATGCAGTTTTGGGAAAATATAATGCAAACGTTGAAAAATAGGAAGCCACCACTTGCTTTGTCAGTTCTAACTATAATTGTTATTCTTAGTAAGGTAAGTAAAACTAATCAAAACTAAGCAAACATTAAAATAGAAAAAAAAATAAAAAACCTGTTTCCCTTTTTTCGTTTTCTTTTCCCTCATTCAAACTCTCATTCCCTTCTTTTGCAAAACGCAACGGAGATTAATAAACACATACGAACCGATTAAATGAAAAGACAGACAGAAGCTCTACCAAATTTAGAACAACAATTTCAAACCCACCGGGCAGAGGCAATGCCTTGGCCAGTAAAATACGACAAAGCCACGCCCTTCCCCCATAATAGTTACCCGGGTATAATCACTTCACATTCAAAATTGTTGTTGTGCTGTAGTATAAGTATGACCTGCGTTACGCGCCATTCTGCTACGAGCATCGGCGCTGGGAGAACCTCTGAAGAACTTACCTACTCGTGTTAGCGAAACCTTAAAAAGCACAACATAATACGTACCCAACTACTGCAATTTTCAACATTTAATGAAAGGTTGATCTAGCCTCATACATTCAGTCGTTACAAATTATTTTGTCATGTCGCCAATTTGATGATGGACTATGTACATAACACTGCCCCTAAAGATCTCTTTCCGAGAACACCAGCAAAAAATCAAGAATAGGCCACTGATCGAGAACAAAAATTACTTAGACTCGTGACAGGGAAAAAGATGAAATTTAACGTGCTAAGTTCGATTGAATGGTAACATATCAACAAATTAAGTAAGTTAGAATATATTTCACAACGTATTAGTATAATTGGTATATGAAGGCTACAGTGAGAGAGAAAAATAAGTTCATTTAACTAGACTAGCTAATGACAATCAGAATACATTTGCCGCAAATTTTTACAAGATAAATAGCATGCTAAGGAAATTCACTGTAAATTCCTGGGGATTGGCTGATCCTTCAAATGTTTTTGCAACTAATCCGTGCGATTTTCTGGGCCATTAGGTCGTGATCCGTTGTTTTTTTTTTACCGAAGCATTCAATTCCAACTGTGAATTACAACTACAACTCAGTGCTCCTTAGGTTAAAGCGCAGCTAATAACAGCGTAGATTAAGATTACTTATATGCGACGTCCAACTTCTGTTCTGTTTTCAAAGAACCGAAAAACTTAAAGATATCATTTTGTTTGCGGAAAAAAACGTTACATGCTAATTTCTCTATAAAAATAAATATACTTACGGATGCGCTTTCCAGAGTTAAAGTTATATTTGGATTTGTGTTGGAAAATAAGCACTTTTATTATTTTTTTTTTAAATATTAATTAACTTAAACGAACTAATTTTGCTTAGTCAGTAGAACTTTTTGTTTTTTCTTTCGCATATTTTTTAAATTATCCTGATTTTTTAATCATTCTAAACCCCATTACGAGGTAGCGTTAACAGTTTTCGCAATCCTATCTTGGACACACGTTAGCTTAGATGCACCATGCATCAGTAATTAACATTGTATTTCAAATCCGAAAATAATTGAGTAATTATTAATCATTAAGGTGCAAGATTTACCAAGAAACAACTATTTGACGTGTTTGGAATTTCTCTTCGAAACACGCCACGTCATATGGTGAGGCAAGTATCTACCGAATGTGTGCAGTCGAAATTACGCTCTCAGTTGCCCAGATTGCATTTAAATTATGTAGGTATAATAACACACCTATGCCGCCGATGCAAGTATCGAAGTGTGCTCAACTGGGACGTTGAGAAGGTTTTTTGCGTAGCGGATGTCGATGAGACGCGAGAAAATAGAAGATAACAAACCTGCAACCCAAACCAGAATCATAAACAAGTGGAAAAACTGCCTTTAAGTCTATATCGGAATTAAGTTAAATCATAGTCCGCAAATAAAAGCACATTTCTACGTTTGGTGGGGCAGATACATATACTAGACTTAATACAATTATGGTGTCTTTGCTAACAATGTCCTCGTTGTGCTCATCCATTTGCACTCAATCATATTTCAGTCTATATTTTTATAATTTCCAAAATAATCTTTTCATTAAGTTTTTGTACATTTAGTCTGACAAAATGTTCTCTAAACCTTGTAGAATGATTGTGATAAAAACACTCTTGCGCTTGCAATGAATAGATTCCGTAACCTATCAACTGAGTTCAATAACGCAAATCATAAATAAACTTTGGGAATATTTCGACAGATCCTAGTTGATAGAGAGTTTGTGTAGAGAATTCGGTAGTTGTTTATATAAATAAAACGTTAAACTAATAAAAGTCGTCACATGTGAAAACTGGACTACGCCGCTGTCCGTAAACGTGAATAATGCCCCTGGGTAATGTAAGATTCCGGCGATGGGAGAATGATACCCCTGCATCGGTAGCTTTTTTTAACCTTTCCGTGCTACTAGACGGATGTTATTTTCGTTTGCTCTGATATACCCGGTGGAAAGCTTTGAATTTGGCGCTTTGACAGGCTTTGCTTTTACATTCAGTTCTATGAATGGGATTTTGATATGTTTAACTTTACGCGACGTGTCGCTTTAAATAGTATATTATGCAACATTCGCTGACATGACTGTCAGAATTGACAAACGTCAAAATTCAAAGCGTGGGAAATATCTCCGAAAACATCCGATTGCTTGTGCGGTAAAATCCCGGAAATGTCGGAAGTGGCTCGAATTCGTGGCAAACGAAACTGACGTGGTAAAGTGACGCTTCCCGCACGCTAAATCGGTGCGTAATTAGGCATTTTACAGACGGGAGTGGCAAAAATAAATTAACAGAGTTCACAAAATTTTGATTATTGTAAGAAATGTATCGACGATTTCGAAGTGCAGTGCAAGTGCGCGAAGATCGTTGCAATAGTTAGGAACGCTATTTTTTCTACGAATATGCGGGAAATACAAAAAAAGATGAAATTAACATTTATTAATTTGCATTACAACAAAAAAACGACAAAGCTATCCTATTCATTATTAATAATATTAATAATAAATGTGCAATTGGTAGACTGGCAAATTTTTCGGTTAAAGTATATGGTACGGTACTGCTCTTTGAGTTCATATTTGGATTGACAGCACTTGCTTTCTTGTATATTTTAACTTAGCACATAGTAGGCTGTTTCCGACGACATGCAAAGCCGAACAAACTATTTTTTTTTCTATTCCCATGCCCTTATCAACCATATGCAAAATATCACTTTAAGACTTTAACTGCTATAGCGAGCCGCTTCAGAAGTTTTCGATGCTTTGGCCACAGATTTGGGGGCGATTTTCAGAATATTTTAGCCACTGGTATGGTGTTTTCAAATATGTCAGTTCTAGTGGTTACTCCAGTCAATGAATGTATTCATGCAGTTTTCCAAAAATGTACCCAATAATCGCAGAAAAAGTATAATATACAACACTTTGATAAACATGGAATTTATCAAAATAGTTGCACCTCAATAAAAAATGATAAAACGTCATATTTTAGGAATAAAATTTCGAAAAGTTTTGATGAGGCTTTCGTAAATGAAATTGGTACTTTCGCTCTTAAAAAATAAATGAAAAATATGCGTAATCTTTAGTTGCGTATCAAATATTGTTAACTCCTAGCATTTTTTATTTGGATGCTATATATTGTAGACGTTAAAAAGCATTAAAAATCAGAGTTTAAAATTATTATTTTATTCAAAACAAAGCTTACAAAAGTTTTAGAAAGGCTTTCTATCACGATATCTAGATTTGTTGATTTAAAATGGGAACGCAAATTACAGCATTATAAGTTTAATAATAAAAGGCAGGAAAACAGAAGAAAACTGCTAAAAATGTGTTGTTTATCGGCACCCGCAGAACAAAAGTCATATATAATCTATAGAAAATACTTTCGGGCAGTTAATTCATAAGACACCCACACAGAATAAGAAAAAATGACTTCCATTTCATATTTATGAAGGTAAACTTTATAAAAATATTCACCCTTTTTATGAATTTTATTATTGACCTTAAAAATAATTTGCAGTATTTTTATTACTTACTCTAAAATATAAAATATTTTTTAAAATATGAAAATTAAATTAAACTTTAAAGGGCGACAGATGGGTAATATAAGGAAACTGTAACAAAATGTATTTACTCTACTCCCTTCTCCAAAATACCCAGTTATACACCGCAAAAGTGTCATTTTGCTACGTCAATTTAGTTATCGACGGCTGTTTTTGGAGATATTACTGCACGGCTTGAATTTTGACGTATGTCAATTGTGACGGGCATGTCAGTGAATGTACGCGTGTTGTTCGGCAAAAATGTACCCTAAAACTGATGGTCGCACAAAAAATATGGTATGCAACACGTTTGTAAACTTTTTAAGTCACTTGTTGCAAAATATGGCCATAAAAGATCGCATATGATTTTTCACAAATTTTAAATCTTTTAATTTAATCTTGTACACAATTTTTATAGAAGATTTTTTTTCTCATTTTTAATACTGGGAGCGAAGAAGTTGTGTTTGAAGATTTTAGATGCAAAACTAAAGTTTTGCTCTACAGAGCGTTCCAACCAATACCGATTAAAAGCAGTTATAACATACTTCTAAACTATCATGCATAATTTGAAATAAATCCTTTGCTATGTTTTCAAGACACTGCCAGTAAGCCATCCGTATATAGTTTTTTGACGTAATTTATCAAACCTATTTTGTTTTAGGCACTATCACAGTATGGAAGTATTCGCAAAATTTGATATTCTTGATCGATTGGGTGAAAAAGTGGCCGAAGGTCATAAAGCATCATTCTGTTTGGAAGACAACCAATGTCTACCCGGTATTGTTCCAAGATACGCGTGTGCAAACTACGGTGACCAAGGAATCTCAGTCAATTGTTCAGATATATATAAATATAGCGTGGATTGTCAATGGATTGATGTCACTGATTTGGAACCTGGACACTACATTCTAAAAGTTATAGTTAACCCAGCATTTAAAGTTGCGGAAATGAAATACGACAATAACGCGGCAGTATGCGATTTTACTTATGGAGAGACTTATGGGATGGTTACTAACTGCGTTGTTCAACATGTTTAGGTTCAAAACCTGTGGTAACTTCGAGTTTAATATCTTAATCCTTTCTGTTTGTGTCATTAGTGTGTGAAGAATAATAAATAATAAACTATAAGTAAAATAATAATAAAGAAAGTAAAGCAGGACACCATGCACGAAATGATGGCCGCTGGGAAAGACTTCGAGAGTGCTGTCCGTGCTACCATACTGCCGCGCTTTCACAGATTATAATTATTTCGTTTGAAGCTTTCATGTGGTGGAATTGAATAAGTAAGAAATAAATATTACGCTGTTGATTTTTGCCAATGGGGTTTTAATTAAATCCTGTAGGTTTCTGTTCCAAAAATTCATTTTTATTCTAATAACATTGTCATATTAGCGAAAAACAGCAGTTTCTATCAAAGGTAAAAATACTGACTGCACATGTATAATAAAATTAAGTCTTGCCATTATGACGAATTATCCGGTGGAACAATGTTTGTCCCATGTCCCTTTATTCGCAATACATTTTGTATTATATTGCTATTAGCACATGGATGGTTAAGGCATATGGCTTTTTTATAAATAATATTAATAATAATAATAACATTAACAGTTTGTCCTTCATATTCAATTAGCGCGCAGGCATTAGTGCCAACGGCTCACGAACTACCGCATTCTCGTTATAGATATGTGATCTCCCTCTGTCTTATCAGTCATATTTCGAAACGCAAACTTATTTGAGACAGGTCAATGAATTTGCAAAAAGTGTTTTGAGAGATGCACTGATATGAGCCCATGTATAAAGCCGACAGCATGTTTTTTATTAGCATAATAGAGGTTGCACTTGTTACAGTCAAAGCATTTTTCGGGCTAGTGCAAAGAATAAAGTATTTTTTGCAGAAACATAAAAATGAAAAAAGTGGCCACCTAAAAAGGATCGCATATATTTTTTACTAATCCCAATTTATTATCACACAAAAACTAAAAAATATTGTTTTCAATATGTGCTGAAATTTTTTATAAAAATCATTCGGTTCCTTCATATAATTTCGCCATTGGTTCCCTGTTTAATCTCGTAGACATTTTTTGTAGAAAAACTCTTTTTTCATTTTTCATAGAATACAAAATCACAGGGTTGAAGATTTGATTATTATTTTAGAATTGGGACTGAAGCGCATTTTTTATTTTTCTCTCTTTATATTTATTTTAGTCGTTATAAAATATTTTAATTAAGAACAACGTTTAGAGTATAGGTATTTTTTAATGGTAGGTATATATATTTTTTAAGTCATTTCTGATTAGAAACAGTTAATATTTATTAAGCCTTTTGATGTTACCATATTTTTAGTTTCGCCTGTGAATTATAATTGATTGATATGTTAGAAAGTTAATTGACTTAGATATTAAAATGCCCAAAATTGTATTCGAAATATTTACTTTGACCCACGCAGTAAGTAATCTGTTTTTGGTGCAAATTCCTTCAATTCCATAGATTAAAATCTACTAACGTAACTAAACTAACCAAAACTGACTATATGAACCGTAATGTGTACCTAATTGTTAAGATTTCATATGTATTGAACATTAATTATTTCACGTCTTCGCAACATAATAATTGCAATAATAACTCAAATCTTTATAAGGGCGCATAATAAATATTTTAGATAAAAATAACAATGAAACTAAACAATCGACAATAAAAAATTGACTTAATAACATAACAATATGCGGAGTTTATAGTTAGTTCTACTCAGAGTGACCAATTAATTATTTGCAGTTTAATAATTAATGAAAAGTGTTGTGACATCAAAATGTACATTTCACTTACACAATACTAATAAAAACTACCCTAAACACTTCAGGTAAATCACAGGCGATAATATTGCAAACATCAATGAATGTTGAATAATAATTAATACTAATAAAACAACAACAATAACTAAACTCTTTGCAAATTTCAGAATATATATTTAAGGTAAAAAAGTATGAAAGAAACGAAATAATAACTAATTCCCTTCAAATTGACCACTTCACTACTGGGTACGGAGCGTAATAATTAACCAAAATCGTTGTGACATCAACAAATATTAGATGCCTACAAAACGCTAATAAAAGTTGCACTTTACAATGGGAAGGCATATGACATATGGTGACCGTCATTCAATTAATTAAGAATCAACCGAAACTGTTGTAGCGCCAAAATTATGAAATTAAGCTGCAAAACACTAACAAAAACTAACAAATACTTCAAGTAAATGAATGACGGCAATGTTACAAGGACTTCGTACATGTACATCGCACATGATCACGGTCACTCATTGCCACAGCAAATTACCCATTTAGAGGTGTGCGCGCAATGCATCATTCACGCGAATGAAACGGAAAAAAATCAATCATAAAAGTCTTTGCTTAATACCAGAGTCCGCGCGTATAAAAAAAGACATTCCCGGGTACCTTCCAAAATGCACCTGCCTCACCTTGTACTATGTTACATCGAAGTAGCTTCTCAACGGCCATTCTACCTGCCGCTCGGATCATATTCACCGACAAATGCAGAGCACCACGTGTTTTATCATAAGGGTGGGGACCATACCAACTGCAATCGGTAGCTGTTTTAAGGGTCATTGCTGGTGCTAATTCAGTGTCATTCATATAAGGCCGAAGTCAGTCGCATACAAATAGATCACAACCGGGTATGCAAGGTGCCTTTCGGACTCGTTCGCGGTTCGTCGATGATGGCTAAAGCACTGATTCGCACAAAGATTTTTTTATGGAAATTGAATACTTTGTTTATTAATCTAGATTGTCTTACGCCTAATTATACAAACAATTTGAATAATATTGTTAAGAACGCAATTTATTGCTAATCGACCTGACTCATAATCGTATAGGAAACCGTCCGCAAAAAGTGAAAAATGTCGTGTCCGCTATTTAGCGTAAAACAAAGTGGTGTATTGATACAATTAACGTAAACCGGTACGCTAAGATAAACGAAACCGTGGTGAATAATTAATTATAATCGCAAAAAAATCGCGATGGAGACTTGTGTTTTGATTCCTCGTGAATTCAGCCTTTGTGTCACCAACGCCGCTCCATGTGGGACGAATAGAGATTCCGAAGTTTCGGTGTGGTCAAATACATCTATTGGGCCGGGATCTTTATACTATCCCTTCCAGGGTACCATTAGAATTGACAAACTTGGTGTCCATGGACAACTGGACGAAAACGACGTGAGTAAATCAATTACAAGCTTAGTTCACCCTTTTCAGTTGGCGCCAAATCGGTCTTAAAGAACGTTTGTGACTGGAGGTCCAAATCTTTTGTATACGCTTTTCTTTTAAGAATTCGTTATCGTTTTATTTAGCTACTAAAAAAATTAAATATCAGATTCAGGTGTCGGGAACATTTTCATGTTATTGTTATGCATTTAACAGACACCGTTTTTTATGAAGGTACTTTATTTAATTACAAATGGGAATCACATGCGAAATACGTTTTCTGCGATTTTTTCGTTTACATTTAATCTAGAAATAGCAATGTAATTGTTAATTAAAGTTAATTTAAAATATATCGTAGTTCCTAGTTGTTATCTGCGATAACGTTTTTTATAGTTTATAAATAAAACAATTATTTGCGGAGTTCGTTGAGTAAAATGTGGAAAATTATGTTAATATAGCAAAAGAAGTGAAGAGTGGAAATTTTTTCCACAAAATTTTCACTTACAATATCCTAATGCTTCAATTATTTCCTAAAATTTTGAAAATTATCAAAAAACGTGAAGCGGCATGACTTTTATCATAGGGGTCAAGCCAGGGAAATTTCAAGTTATTAATCTCGCAGATAGAGTAGGAAGATTTTTCTGTCATATCTGTCAAAAAAATGAATTTAAATTGGATAAAAACTACTGGTGTTAAATTCTCATGAAAAGAACGAATTCTTGCCAACTTGTGTCCCCGATTTTTGAAAGAAAGAAAATAATTTCCGAACTTATTAATGTAAAAATTTTAGAAGATTAGTAAAGAGAATCATTAGATATCTTTCTAGAGGACAAAACGCTTAATTTTAAGTTTAATTAGTTACGCACAAAAACATTACTTGGGAAAAAGCTCAAAACGTAATCCTTTATTAGTATTTTTTATCTACATTTAAAAAAAAATAGCTATAACAATATAAACAATTACTGGCGTTTTGACGTTTCTTGCGAATTAATTATCACATTATTATTATTATTATTATTATTAAATTATTAAATTTTTATTGTCGCGAGTTATTTACAGTAAATGCGTTCGTGTGCAATGAACTTTAATGCAAATCTATTCTTGCTTTTGCTACTACCTGTTCTGAACGATTCGTCTTTTTTTCTTTACCGTAAATTAATCAGCCAATAAAGGTAGGCGTAAATGTGCTAGCCAATGATGAGGTAATTAGTCATTACAGCCAATAACATATTCGCAATAGTTGAAGTATTTAAAGTATTCAAAATTACAAAGTGGTAGTTAGCTACTATTAAAAACTAGATAATTGGCAACAATGCCTAAAGATCGAGCTATAAATCATCGTAATTATTAAAAACTGTTAAAGATTAGTATATGTTTCGGTGAACGGTGACTTCAAAAACTGTTTTGAAAATCTTTTCGGATATTTATAATCATTTTTCAGCCAATAAGCATTGAAAATTATATTCTAGGACAAATTTTCATAATTTAATTTTAGTTGTGTTTTTTACAAAATTATTAGGGACTTCTAACATTGCACACGTAAATTCGCACTTGTCATAAATGTCACAACGCAAATATTCATTATTAAGGAAGTAATACCCCCATAGAGCTAATATCTATTTTTTCTTTTTACAGATTGAGGAAAAATTAACATAATATCAACAAGCGCATATAGGAAGTTAACATAGCATAATAATAGTTAACAAAATGTCATTTACTACATTTTAAACAAATATTACGTACCATCGCCGGTGTTTTCTTTTCTATAATTCTCTAATTTATACTTTTTATAAATCTCCGAATTTTTTAACAGATACTGTATAATAACGCCGTTATAGACTCAACTCAATGTTAATTAACATTTTATGAGGCAAATTTTATAGAAGGTATATTGAAAAATAGGTATTCTTGATGTGTGTTATTTATTTTTCGAATTCCAAGTAAGTCTCGTTTAGTCATTTAAGATATTTGTTATTACGTGTTATTATTTAAGATATTCCTTTTTATACAGTTTTATATATCATTCTTCAAAATTAATTTTGCAAGCGAAAACTCCTGAAGAAAAATATCATAATATTCAACCAATTTTTATACGTTTGGGAGCAAAACTAGATTTTCAACAATGCTTGTGGAGCCCGGTTTGCTCGCATCTCAATTTAAAATATATCGTGGTCCACACCAACGTGTAGTTAATAAATGCGGGCAGGTTTAATGAATTTCAAAACAGGGCCGGTTTTTGAGAGGTACGTTTCGGTGTTGCAACATTATTGATATCGAAGGAAGTGATCCATCTTTTCTTAAATTTAAACTGCTTTTCGAGCTGCCTTTTGCTATGCAACAATAATTTTTCGTAACAAAAACCATTTTTTACTCTCTTTCCAGTGGACAAAAATATTTCTAAAGGTAATTGGTAATTAATTAACTTCTTTTTGTTGTAAAGCGCATGGAAAACTGCTACTAATGATCAATAAAGCGTGTCTAAATTGCAGATAAATTAGCGATATTGCACCTCTCAAAACTATAGTTTGTAATCAGTGTTCCCATGATATTTGTAAATGTATAAAAAATATACCGTTTTCCCCAAAAGCTTTCTATAGAATTGTTCGAGATTTTAAGCTTGAAAATTTTTGTTGCGAAAATCTTTGCATTATTTTTCCATACTACAAACGGTGACAGTTACATGGCGTCAATTTAAATAATCCATTTTCACGTTTTTCTTTATTGATTGTTAAGATTATTGATTAATTCCCATACTTAGTGTTTAAACAAATCTTCATTTTCAAAATACGTAACAACTTGTAATTTCCATTCAATATCTATTTCGTGAACTAACTGCGTTATATCAGTCGCTGCCTATATTGCGTGCTTTCCGGTCTTAGGTGCGCTATAGTAGGTTTACTCTGAAATTTCTAGAGCATTTAACGAAGTGTTTCGCATACCTCGGAGGCAAAATTCTTCTGCTTTGAGCCGTCGCAGATTCTGTTATCTTCAATTTTATAGTGATCTTGGCTGCTTGGGCGTGGTTGGTAGCCTCCGGAGCCTACGACGGGTTCATTAAAAAGTTAACTGTATCGTTCAAAATGATTTTATAATTTATCGTTTCGTAAATAGAACTCTGGTAGCTTTAGTTACATGCTAATATTGAAGAGTTATTTTACACAATGTGCCATATTTCGTAAAAATATTCAGGAACGAATTTTTAAGTGTCTTGTAGTTCGCAACAACATAATACCAGTCGTAAGCAATGGATTGTAAATAAATTTGGTATAGTTTGACGTAGTTTTGGCCTTTATTGCTAATGGAAGTAATGAAAGCGTGAAATTCTATTTCTGCGTTGCCGAATACTTACGGGAACAAACAACTTCCTTCAAATACACGGTGAACAATAAACGGTTTAAATTCTTACTTCTGCTAAACTAAGCAAACAAAATATACATCAAAACATTAAATTCGATATTATTTTTATAATCGCTATTTTACGTGGGATCATAATTTTTCGCTGTCAGAGATATGTCGGTCAAAAACTTCTCCCGGCGTGAGTTGTGGTATGTGAATTACCACTTAACAATTTGAAGTGGCCTTCCACCCACACCAACAGAGTGGAAACGGTGGTAGTATCAATTCATTTTATTATCTAGTGATTTGATATTCGATGAAAGCTTTTGTGATTTTTTACCCACAAGTTGGTGGGAAATGCTCGTATAATATTAGGTTTTACTTTGAACTTATTATTTCGAACCATATGGCTACTAGATATACTGAGGCCCTGAGGTGCGGGAGCTCCTCAATTTTGGCAGTATTTTCTCAAAATTAAAAAATCATTCGCTTCTCTACAAAAATGTCAAAGTCGTCTGGACTAATTAATTTTTACCGTTTTTACAGCTACTACATTATCTAACAGCTATATGTTTCAGACCAATGTAAAATGTGGTTATGTATTAATACTGTATCTTGTCAATCTCGATTTTACGTACAAGAAACGGATCCTTAATCTGTTACCCACGGTTCGAAAATGACTTCCGATTTTTAATGATAGGAATGAGGTGCAGGTGTTCCTAAAGACTTTTTCGTACCATCAGTAATGTGTTTTTTCCTTTAGAATTGTGTTCGTGAAATGCAGTAAGAGTTTCAAAGTTCATTTATGGCAGTATCCTCAGTTTTATTTTTTTTAATTTAATATTAAGTAGTTAGAGCAAGAACTTACCTTTAACAACCTAATCTTTATTTTTCTCATCAATGTTTGACGTAAAAACTAAAAAAATCTATTTATTAATTATAAAAAATGTCTGTTACATATTTTTAGTTTGCATACTCCATTTGCAATAATTTCTTTACAATTTTTCACAAAAAATGAATCTAAAAAGACAAGAAATTTAAAAGATATTTCATTTACTTCTATAACCCCGCTTCTGGGTTTTATGGAAACTTTGCTTTTGAGGAGCAATAAAAGAGAGGAACAAAACACAGAGAATTGTTTCTTGTCCGAATGGGACGCTCTCATTTTTAACAAACTAACAAAATATACTTGACACTTTAGAAACTCGCAAAAATAAGTGGCAGACGAATGGGTCAAATAAAATTTAAACAAAACCTAACGACCCATGTTTTTTATATAATCTAGCACAGATAAAATAGGCAGCAATTACTTTGCATAGTAAATGCTTCTACCAAATTAAATAAAAAATATCCACAAGGACAAAATTAAGCAGTGCAAAAAAATGAACAAAGAGTTCCAGGTATCATAATTAAAAAATTATGGTTATATTAAACCTTTTTCTTACACGACTAAACCGTTTCATACGCGAAAAATATTCTTGACTGCTTGATATGCTTAATCGAATGTTACAGTTTGTCAGGTGCAAGTTTTAAATGTTATGGCTAGTTTACACTTTGATAGGTAACAAGGGCCAGTTTGTACTGCTAGAGCTTAGTTGTCAAATTGTAAGTCGATCCTGCAAGTGAGTAGTGTTAAGTCAGAAATGCAAGTAAATCCAAATCTGTCAAAGAAACTTCTACCCAACACAATCGCCAAAGCGGATATAAAATTTTATTCGATAAAACTAAAATTCTTGCATGTAATCAATTCTTGTACCAACGAAAAATCTATCTATCTAAATTCACGCCCTTCCTTGAGCTCCTCCCTCCTAAAACAATATATAAAAGCCAACAGGATGGTTGTCGAAACGTCAGAAAGTTCGACTCAACAAGACCCGACGCAGAAGTTTTGTAAATAAATCCAAATCAGGCTTTTCAATTACAAGTGTTAAGTGTTAAATGATAACTTAACAGGTCAAGAGATCACTTATTGCTGGATACTCACACTATCGACATGGCGAATGGATTTGTAATTTCACACTACCTCTACATACCTACAGTACTAATGATTGTGTAGATCGAATATTTCTCAATAATTAATGCTTAACATGTTTTGTTACCATTTGACACTTATGACTTCTACTGACTTCTACTTAACATACATGTATTATAACATGTTAAGTAGACTTGGTTGCATTTACTCACACTCAACACTACTCACTTAACGGATCGATTTCCAATTTGATAAGTAAGCAATAACACCTATACTTTACTACTAATCAAAGTGTAAATCGGTCATTTTGGTTATAACAAATTCTCGACACCGAGAGTTCGAAATAGCATGAAGATCGAAAGACGTTTTTCTTCGGCCGCGCTTGTACCATAGTATCCTTACTAACATATTAAACCTTTGCAAGAAGAAGTCTATTACAGCCTCGAGGTTTAAACAGCTACCGAGCCAGCATCAGGCACGCACAATCCATCAATTTTATAATGGTCTGATGGTTTACATAATTATAATAATAAAAAAAATACAGATCCCGAGGCTACCAATACGCTGGTAATTATTTAAACTAAGCATTTTATGCAAGCGACATTCTATGCTAGTCTGCCGAGAAAATTTAAATATTTATTTGTTTTTGGTAAAGGTAAAATGGAAGTTTTATTATGGAAATAGTTATCAAAGACGAACGAGAAATGTACTTGAATAATAACAAATAAATGTAAAATGTTTTGATGAATATCATTAGTTAGTACACTGTCATATATAACTTTACTTAAAACCTACTTAACCAAACACTTTCAGGAAGTCGAGTATATGGCTGCATCTTGGTGAAGCTATTGGCTGCATTCGGAATGTTAATACTTATAGCACACTTAATCGTAATCTACTCACTCGAGGAACTGAACCCTGACTAAGGGATAACCTTTGTAAAGTTGTCATTCGGTTTTCGCGAAATGCGAATAGTAAGAAAAAGGAAGAACTAGCTTAATCAAAAATTCAATGGTTATTCTTAGTTAAAACTAAAAAATGTCGAACTTACATTGTCTTTATTTAACCGGATTACACAACGGTTTACTCATAATATTTCGCACAGACAGTTCACTAGTCGTCTGATCATCATACTATAACATCCACAGAAAATATTTATTTTATTAATATGTGAAAGATTACAGATTAAAGTATTACACAACTTCTTAATTATCAAATCAATTCTCCAACCTTACTACTTTATATTAACATCTAGTGCAATAATATCGGAAGTATTCTCCGCTAAATAGATTTTTTAATACCTCTAATGGGAACCAATATGGCATGTTTAGCTCCAACTTATCCACAATCAAATTTTTGCTAATTTTCACCTTACGTTTTTTTTGTTACTTTCAATTTTTAAAAAAAAAATAACATAAACATGCATAAAAGTATAAAAAATAAATTTAATATTTATATATAATAGTTATTTAATATTACTATTTATTATTTAATATTACTATTTACAAATCTTCTGTTGTTGATTAATCGAAATTGCTGACGTTTCGCCAATTATCCTATTGGCTTCTTCAGACTTTAATTGAAATTGAAACAGTTTCAAGAAACTAACAGGATGATTGACGAAACCCCAGAAAGTTGGATTAATCAACAGCCTACGCAAGAGGAACCCAGAAGATACAAACGATTTTAACCTGTGCGATTTTCCGAGCTGATAGGGTTGGATTTGGTGTCTAAGCTTTTAGCAGTTCTATAACCTGAAATCCACTGAGCATGGCTGCCGCATTTGCTTGGTTAGAAAAAGCAACGGATCGCGACCTAACAGCACGTAAAATCGCACAAATTATTTGAAAAGTTGACGTAAATATTAATGAGCAGGATGATTGACGAAATATCAGCAAGTTCGATTTATCAGAAACCGACGTACGAGGAACACTTGCTTGTTTATGTGATTTTTTGTTTAAAAATTTTAAATAACAAAAAAAACTGTAAGTAGTCTGTGGAACTTTCTTTGAAAAATTGTATTATATTTTATGAAATGAGCTAAATAAATTGTGAACAGCTCAAAATAAAATATTGGAGCTGAATCTTAAAAAATAAGCTGCTATAACTTTTAGGTTCTTCATTTTCTTTTTGCTGCTATATTATAAAATATTTAATGACATTTTATGGAGTGAGTTACATAAAACATTAATGCTGAACGTTAGAAAATAAGCAAACCTAACAATAACCCTAAGCCTTAAATTATTTAATTTTATTACTGTTATTTTAACAAAATGCCATGAGTATTTGTTTTTTTTTTAAATACATTTTGCAAAAAGAAAGGCCCTTACTGTCAATTTTATGGGTGACATGACGCAAATTCAAGGAGCCTTGGAAATGGAAACTTCTCAAAAGAGAGAATTTATGCACGATTTTGAGAAGATGGCTAAGTGTCGCGGAATGGTGTAGGTTTTGTCATTGTGTTACTTCTGTATAGACCGATTTTTAAAAACAACAACACGAGAACTGAGAAACGTGTTCCAGGAAGTACATACTGCTGAAAATTTTATTCGTTCAACCGTTATCGTGGGGTAAACTCGAATCACGACTTTTGTAAGCATATGAATATAGGAACAACTGTGCTTTTCAATCTTGAATCCCAGTTTGGAATTTACCAAGGTTCTGGAAATATTCGTTGGTGGAAAGAACTAATGCTGTATCGGCTGGAGAACCAACCTCATTCTACCTCATCACTGGTAGATCAATCAGAACCATTTTTTTCTTAAATATCAAACATTATTGGAAAATTTCATAATAAAACGTTTATAACAAGTGTTTATATGGTCTATGAGTCTATATAACGTAGAATACTTAATATTTGTCTCGTTTTCTTGAAACAAAGAAAACAAAATAAAATAAAGAGAAATAGAAATATTTCATAAAAATTTAAGCAAATGCAGAACAAAAAATATCAACGTCAAAAGAACTTTTTTGTGAAAGAGACAAAAATGAAATCCAAACAATGGAAAAGTGAATTCTCCTGCGGATAGTGCGATGACGGCCATATTGTGAGTGCTGATACTGACACCAATAAAATTGCCGATAAAGACTGCTTCTACGTAGTAATAGTTTTTAATTATCTTTTTATATGTTATTGTAATCGACGTTTGTATTTGAATGTGGAGAATCCTAGAGTTCGTTGTGATGCATATTAGATTTTAAATACTTGAGTAAGTATCAGTTAATTAATGTCTTTATCAATAACTAATATGTATAAAATTTCGTGTTCGTAAAATTTCCTTAAATATTAATATTTTTAAAGTGGGGAGAAGGACAGCAAATATTGTGTTGCCTACACGGGAGGCAAACACTTTAGCGACGGAGCTTATTTGTTGATTGCACGTTCAAAAAGTGTTTGCTCACAAATTTGATGTCAATATCTAAACTAAAGCACCGATCAAGGACTAAACTATCGTTTTTATTTCAGGTTCGTCATAGGTTCGGCTGCTATGACAAAGTTTCTTTCGATATTACTTGTGGAAAAGTACGACATTGTAACTGGATTAGATTCCTCAGGGTGTCTCCAGTTTTTAGCGCGTCGGTTAATATCATATCGACGAAGGTTGGGGGAGAACCGGTGTATAGATGTGTGAAACCTGTTCTACCTCACACCGAACTACTTGTTCATTACTTGCCCGAAAAACCAGAAGAAATGTTTTTCGCTAAAATGAGAACTTCGTTGTATAGGCAAACAATGGATTTATTATTGGAAGGTAAGCTTTACTTTGGTTTTTCTTAGTGAAAAAAAATACTGCTCATAAAAACCTAGCAACCGCAAGCCAAACCGTAAATTTATTGTTGCCAAGAACTAACCAAAATATTGTTCTGTATTCATCAAGGCTCAATGAGCATATAAACAAAACTACTATCCGAATCATAATTTTAAAATATCATTTTTTCTTACTGCATTTTCAATAACAATTTATTATTGAATATTATTCAACAATACTATATTATACAACAAGTGTGGCAAACGGCATTTAAGTCACGAGTTTATTTAGCACGAGCGGAGCAAGTGTTTAATAAACTGTCCTACTATATAACTATATTTACTTACATTTTGCTTCTTGGATTATGCTTTTAAGTGTTATTGATTCGTTTTTGAGTTCGTTTCCAATAGTTCAAAATGTTATTTATTGACGAGTTGCCTCTGCTCGTTACTCCCTAATGCCAGTTTGGCAGTATGTTATTTCAGAAAGATTTATGCTGCTACCATAATTTCAATTCGCTGAAAATTATGCAAAACCTGCCGCTCTTGTTAAAGCTTTACATAATTATCAACATATTGCAGGAATTCTACATTTTTGTTACACTAATTAACACTCTCTCATAATTCGTAAATTTATAAAAAAATGAAAAATTTATTTATACATTATATATTATAAACATAATAAAATATAAGCATAATTGTTCTCGCGATTTTTATGGAATTATTCGTAATTTGGCAAACAAAACACCGCGGATAATTAACCAGAAAAGAGTTTCGCTTTAAATTGCAAACGCAACTGTTCGTTCAGTTGTTTGGATACGGGGCAAAATTACGATTTTTCAAATGCGGCTTTGCATCTAAAAACTCGGTAGCAGACAAAGGGAGTAGCCGGCAAAACGTCAACCGGTTCCATACAATTCCATGTCAGAATATGTTAGGGTTCCTATATTTGCATTCAATAGTACCATAATCCATTCGAAGTTTGTCCCGCCCAAGAACCATTACGAGTTTTATTGACATAAAAACCAGAAATCTTTCCAAGAGGACAGAAAACTGAAAAAGGTAAATCCTATCGTAAAACTTACTAAAAATTATATCCCACGGCTCGTACAAGCAAAACGCAACCCGACATTTGTGTAGCCACCTTATTAACAGGTTGCAGCGGCAGGTGCTTCACTGCCATAAGTACAGAATTGAAGAACGACATGACACGTTCTCTGCTTAGGGGCCGCTAGCGCCAATAGCGTTCTTCGAAGCAAAGCCTGAAAGACGTATTTCGTTTAATCTGCGATCAGAAGGGCAGGAGCATTATACTTTTTAGTTTTCCAATTTTTTGTTTATCTGTATTTAGATGCCACCAACTTTGATTGGTTTATCGTGAGATATTTTTTGACCGTTGGATTTTATCCTATTTAGATCCTTCTCTAGATGCTAATGCTTACATTTTTGAAATCGGAACCGTAAGGAATGTATTTGTAAAAATATTGAATACATGATAAAACCGATTTACGTAATAGTAATATCGGCTGCCGCGAGTGTCCCCAGCGAATTGTAGTATGATATTCCAATATTTATTTTTTTTACATTCCATTAAATAATTAAATGTGTTGAATGATTTATTAAAGCTTTCCCCGAATTTATTTTTAAGGGACTACAAAAACCTCTACATAGAAGCGAATTATTCTTTCGCTAAGTTTAGAATGTTGCGGGGCAATACCCATTATTGTTTCTAATTCTTATTTGGTCGTATCAAAGTTTATTGCCAGATGTTCTAGGGATTACATCTTCTACCATGCCGATTCTTTGTTACACGTGTGCACACGGGGATTATTTTTTAGAGGCTCCTTTTAAAAAACTTTTAAGGTATTTTCTACGTATCTGCCATCTTTGAGGGGAAGAAAATTAAAATCATTCTTTGGTCTAATTTTAATTAAAATTTTCAACGGAATGGAAAAAGTATTTGACTTTGACCTTTTGGTTGCATTTTAAGCAGTCATTGAGAAGTTGGAGTATGTGCAATCCTTTATTAGTTTTGTTTTATTTTTTTTTAATATTAAAGGGGGAGATAGGTATTCCTTAACTGAAATATTCATGCGATGCTCCACAAAAATTTCAAGAGGAGAAAACGACATAACTTATGCTTTATTTTTGATCAAAAACTGAACAAGCTGCGACAAACAGACAATTCTTGGAACTTTAACACGATATATTAGGCTTGCTTATTCTGCTTAATTTTGCATAATATCCAAATCCAAATTTGAAAGTATTGGTGCGGAAATACGGTAAAATTAATACATCTCAGACGCCTATGACATATTCGTACAATGGGCAATAATCTTGTGCACATCCCATTTTAAATAGCGATCTCGACACACTTAACTTTTTTTCCTGAAAATGTAATGGAGTCTGGGCATGTTTTGAAAAAATAAGACAATAAACAACCACAGCTACACAGGTTTGATCGAATAGCCCTCATCATTTCACATTTACGTTAGAGTACCAATATCCCAACCGGGTTAGATAATTATTTTTGGAGTAACACATTTTATTTGCACGATATTTAATTAAGCCGTACTGACCAAACCAGTATGGCGCATTCAAACGGTTTTGTTATATAAGGAACAGTCATTAACTTCTTGATCAGCAATGAAATAGAACAGAATGTTTTCCAAAACGCTCTGATCTTTTTATTTTATTTTTTTTATTTTATCCTTTATCCAAAAATAAACATAATAAAGTGCCTCTACTCAAAAATATAAAGTAGACTTATATACTGAAAAGAGATTACGGTTAGTAAGTTAGCTAGAATAAAACATGTTATCTACTCGATATCGTAAAAAACAGTAAAAATATTAACAAGAACGTTACAAGCTGTAATCTTTCATAAAACTTGACTGCTTATTTTTTAAAATATTTTTAGCGGCAAGGTAAATATAATAGTAATATAATATAAATATAAAAATAAATATAAATGTAATAGGTCGCACTGTCTTCCAAACATCGAGGAATATGTATCTGAGATAAGAATCAACAAAATTTGTAGCCAAACGCATAAGTATCTCCGGAAAAACAAATTAATACCAAATGTTCATTAATTAAGAAGTAAATAATTTGATAATGTCATTACCGAGAGTTTATTACCGACATAAGTTTCTCAAATGTTTCCGCAACGTTGTCCTTTTATTGCCAATAGTATAATATTTCAAGTAAATCTTTTTCTCATTTCTAATAACGATGTTTGATTGCGCAACTGTTTATCGCAGTCCCGGTGTAAGTACCACTGCCAGTGAGTATCCCTTTTTATTCTTTTACACTTCTGGGTATCTCTAAGTTTAATCATGCGTCAGTAAGCCGTAAGCTGCAGCTTTTGCAGCCTTGTAGCGGCTTTTCCCGGTATTTGATATAACTATTGAAAATTTGTTCGACAATAAACTACTAAATTCCAATATATATTTTTTTATTTTTCGCAAATATTGTTTACATTTATACTTCCATGCAGAGCTGCTGAAAAGAAACTGATCAGTGATAGTGATGCGAGTTACTTCCTACGTTATCCAATCGGACACAAAAATCACGTAGTTTTCAAACAATATCTCAAAAATTCTATATAAAACTAATTTTGTTTTCTTTTTCGTTTTTAGTTTCTTTTTTTATGATTTTTTGTAGAATGGCAGAATGGCTAATAAACAGCGATGTACATTCCTATCAATCAATCAAAACCTCTCATTCATTATTCTATATAATGAGACATCATGAGTGTTTCATTTTTAAAGTTGCAAACAAACTCGCAGAATTAATTCCATATCGATTTTATGACATTTTTGGTTTTAACGTTAAATCTAACCACGCAGATCGCCTGATTTTACGTCCATGGATTTTCAACTCTGCAGCGGTAAATTAATAACGCAACATTATTTTCAACACTACCCAATTATGCCGGGATACGTGCGGAAAGTGTCACTTTAAAACGTCAAAACGTCATTTCGCGCGTTTCCGGTATATGAATTACGGGTTTGGGAGCACTCGGTAGATTTCAGGCATGGTATTTCCTCTTATTTTGAAGTATACGTCACACATCACCCAATGAATATATTCGTGCTGTGTTGCAAAAATATACCCTAAACCTGGACGCGATTTTCAAAGCATTGTATGTAATATGTTCAGTAACTCACTTATTAATCACTCGCCTCACTGCCCTTCGTTGGTGCCAAATCAAATTCGTGACGAAAATGTCTTTTATCAAACTTATTGCATAAGAAACTATTAAGTGATAAACGCCTATGCAGTAGACATAGCACAATTTTTTAAAAATGTTGCTTTCCATATTTTTTATATTTGATATTTTAATGTAATTTTTAACAGTCCTTAAAACAATAATTTTGTTTTTAGAAATAAAATGAACATAGCAAATGCCAAAAATTCCTTTTAATTGGTATATAACACTATAATGAGAACATGAAATCAAAACAGAAAAGCTGGGAAAATTTTGAAACAAGAAATACAAAATTAAAGTAAACGAAATCGTTACACTAACCGCTTCCATATTATGATAACGCTGAATAAACTCGGTTTAGTATTCTAACGAACCTTCAATATTCGTCAAAACCGTAGAAAATAAACAATCGATGTCATAGAATTAAATTATATATCACACATACATAATGCATGTACCCTGAAGAAACCTATTATGATTTGGAAGTTATTTTTTGGATTTGATTTTGATTGAGGGTATGCGGACACACTTCAAAAATAGACAGAGTGTCTAGTAATTCGAAATCAATTAAAACCTAAAGTTTGTAGTTCAAGGCGGTCTATCTATTCGAGGATTTGCGTATATATAAAACTGCAACCTTCAACTTCAACAAAAAATGAATGGACATATTTATACTTTTGTTCAAAGATGTAATCTATTTAAATTGTGTTTTTCGGCGGGCAGATATGCACATGTCGAGGAATATATTCACGCAATGCACGAGGTATCAAAATCAAATTTTAATTCCTTAACAAACATAACAGAACTAGATTCGGAATTTTACAAAAATGTATCTTTTGGAACGGTCATATGACCTTTGCTCCTAAGACGTAAGAAGTATTCGACAAAGGCATTCTTTTGTATACTGAGATAGTTGATTCTTCTTCTTCTTCTTCGTGTCTCTATGGGATCGTTTCTCGCTCGAAATTTGTGAGCCCCTGTTCATCCATTTGTTGAGATCACCCACTCATGGCTTGCGCAAAGACATAAGTAGTTACATATTATAGATGTTGATAGGTACAGTTGCCATTTATATTTTGCATTACCCTGCAGAGAATATTGAAGAGGTTGGGCAAAAAAAATTACATAAAAGCTGTATGGATTATCTATATTATCTTTTGAACGTAACAATAAAAACAAATGAGCGCCACAAATGTAAAAACACAATCTTCCTTTTTTTAAAGGTATACTTATTTTTAATTTAATTAATTATGTTTAACTGTATATTTTTACTTAAGATGAAAGGTTTAACCGTTTTTGAAATAACTTTAGTTTATTCGAAAAAATAATCACCATCACTTAAATAAGAAAAATGTGAAATATTTTAGCTTTTTCATTGAAACAAAGAAAATGTATCGCAAGTTCCAGGTGAATATATACCGAATATTGAAACATGTGTTATTTCAAAAACGATCGAACCAAATAGAGACAAACTATATATTTTGGAAATCGGGATACAAATGACTCATCCCGAATAAAAATATGGCATATTAATACATAAAAATGTACAAAAAAGCGAAGTTGTAGTTTTTTATCTTTACGACGTTCATTTGTTTTCATTAATATGGTCAGAAGATAATACAGGAAAAATCATACAACTTTTACAAAAAAGGTTTTATCTAGCCCTTTTAATGAACTCTGTAGGTGAGTCAAAATGTAAATTAAATTATTGTTTTCTTTTTCGTTAGTTGGGTTATTATTAGGTACTAGCTTTCAAATTAGTTAAATCTGAAAGCTATATTGTTAAGCTATTATTTATTTATCGCGTTATAGATTCCCCGTTGGATCTTTCAATGTCTCTTCTATCGAAAGCGCTTAGAAGATCGTCCGCCACGACAGAGGACGAATTAAGATCGGTATCGGGAGATAGCCTATGCTCGCAAGGAGATCCTTGCGAAAACGAAGTGCAAGATACGAAAACGAAACCAAGGGAGAGAACGCGCCTACCTTGCGGAATTTGCAGTAAAATTTTTGACCGCCCTTCATTGTTAAAAAGACACATGCGAACACATACAGGTAATAACCATTTATTTATTACTTTTATTCACGATATTTATACTTAAATAAAAAAAGTGGGGTAAAACGGGAAGTAGGAACTTGCTGAAAATTTGGCCATTTAGTTAATTGACCCTGTTCTATCGCTTTAAAATACTTTGAGTCTTACCACTATTATCTGATAGTAACTACCATTTTTCTCTCCTCTACTAGCTTATGATTTTTATAAAATATTTGCCTATACTATCTCTTAATTTCGTTCAGAATGACTATATTTTCAAAGCATCTTGGATACTGGTTCTGCCTAGGGTGAAATCTTCTGCAATGTATAGAGTGGCCCGTTTAAAAGCCTATACCTTATATATACCTTATCTGGAAACCTGCGGGGATTACAAAAAAAAATTAAAAACAAAAGTTGTTTCTATTAAAATGACCTTTTTTTTATTTTCCTAATCGTCCCTTTTTTGTATACTGGGTGGTAAAACAAAGTTACATTTCTTTAAACAGAACACCCTACATTTTATTGCATTTTTGGATAGTCCCTTCAAAGACAAATTCAACGATATATATGAGTCTGTGATGCACCGTTTCTATCTAATTAGCGATCATCTTCAGAATTCAGGTTATATTTAATCCATCAACGTTGGCTTGTTTATTAAGTTTTGAAACTTTTTTTTAAAGATACGCGGTGTTGCCACGTTTCGCAATATGATACTTTTCTCAACTTTCTTAAATTGAGACACATTGTATATTATTGAATTTTCGAATACCTACTTTAATAGCAATTAAGAATCTTATAAATAAGGTCCTTAAATGGAAAAAAACTTTTAAACAATATTCATATTCTTAATAATATAGCCCACATGCCTTTAAAAAATATATAGAATACTGCCTGTTGAAAGACAAAAACACAAAATTGATGATATTATTAATTTTGACATATTCATTGTTTTCAAAACAATAGTAGTTCTCTGTTGTGGTAAATATTACTGATTTTTTGACAGGTGTATTATAATATTTTAAGCGTATTTTTTAGGACTTCCGCTATTTTCCCCTCTTAAACGGGCCAGCCTGTACAATGTGAGGTCCAGTTTTCGTTGTGATTACGTGGTACCTCAGTTTTTGATAGAGACATTGTGGTTTTCACAAAACTGCGCTCGACTTTCGTGAAACAAAAGATGCCGAGCGAACATTATTTTTGAGATATAGAGTGAAACAGAAAATTTTAGCCATTTTAAACGCACTATATTGTAATGACGTCATAAAAACGGGATGTTATAGATTTTATTACGCATAATCCATATACTTATTTAGATTTTTTGAAAAATATGCACTTTTTAATATGTCTTTTAAGTAAGTCGTACATGCCAATTAATTTAGCAATTCCAAATGTATCAAAATTACGAAATAATGGTATGTAATATATATAATTAGTGTTTGATTTATCATATTAAAATTTTGATAAAATATATTAAAAATGTTTCTTACATTGCAAAATTAGTAAAATTAAATAAATAATAACATTAAATTTAAAATATTGAATAAGTTAAGCTATTTGCATTTCTTTGGGTTAAACGGAAAAGCCGCACAATTATGAACCCCCTTAAAAAATAATCTCGGTAAGCAAAACTATCTACTAATCCCAAAGAGTTGTCAGGGCGTAGTAAAAATAATCCGTCCGTTTCCTAGCTAGCTAAATTATTCTTTATGTCTGGTGCTCTTTGTTGGAGATTTACATTCTTGACTTATCTAATGGGACATATCACCATTTTTTTCTACCATTTAAATAATAAAAAAATGAAAAATTTTAAATTTACTAGAGCACAACTGTATTTTTTGTTAGCTAATTATTTATTATTATTTATTATTATTATTATTAAGCTTAGTCTTTCGGTGTTACACCTTTTTGCTCTAAATCTAAATTTGACATTATTTTAGGAGAAAAGCCCCATGTCTGTAAAATATGCTATAAAGGATTCAGCACCTCATCGTCACTGAACACGCACAAACGAATTCATAGCGGTGAGAAGCCTCACCAGTGCCCTGTATGTCAAAAGAGATTTACTGCGTCTTCGAATTTGTATTACCATAGAATGACACATATTAAGGTAAGGTATATTTTTCCTAATTTGCAGAATATTTTCATTTATAAGTGCAATGGCAACTCGGAATAAATTCCTTTAATTTATATGTATTTAAATGTCCACAAAAGAGATGATAATGATTATAAAGTTTTTTAGAAGTGAAAAAATTGGTATGTAAATTTGTACAGGGTGCACGCGGGATATGCGGGATGTTAGATAGATAGAAAAGATCAATATTTTACTTGTTTCTTAAGCAATTATTTTCATTTTTGATATGAAGATATCGATAGCTAGGTGGCGCATATTTTGTTGAGGGTTTTACAAATCATAGGCGTACAGAAAGGAAACTCATATGGATGTAGAACAAACTTGTTTAACTTCAAAAATAATGTCATAAATTTTTAGATGGCCAGTACTGGCCATTTCTAATTTCTAATACGATGTGCCTCATCTACCCCGCAAAAACGATCAAAGGGTCCAGTGTTAAAATTAATGTTTGCCCGCTGTTGCCTTTGAAAATGTTTGATTTATTCAAAAATCTAAGAAATTATTGAGCGAAATTATCTCAAGGGTTAAGTGAATATTAAATATCAATTATAATATAAATTAATTACCTTTTTTTGTTTAAGACCTAAAAATGTGGAATAGGTTGTTGTTTTAAATGTCGTATGATTTGTCACATTTTGAGAGACAAAAATGTAAAGTTTTATTAATACAATTGATTGCAGCTAGCGTCCGTACTACGTTGAAAAAACAAACTAACTATGATAACGAATGTTTGAGACTTCCTTATTTTTTTATTTTGGACACTCCGGAAAATTTAACTTCTGAAAATGGCATTTAGCTAAGCAATACTGCCTACTTATTTATCGAAAAGAAACAACAAGATAATTGTTGGTTCCAGTTTTCGTATTTGTATTATATAATTCTACCTTAAATCCATATATAAATTCGAAACTGCCATTTTCCGTTAATGTACTGATTTTTACTTTCAGGAGAAACCCCATAAGTGTCACCTGTGCAGCAAATCATTTCCAACTCCCGGAGATTTAAGATCTCATATGTACGTCCATTCTGGTTTGTGGCCCTACAAATGTGAGTTTTGTTCCAGAGGCTTCTCGAAGCAGACAAACCTAAAAAATCACTTGTTCTTACACACAGGTAGACCGATAACTATAATTCTAAATTTTGATTAATAGTCAAGTGTCAATAATAGTTAAAAAAACTTTAAGTTAATGTACATTATCCGCTCAAATTGCAAAGTTCTTTTTTTCCATTTAAATGATTCTCGATCGATTTTGAAAAAAGAAAATACTCTCTTGAAGTGGTACAATTGGACCAGACGTATCGCTAGAACCACAAACAACAAACTTATGGACAAGATGAATATTTTAGAAGTCTGCCGCAACAACATAAAAACAGGATATAGACAGCAGAGAGTTGAGACGCAGAAAGAGACATGAGTGAACAGTGAATGCACAAAAGATTGGCGACGATGTTACGAAGATAAACTAATTGCTAAGTAGTTAGAAATGAGTTCTTGTATCAAAAATCCATGTTCTACTGTAGCTGCCGTTTAATGATGATATTATTACTATGTCAAATAGTATGTAAGTATGTACAAAAACTTTGTTATTCCTTTTTTATTAATTATAAATTAATAAACATTAATTTAGGTATTGTTTGAGGTTTCCTTATTGTCGACGGATCTTAACCTTTCATCAAAAGAAAAAAGAGTGTCATTGCACTCTTACGAACTGCAATTAAATGTTCGCAAATGAAAGGAACCGCTTTTATATATGGATTGCAACAGAAATTAAAAAGTTTACTTAATACGGTACTGTATTGTCACGTCACCTTCACTCAAATTTATAATTTTAATTTACTTATAAATAATAATATACAATTTAGTATAAAAAATAGGCTTACATAAATATAAAATATTTTAATTTTATTATGGGACTTAATGTAGTATGTAGCGAGACAACAAATGGCGTCAAAATACCATCCGATGCTAAAATCCACCGAAAACATACGATCGCTTCCAACCCTTGACTTAATGTACCGAAAACGCTAGAAGTAACTCGCAACAAAGTTGACGTAAAGTAACACTTTGCGGACACCGGATCAGTGCATAATTTTCGAGTAGGGAGTAAAATTATTTTAAACATGGATACGTCTGATTTTGAACGATTCGCGTAAAACGATTGAATGAAATATTAAAAACTTCGTACTCTATTGCACTATTCGATTCATATAAAAAATGTGGCTTTGAACCATATTTACTGAAATTGTTGCCAACTGAATAAACAATTAATACAGTGTTGTATAGGAAATTGCATGCAGTTTCGTTTTTTTGAATAAAAATTGTAGTTTACATTAAACAATACAACAGCACGTTCACAAGCTCTAAATAAAATATAATAAATAAATAAATAAAATGTTATTTTTAGTTGGAAGCTGATGTGGAAAATTCTTGCGGAGAATATTTTTTCCGCAAAAAATAATAAGAAAAATAACAAAGAGAAACGTGTAGTTTTGTTCATCGAATTTCGAAACCAAACACTTCTTGGAAAATATTTGCTATTAAGCGAGAAGTCTTAACTTTGAGAAAGCTCAGGTTAAATATTTCGCGAAGATCATTTTTTATACATAAATAAGAATATTATTCAAATAAATATTAAAATAACAATACCCTAGATGAAAACACGTATTTATGAGCTTCGGACTAGTGCTGTAGGTATACCTATTCCTTACCGATTTCCTACTTTTCTGATTCCCTACACCGACGATCTTAGCTGCTATTTTGTCACGTCGAGTCAATCAAAACGTGTTGTTGGTCACACCCCTGCGTTAGCTATTTCAACAGGCCGTTTAAGACGTACTGGATTAACAGTTCCAAAAATATTATTTAAGAGATTACTCGTAACACTTCTGAGTGCTTTAAAATTGTACTTTTTCAATTATTAGCTTTGATAATTTTGTAGTATTTAGTTTCCGAATAACGCAAACCAATAAGTAATCAATTCCTATTCGTTTTTTTGGATGTTACTTTAGTAGGTTATAAAATATATGCAATGTTAAAATGTATTGGTTTTTTCGTATGTAGACAAATGCTACTATGAAACTATATGCGTAGAGTATACAATTAATCTCACAGTTGCAGGTGAAACAATCTATATTAGTAATTGTTCTTCCTTCATTCTACATAAGCATAAATACAAAATTATTTTGCATTGCATTCAGCAAACGAAATAACTTTTTAAAATATTCGACACCAACTGCTACTAAATAGTGTTGTTCCAAAATGTGCAAGTTTACATTTCTGAACAATGGCACATTTTCAACGAACCCAACGAAAACATAATAATTTAAGTTGCCTGATTCAGAATACAAATCAAGATTGAAAAAGCGACAGCCAAGGGCGTGCGCAATTTGGAAGAAGCCGCCACTACGTTATATTATCGATGTATCGTCATTGAACAGTTTTTTTTATTTATTTAGTTTTGTCCAAATTTTGAAAGATAACGGTTTCGTTAAATATTAATGTACTATTCAGTCATACATTTTTTTAGATATCCTTGGGACTATAAAAATATAGTTACGTAGTTGCTCTACTCATTCCACGATACAGCAAACAACAACGAAGTTAAATGAATAATTTGCTAATATAAGAAATTTATTTCATAAGATTGACATTTCGATGACAAGTTTTTGTTTAGCCAATAAACCTAGGTACAACACTTACGATAAACATTATTTTGCTAAAACTATAAACACTTCTTTGCTGGCTAAGAAAATAAAAATATTTTCAAATTCTACAAGTTATAGGCTTTGGTATCAATATTATCACATATTGGGCTCCGGAATTTTGTTCTGCTTAATAATATACAGTTTGTTGACGATTATTCCAGAGTCCATAAATTTATCATGAGCACTGAATCCTTTCGTTAACTTGACTTCAACCTGAATATAGGTAAAATGATTTACAATAAATTCTTAACAATAAAAAATGTATTGCGTACCTGTTCATTGGTTAAATTACGTCATATATGTGCTATTATTATCATTATTATTCTACCGGGATGAAGAACTTTAAATAAACATCACATCATATAAACCATTCTCACCTTAAGTTTTGCAGGTATCGGCAATTTGTTGAATTTTGTGGTCTGCGGATATAGGTACTTGCTTATAGTGACTACAAAAAAAATCTATATCCCACAAACGACACTGAACTGTACAACTGAACTGTAATAATGTTGGTTATTTACAGATGAAAAGTTTTGTGCGACTTCGAAAGTTTTTTCTGATACCTCATTGTTTTTTTTCTTTTTTTGTTGAAAACTATAATATTTACATTATTTGTTATCTTACACCATATTGTAGCTTCTTTTTTAGGTCGTAATTTATTTAAATTGATAACGGGATATATATATATATATATATATATATATATATATATATATATATATATATATATATATATATATATATATATATATATATATATATATATATATATATACAAAAACCATTACATGATACTAACACATTTTTCAACCTACATTTAATACATTACCATTTCTGCATTTAAAGAGAGCCATAAGGTAATTAACCTAAAATTTAATAAGGTCTAAATATTTTTCCGAGACAATTCTGCAACCGCTCACACGTCTAAAAAATCTGAATAATAACCGTGTTGCAACAAGGGCCACTTTAAATTAGAGAAAAGATAGTTGCATCAAACGAATACTAAATCTGTTTTCTGTGCCTAGTTTAAATAATTTATTGTATTTTTTTCTGCCTGCTTTTCTAATTTAAATTTAAATTTATTAATATTAAATTTATTTTGTAACACTAAATTTTTGACCGTCTTTCACGTCACTTTTAAATAAACTACACTACACTACACTCTTACGGGTATGAACCACCATTTCCGGTGCGTTATTAAATCGAACGTATGACCTTAATTTTTCCCGATGCTTTTTCTATGCTTATTTGGCCAAAGAGCACGCAGCTTTTCTTCGGTTTCCTAATTTTAATTATTCAACAAAAAACAATAGCTATAAACAAATATTTAAACTGATAAAAATCAAATTTTACAGAACAAATACCTATACAAAAACATTCGTACAATTCATAAGTTGCTTTAGCAGAATAGTGAAATGTGATGAATAACATTATAACATGATGAATAACTTTAATATTTCTTACTCATGTTGATACATATTGTCGAACATTCTTGTGAACATCAGAAATCTAATTTACATAATACACATTTTTACAAAATGTAAATTTACCATCACCAAATTTATGGGGAATTATTTAATTTCTCTCAAGTTAAGAGTTTTTTACCGTATTATGACTGGATAAAGAGCTGGTCCTAGTCAATTGTGTTTGGAAAAAAATTGCATTTGACGGAAGTATTGCAATTTTTTCGTTTTATGTGATTTACGTTGTTATTTCAATTATTTGCGATAGAAAATAATGATGTTTTCTTGTCCACAAAAATGTAAAATAATAAAACAATATAAATATGGGTATAAAAAAATATATTACCGGTTTCGCAATACGGAGGACTAAAAAGAAGACAAATCGCGATGTTCAAAATGAATTAGAAATTCGTCTTTTAATGTAGCTTTGGAAAATTACTCCTAAAGTTTTAAATGTCGGTTTTTTAGATTGCAAATCTAAATAATTTTAAATTTAAACATTTTTCATGAACTATTAATTAATTGTGGGTTCTATATAACAAATGTTATAAAAAATAATCCCTGATCGCTATTATTGCTCTGTATTTACTGTATACGTGGCATTTTCTATTAAAATTCGTTGATATCACGGGTTGTACGGTAATTAAAACAGATTAGTGAAAAACAGCTTTAATTTTAATTAAAAAATTTAGTAACTTACTCTTAGCCCAGATATTCATTAAGTCAATGTTCTCCACAGAGAACGCTTGTTCATTCCTAAGAATACTTCAGCTTAATTTAAAGACTATTAACCTCCCTCTCCAACTTAGATCAAAAACCTCACAATGTTTAAACAAATGCTTAGGCAACATATTTTTCATAATAGGGACCGAATATTAAATTAAAAATAGTATCGTTTTTCCATTTCTAATCTTTTCTGTAAGGTTGTTGTATATATTTTTATCTTTTGCTTTGTATGTTTTTTGGCGTAGGATATCTTATTCATCATTTTTAATAAGTGTAGCTAAAATTAAGTAGCATCTATCTGTGTGCTTTATGGGGTTACATATGAGCAACTATGTTGCATGACCTAGTTAACTAATGAGGTCCTGGCACATATATTGTATAAACAAATAAAGGCCATTTATTATAATTATTATTATTATTATTAAATAGCTACTAAATATCACACCAAGTGTCACGCCACCTGAACTAAAACTGAAGCTACTATATAAGCCGAAATTTTGAGATTCTTTGTTTTGCCCTTCTTTTTAGCACTCCATGAAATTATGACCTGATTTTTAAATGTTCTACGAGTTACTCTAATAAAAAATGGCATTTAAAGAATTTGAAACTGCTTATTCCAGCAGTAAATTTTTATATTGGAACCATAAACAAAATTCTTTCTTTGTTTTACAAGAAGGTAAAGACAGGAAGTAGTTAATGGAAAAATTAATAGAAATATTTGCAATAATATTCAATCACTTGATGAATTAATGGTAGAATTGTGTCTAGTTTTTCTACTCCCTTCTTCCAAATCCACTTTGGGATTTATCGATTGTAATAAAGCCACTGTTTTAGGAAAATCTATTGTAGCATAACACTTCTGAGTAGTTATACTTTGAGACACTGTAGGTGTTGTAGATGTTTGGATACTCTCAGTTTTAATTAGGTCTAATTCTAATTCGGCATAATTTACTTCACGAACTGCTACACTACCTGCGTCTAGAAAAACTGTAGGAGTATTTGGTATACTAGTACTTTTACATGGTTCGTCCTTTGTAACAGATTGATGAAATATATGTAAATTTTCAATATGATGCTTATTTACATTTTCATAACAATGTGTATCTTCAATGTGTGCTTTTGAATTGGTGTTCATATAAATATGGCAAGACGATTCTGCTAGTCCATCACTTGATATATTTGCGTAACTAGGTGAACCTCGGCTGTTTTCTACTACACTACTTCTCCTGTTATTATTAAATTCTAATGATGGAACTTCCAATGGAGCAAGTGGAGATGTGGTAGGACTTATCTGACCATTGCTAGAAATTGATCCTGGTCTACTTAATACTGGGTTGTGACTTCTGGCTGTTGATTGGACTGGATTAAAATAACTCTCTTCAGAATTAAACCAACCGCTGTGGCAAACAGCTGGACCCGCACTCATAGGTAGAATTGCAAATTCAATGCTGTTTTGATTTAAAGTATTTAATAAAGGAGGATTTTCTTCTACACCTGTAAACAATTTTTATGAAAAGAAAAAAGAAATATTAACCCATTTATAATTTCCTACATAATAGTTTTGGTTGTTGTTATTATCTATTTATGTATCTACAGAGATGAGGCCATAACACTTTTGAATTGAAACTTTTTTTGTCTCTTATCATAACCTCATCTAGAGGATTATATGGCACTACGCGATAAATATAACTGTAAAAAAACTCGTAAACAGAACAATTTAAAACATTATATGCATTACTTTTGAGAAAAAGTGGCTATTTGATAACAAAATAAATACAATCAGCAATAGATAGGATTAGAATATCTGTAAGCATACACTTTGAGACTTTTATTAATCTAATATCAAATAGCGACACTATGCGACTGGCAATTAAAGTCATTTTAATAATAATAACTCCCACACTGTCACTAAGTTAACAGCAATAACCGACTCTGGGCAGCAACTATATCAAAATTTAAGAATTTCTTTAATGGGCAGACACGGCCTTCTTCGCCCACCATTTATGAGATCCCATACTTATACTGGATACGTTGTCAAAAAGTTAAGTTTTATCTTTCATGTTCTCTCCAGAGAGTGAACATGAAATCCCTTATTTTAAGTTTGACGGTTATAGGGCACTACTGGAAACTTTTCTTAAACCAGAATTGCAAAATTTTAGTGACTTCAATCACAACACTTGGTTTCAGCAGGATGTGACCACGAAAGGTTATATAAAAAAATGCAGATAATAATTATTCCTCCGAATCAGTTGAAGCAAAGAATTCGCGATTAAATTCGAGCAATTGGAGAACAACTCTGTGTCCGCATGTCCGCCAATTTCAAAGAGCTTTTGGAGGAGACACCAAGGCATAATTTCCACATTTTTTAGTAAATTTTATTAATAAAAAATGTTTATTACAATTTAAAACTGAATGAGTTATAATTTTTTAGATAGTAAAATCCTTTTCAAACATACACACAGCCCTTAGATAAAATAGTTCTAAATATGGTTAATTTGATACACCTCAAAGTTCAAAGTTAACTCGTTTTTCTCATGTTAATGAAGATGTTGGTTCATTGGTTGAAAGTAAGTATGCACATACTAGATGTTCCTTTCCAACATTTTTTGATGTTATCAAAATTACCTGTATTATATAAAGTTTGTATAATAAGTCATCTTAATAACATAGATTTTATTATCTGTAAATGATTGTTAATTAACAGTTTTCTCTAGATGGGATCAGCAACCATTCTTAATTTAACTGTATATTTTCAATTAATTACCTGTAATATGGTGCTGTACTACATTAAATAGTTGCTCAGCCTTGTGACATCTAAAAGCATATATTCCAGGACCTGTGGGACTACGTCTACCACATTCAAAACTAAACACATCTGTATCAAACCCGTACTTCCTTAATGACCTTAATGGCCATCTAGTTGGATTCATACCTCTTTGGTGAAAGACTAGATCTGACTCAGTGACCTTAAAATAATAAATAAGTATGAAATTAGTTAGACAGACAAACAAACAAATTTTGATACTCTAGTAGAAGATACATAGTGATATCAATATATTTGTTCTATATAGAATAGAAAGTGACTAGTTTATTTTCGTCTTTCAATTTTCAACAAATCACTAATTTATACATTATTCCAAAATGGCAGGAGTTTTATTAAAACATCTAAAATTACATTTTGGTTATCAGATTAAATGGGTTTCAATATTTCATAACATCAACATTATTTTTGTATTGTATTGTATTGGTAATGTTTATTGTAGTAGTAAGTGTGAGCAATAATGGAGCTAGCAAATTACAGGATGTTAAACTCGTTGTTCTGTCATCCTCGTTTTTTGACGTATAAGGCAATTTTGACAAGTGCCACTAACACCGCATAGAAATGAATAAATGAAGAGCTGTTTTTTACACTTTGATAGGAAAAATTATTTTTTGGTCATTTTGTAGAATTCTTGAAACCATTTAATAAAGTTTCTGAAATCAGATAACAATTAAGAAAAAGATGAGCACTTCTGTTTATAAATCTATAAAAACTATATACTTATCAACTAGTAACTAAGTCAACAAACAAAAACTAAAGTAACCAAATATATATGAAATGCAACATTTTCTAGAGGGTCCTGTAACTCAAAATGAAAAGGAATATGGAAATTTTGATTGTGCCATCTTTAGCTTTTCACACACGTCTTCAAAGACAATTGAGATATGACAAACATTACTATAAAATATGAATTATAGATAATATGAATTATGAAAAAAAACTTAAATAATGAAAATACATTATGCTTAATGACCAAACAAACAATAATTATAATTAAAATTGTTTAATAGGGTTACTTTTTGTTTGTTTATTTATTCTCAGAAGCCCTAGTATTACCTATCGCAATAACAATGTAGTCACATTAATACAAAACACCAGAAACTCACCTCAAGTTTTCCATGACTTATAGCTCTTCCTTGATCATTTACATTGAGTACATTAAAAATATTTGGATGCTTATTATTAATATCTGGTTTACCATTAACACAGCCCATTCTAGAACTCTGTGTTGGTGGATGGATTCTCTACTGTTTTCGATTTACAATGTGATATGGCATTAAACAACAGCTCCACATTAGGACTTTATTTTTTGTAAATATATTTTAAAAAAAGGACGATTTAACCTGGTATATTAGATAAGTCTGGTTTCGTTTTTAAAACACTTGTATTGAAGTGTGGCATTTCTGTTTTGTTTGGAATGTTCGACAAATTAACGCTCTCATCCCAGTCACTAATCAATTAACCAACGAACATAACCACAGCAAAAACAGATGATGGTCATCATCCCATTTCAATTCGTACTCATTGCACAGACTACTTAGCAATCTGTGGTCCTTGTGTTATAACGCAAAGTAACAGACCACACATACATTACATTTACAATTTGCTATTATTGTATTATAACGCAAAGTAACAGACCACACATACATTACATTTACAATTTGCTATTGTTGTATTATTCGCTAATAAAAGTGAAATTTATTGCATAGAACAGCATTAAAAAAACTAAAGTATTTTATCCTATACAAATTAAAATTTAGATATTAGACAATGTAATGACAGCAAATATCGTACAATTGGTGCGCCCTAGGCGCCTCCAAACATTGAACTTGTTTTTTCTCCGGAAAATTAATTGAATATGGCCAAATGGTAGGTCAAATAAGAAGGCGATTTTTGATGACTCACGCATGCGCAAATTGAATGTCCATTCTAAACATTTCCTGATGTTGGCTTCAAAAGTACATATAGACACCGAATAGGCTGATACGCTGATAATACAGGTACCATACATAATACAATGACATCACCGTTAAAGGTCAGCGTTGGTGATCCACTCGTAGCAATAATCTCTTTGGATTACAGCCCCTTACAGCCATGATTTCAGTATTTTTACCTCCAGACTTAACATCGAGACGAATTTATTCAGTAATCTGAGCCGATTGATACCTTGACAGTAATCTGTGGCATCGAACGTAACTAATTTATTGGACAACGTAGTGTGAGGTCACGGAATATTTGATTGAAAATCTGAGTTTGGTGTTTTGGGTGTTTAGCGTAAGAAGTGCAATGTCAAAAAAGAATTTGTTTAATTAAGTTTATTCAACCAAACTCGCCCGGTAGCTGTAATTGTCAAGGATAATATGTTGAAGATAGAGTCCTGCAACAGTTAATGTTGTTGGATTAATTTGGGCGCACCTATTTGTGCTTTTTGATTTGCCTAGGTACCTGTTTTGGCTTTAAATTGTCCATGACCTAAATAAACACATTTTTATAAATTTATTTATATTACTAGTTATCCAAAGGTAATGTAATCTGATTAGTCATCATATGATGCACAATTTCTAAAAATAACCGATTTTTAAGAAAATATTGCCCATTTACAAAGAAGATATTTTTAAATTCTACATTCAAGTTTATTGTGTGGGAGTTATGAATGATCTCATAATAATTATCTAAACCAAGCTACCACAAAATCAATTTCAAATGGTTCTATGACTACAATTCATCAAATATATTATGGTGCTTAATTTTTGGAGATGCCTTTTTTAGTTGTTTGTCAAATCACGTCACCAAAATTGTAAAGTTCTGATTCTGATGGATCATTTTGGAATTTAAGATGTCAATGGTTGAAGAAGGGAATACTTCAATAACTGTGTGAATTTTTAAAAAATCAATTTTTTACATAAAATACACTTTATATAACATTTTAGTTGGTTAATAAACCATTAGAATCAGGGATAGGTTAGTTTCCTGTAAGTATAAACAATGTTCTAATAATTTTGATTTTAGGACAATGGAGTTAAAGCATTTATTAATAGCTGGTATGATTGCCAACATAGCAGTAGCACAAGTTCCTCAACGTTTCACTGCCCAAAACCCATGTACTTCAAAACCTACATGCCAAGAATGTATCCAAACACCATCTTGTGCTTGGTGTTATGCACCTGTAAGTACTTAGAGGCTCTTGTGAAACAATTTAGCATACATTTTTTTATAGTAGAAAAATGTATGATTTAAACAATAGGTATTCATTCATTAGATTCGTTTTTGTTTTATTTTTGGTATTTAAGTATATTGAACATTGGTTCCACAAATGTTTCAGTCATTGGAGAGAAATGAATGGTTTTTCTATTTCCTACTCTAAAATACTGAATTATTAACACTGTCACTTGCCAATTCGATCATTTCCAGTACTTTACTGAGAGCGATCACATGTTTTTGGTTTGTTAAAACACTCATGGTGTTTTGAAGTTTCACAGTTTTGATGGCCACTTTATACTTTATATATTAAATGTGAGAGAGAAAATACCATTTGCCCTCAGCTGATGCAAAGTTATTGTATTGTAAAAACTACAGTTTCTTGTAAATAACATTTCATTTATGGGAGTCTAAAGCAGGATTGTTGAAATATAACATTAATAAACACTTATAACAACAAACAAATCAAAAATTGACAGAGAATTTGTTCTTGTGCACTGATATGGTTTTCATTCTAATTTTAGAATTTTCAAGGATCCAGATGTTTCCAGCCATCATTTCCAATATCCCCTAGAGAGTTATGCCCGGAGGAGTATATTCATAATCCAGACAATATTATGAGTATTTTGTCAAATATAGCACTTTCAAGACCTAGGGCGAGAGGAAACGGCGGAGAGTACCAAACAGATTTTGAGGCAAGTTGGAATAATTCTGAAAGTTGGGAGAAAAAAGGGTCATCTTTTTATGGCCATGGAAATGCAAACACAGGGTCATCTGGTGAAAAAATTGTACAAATTGCCCCACAAAGGGTCAATTTGAAACTGAGAGCAAGTAAGTGTGTGGCAATTTCTATAAGTCAAATAATAGTCAAATAAGTGTAATAAGCATTTTGCATTTTTCATCCATGACTCCTTCTTGATTGTTCCTAGTATGATAAACTTATAACCACTTTTAGTTGTGCATACAAAGTGCAACCTTTTTGAAAACGCCCTGTAACTCAAAAATTAGAATTCAAACCTAATTTTTTTTTTATTACTTTGGTGCTAATCAGAAAAAATGCTGGTAATGGACAAAAGTATTTGAATTTTGGTCCTTATAAAAAATTCAAAACAATAATTGCTAAGACATTAAAACCTACACATTAAATTACAAATTATGATACTGTCTGAATCATTGAGTAATATTTTCTATTGAGGAGTCCATTATTTTAAGTAGAAATAATGTCAAAGTTGGACTAGCCTGATATTATTTAATATATTACAAAAAGCCAATATCGCTTTAGTCAATGGGTTATGCAGTAATCTGTTGCTTCTTCTGTTATTGACATATAAAAATTTTTTTTGTATTTGTAAAACTCTTCCATTAGTTTGTCTTCTTCGTCAGATGGGGGTAGACACTTGAACAATAAGACAGCTACAAATCTGTAACATAATTATTCAACTAAAACATTCTCTACATCATAGGTAATATATTTCTTTATTTTAAGCCTACTCCATTTCTGTAGTAATGCGACAATTTACCATCTTTTGTAAGTTTCCATATTCCTGCTTATTGCAACCATTTCCAATTGCAATCTATTTGTGAGTTATCAATTCAGAAACATTCACAGTCGCAATTTTCGGTTGGGGACCTGTTTCTGTCTATCCTATTGGGGGTAACAAATGCTGAAAATTGTTTTTAGTTTCCGCATTTCAAAATTGGTAGAGTGAATAATAAAATTCAAGATTTTTTTCAAAAAATCTTATGTTAAGCTACAACTTATATTACATTATTAGAAAGGCTGCAAAATTGCACACAAATTTTGTCTGAGGCTTATTGGCAAATTGGTATTAATAAGAGCCGACCTCTGAATACCTAATTTTTAAATCTCTGTCTTCTAAATGATTCGATATCAACAACCTCCGTGTGTGTGTTTTCAAATACCAAGTAAAATTGTAGTAATGATCAATTCACAATAATAATACCTTATTGCCAAAAAAATACTTTTTAACTCTTTAATTTGAAAACATTTTTTTTTTTCATAGTTTAGTTTCATAGTTAATTTTGTAGCTCACTTTAGTAACAATTATGTTTTGTAACTTTCTCATATTCTGTGCCTTCGTCGACTTTATATCTACGGTCTATAACAAAACAATGAGTAGTAAAGTTTTTAAAGAAACAATGAAGACTGTTAGCAATGTTCAAAACCACCTCCATTTTGCAAATTGCAATATTTGACCAAAAATGAACTGCTTTTCCAATTTTTCTCAGCAATATAAGTTAACAACTACTCCAATTTATTATTCGGCATGAAAACCTTTATTTCATGCCTATATATAAATCTACTTTTTACAACATTATCACTAGCAGAATCATGCCTTATTAAAAGATTTTTTTCTACTTACTTTTCTTAAATACCCAATTATACGAGTACACAGATCAAGCCTGTGACATTTTACGATGTCAGTTTCATTTCATGTTGTTTTGCAAAAATGTATTTAGAATAGTATGCAACAAGTTTGGTCAGTGAGTTTGCAGCCATACATTTTTTCTTATTGTCTTATTTTAATTTTTTGATTTTATTATTATGGATACGTTTTGTTGGGCGTCTTAAATTAATATTTTGTATTTATTTTATTTTATTATTTCTATAACAATGGATGTGTCAGTTTTGTGGGATCAGAATAAAATAAGGTATACAAGTTTGTACTATTATTTAAAATGTCTATTTTTCTTGGTTTTCCTTTAACCGGTTCATTTCAGAAAAAATACAAACGCAATACAAAAAATAAAGTAATTTTCAATTTCAGGGCAGTCATACAGTATCTATATGAGTTACACTCAAGCTGAAGATTATCCCGTCGATTTATATTATCTAATGGACCTCAGTAGATCTATGTTTGATGATAAAGAGAAATTGTCCTCCTTGGGCGACCAATTAGCACAAACCATGCAAAATATTACATCCAACTTCACCTTGGGTTTTGGTAGCTTTGTAGATAAGGTGGTGATGCCTTATGTTAGTACATTACCAGAAAAGTAAGTCATTTCCCAATACTTTTTTTTACTTGAATATATGTTGTAAGTTTATAGGCAATTTTACACTGATCTGATACTTTAGGTTGGCGCGGCCTTGTGATGTTTGTGTGGCTCCATATGGATTTCATCATCACTTGAGTTTGAGCACTAACACATTCATGTTTTCAGTAAGTTCCCAATTTTTAAAGATACACCCAAGTCCATTTCCATCATTCTCTTCTCTCCATAGCTGCTTTACACTACTTAATTAGACCTTGATGTTTGAATGTAGTAGTTTCCTTAGTTCCAGGTTTTTAGGTATTGCGAGATAGAAGCATCCAGCATGATAGCATGTTGTTTATGTATGAATGTTTTTAAAATGAGAATAGTTGGTGCAATTTAAAGGCAAAATTTTTCGTGGTTTGGCTAGGGAAGAGTGTAGAGCGTTCATCGCTTTCCAAAAATATTTTGATATTTGACCCTATCTCTGCCAGACAGCAAAATTTTGCGACTTTCCTTGGACCACTTATAAATCTTACACTTGATCACGATGCAACACATTGCATTAGTATCTGTATGAGCAAAATTGGATTTTCTATTTATCTGTTTATCTGGCGCTCAATCAAGAAAAGTCATTGGCTGTATTAAACCTATTCCTGTAATTACAGGAAAATTAAAATTACAGAAGTAGTCTTTATGAGAACCTATAATTTTTCTTTTGCTCTTAATTCTGTCGATTAACAAACTTTTACGCCTCACATGTTTGGGAGAAAATTTTTAGTTTTTCTGGTAAACATTTTCAGACATAAATTTCTAATGTGTCAAAGAAACGAGCAGAGTTTTGCCATGCCATTTTAGGTAGATATACAAACTTAGAAAGAATGGTTGAATGTCTGACCATATGGTTTATTTTGTGTCTGTTGGCCGTAAGCAAACCGGTTATTTAACAATTTGGTAATTTTCGTTACTTAATCGGTATGACAAAGCAATATGTGTAATTTCAAATAATTTCATTTATTGCAAAGACATAAGCACGGAAATCCGCAGAAGCCCAATTATTTAACATCTCATAATATCACACATACTAAAAAAAGGTAGGAGAATGGAATTACAAACAATTTAAATTTCAAAAGCAACTTAACTATTTTGACCGCAACCTTAATGGGGCTATTAGATTTTGGAAACCAATAATTCGGAGCGCACAAATCTTTTAGGAGTTGTCCCTTACATTTGCATCCTGGAAATTTTCGCCTGAGTCAGTTATTGCTGAACAGTTCATCGTCTCTACCGTTACATTTACTTTTAAGAAGTTTATGGTTTGTCGTATTTTCTCCTATGTATGGTATTACTACCCATTTCTGGTGGTTTGTGGTCATGCCTTTTTTTTATCCTCCCATAGTTAGAGGTTAGCCTGCCACCTGGAAGGTTCCATATCTCCATCTCCCCTCCTCTATAAACTACTACTACTATGCTACTGCATTTGTTAGATTTTAAATTACGCTTGTATGCACTCTCTACAAATACAAGAGCAGTCAGGTCAGATGATTACATTAACACAATTTGTGTGGTAGGGTTTTTTTAATTTTTATTCGCAAAGCAAAAGTGCTATTGCTATTGTGATTTCAGAACATGTGCTAAAAAAAAATTACAGAGCACCAATCACTTAACAGCTCTGGTATCTTTTATTGCTTTTAGCGAGGTTGTTATTTATTTGTTATATGTAAGTAAAGGAAAAATGTAAACTCGAATACTTTCAACTGGAAATTGTTTGTACACAACATTTTGGCAGTCATATTTGTTATAATTAAAGTCGTTGGTAAGAAAAAAATTAAATTAAAATATAATTAAAATAGAACACTCAGATATGATGGACGCTTATGTGACTTGAGCCCATAGCTTCCAATGGACGACCAGCCTTATAATTCTGCTTTGTCTATATTGTTCAGCCTATTTCTTATCTGAATGTCTCATTATTAAAATGATGCCTAACAATAACTTATGAATGGCGAGCCCATATAACTACTAGACAGACAGTACCAAGAATCAACTATAACATTTTTTTGGGAAGGTCCGTTCAACGTCGCATGCGCGAAATGTAAAATTTAATTTTTAACCAAAGGCAGCTCTAATGGTAAATTCTGACGTTGGACCGATATAACCTTGCGGCTTTCAACAAACAACATGGCCGCTGACAGATCGTCCATGTATGGATGCGGCATTTTTACGGCAGTATTGTTTCAAAACATGTAGAAATCCTATTACATTTTCAGGCAAAAAAGGAGTCAAGGTGTAGCGTTTTTGTTCTTTAAGCCCTGTAAGTAATTTTTTTGTTTGTAAATCGGCGCAAAGCGTTAGTTTTCATAAACTCAGGTTTAACCTCTATTGAAATAACTTTGAGATGTTAGATATCGCACAAGAAACATCAAAGTGGAGAAAATGTTTAACAAGCACCTGCTATAGACAGTAGTTGACAAGGGGTATTTCCTATGCACGTTCTAGTAAAAATTCAACTTTTAGCTTAATTGTCTTCTTATATATCCTGTAATTCGAGTACACTAAAATATATTATCCAAACATTCTTGATAGCTATTTAAGTGTACCCAAAAATGTAGGGAATTCTGTTTAGTAAATTCACATGTAAATATTTGTGTGGTAATTTTCCAGTTCGTTCAATGTCAAATATATAGGCATCACTGTTTCTCTAAGATTATTATCCTATATTTGCCACATTTGCTGTAATTTCGTAAAAGAACAAAGTATTGGAAGCACAAATCATACAAGTTTGTGAGTACGGTACGGAGATACCAAAAATGAAAACAACAACAATGGCACAGGACCCGATTGTTCTGTGACAATAGTAATTACTTATTTCGGCGTTGACAATTATGTTCGGATTTCAGAGTTGGTGTTGCGGTCTTATAAAAATTAATCAATTTTCGAGAAAAAATACGGCGATATAACAACTCAGACAGTTGGCAGCGACGCATGCGCAAAAGATCCCATACCTTCCCTACGAAAATATGATTGCCATCAATTTTTACCCTAGTAGGGCCACAATATTATCTTATAGCTATATGGGTGGGCCTGCGAGGTCACCGTTTTAACATGTTGAGATAAAGTGATTCCAGTATTAATGTTGTATTTTTGGATGTGACTATCTCACTGGCGTTCTCTTTCATTGCTACGGCTGGGTACAAATGGGTAAAACTAACCAAATTGGCATTTTTTAATATAAAATGGATATTATATTTTCTCCCAAAACGACAACAGCCAAAAACAAATAAGGCTATGTCACGTGATAGGGAAGGGTCTTGATAGACGCATAGAGTGATCAAAATGTCAAATCTAACAGTTCGGAATTTTAACGCGTAGTAGTAAAACAAAAATTAAAGGTAAAAATGTGATGTACTGATTAATGGGAATAGGAACATATTCCCAAGTAAAGACCGCATTCCATTTTTTCTTAAAACCTGCCGTCAATGCTTGTGTGTTTTATTATATTTTCACCAGAAATAGACATCTAAAAAATTTGAAAAGGGGCAATGATATTAATGAGCGTTTGGAATGTTGTTTATATAGTGGCTACAAAAAAAATGAATTTGTGGGGTCTGCTATGTATACAGAGAAAATTATTGACCAACACATGAGTTAAGCATAAAGAACATCTTGACTTATCATTACTCAATGGATCGTGTCCCAGTGGTCGAAATCAAAAATCAAAATGTAAAATTGCACGATCTACTGAAATAATATATATGGGTTACAGCTTGACGAGCATTCACAAATAGAACATTCATTTTTTATTGTAGTTTAGAACATCCATGTGATTTGTGTGCAGCACCATATGGATACCGAAATATGATGAGCTTGTCTCAAAACACCTATTTATTTTCAGTAAGTTAACTAATTTTTGACAGTTTTTGACATTAACAATCTTAAAATTTTTAACAGCTATTTTTACTCTTCATAAATTTTATATTATATTTTTTTCCTTTAGGGTGAAACTCATACAGTCATACTAATATGTGTGTATACTGGTATACTTATCTACTAATTATTATGAACCTGTAATGCAAATTGCTTATTGTGTACCAAATTTTTTGGAATTGGAATTGTGCTGTAGTGTTGTATTTACAATTAACCTGTTCTCAACGTTGACCAACAAATATAAAGGAATTATTTTTAAACTAAAAATTAGAGGGTATATCGTTTTTAATACGACGGAAATAAAAGTGGCAATAAAAATTATGATTTAGCTTATTTTAAGCTGTAATTGTTCTGAGTTTTTCTGTCCTTAATATTAAATGACATTGATTTTGTTCGTACACAAATAATAAAAATGAAAAAAATTATAATCATGCGATATTTTTTTGTGGTAAATTTCTGCAAAGTTTTGGAAAGGTATTTATTACAAATTTCATTTATTTCATCATTAAATTTTTATTTTTTACTGCCTTGAGCGTCGTTAAACAGCCCCTTCAGTCGGCACATCTTAACTGTTTTATAAGGAATTAAAAAGTAAGTTTTAAAGCCTATTCCATATGGAATAGAAAATGTTCCATTAAAACTACTACCCAAAACAAAATATATTTTCTACTCACCCAAGTTTTTACGCAAATTGACTGTGATTTTACCTTTGTGCGATTTTCATACTGAAGCAATTGGTTAGTAGTAATTTTTATATGTAAATTTACTTTAGAAAAATAGTTTCCATAAGGAACATAAACACATTGTAATTTATATATAAAAATAGCTTAGCTACATTTATTGCTGAAAATTTCATTTTCTCGAATGTGTAGACTGAAGTGTGGTTGTATTCCTAAAAATTAATTTTGTGAGTTCTCTTTTATTTCAGACCCACCGCCCATCGGGGTCTACAAAGACTGCATGCATAAATATATAGGTCGCAAAATATCGATTTGAAGCCATCTATGCTGAACCGCTTGAGGCACTAATTCTGGAGTGTGGTGATTAACTAAACTAACTTTTCACGACCATAACATTAATGGTTAGTCGCGAAGTTTATATGGACCTCTTTCATCGGATAAATTCAAGAGAGTTTAGCTTAGTTTCTGCATACTCCCGCTTTTAGGTTAGATATTGTAATTATTAATGATACTAATTAAAATATCTGTTTGGCTCGTTGATTGATTTTGGATTGATATTATTGGAGATATATTTCTCTTTCCAAATTAATTTTATATTTTATGAACTTTTATGTGTTTGTCACATTTACAAGTAAATTATGATATACCTGAAAAAGTAACAGTTGTTAACAAATTCATTTTCCCACTAATCCGCGCCTATATGCATGCAGAAGCCAATTATTACATCGATATTTTAACAATATGTTTTGTTGATTTAATTATTTTACTATTATCTAGCGAATGGTCAAACAAGCCAATGTTTCTGGAAATTTAGATGCACCTGAAGGTGGATTTGACGCTATTATGCAAGCAGTAGTTTGTCGCAATCAGATCGGATGGAGGGAACAAGCTAGAAGACTTTTAGTATTTTCTACAGATGCAAGTTTCCATTTTGCTGGTGATGGAAAAGTATGTACACACTATAGATGTGTTATTTTTGACATGGAACTAGGCTGTAATATGTAAAATAAACTGTAAAAATTTGTAACTAAATTTTATTGCTAAAGTTAATCAAATTTGTGGTTCTAACCAAAATTTATATATTTTTCTGTAATGCTTAGTTTTGCCCTGGAAGAATTATTGATATTCTGACGAAAAATAGATACTGATTAGATTATTTTGTTTTTCAATGTTTATTACATCAAATCTCCTTCTTATAGCTAGGAGGCATTGTAAAACCCAACGATGGAGTATGTCACTTGTCTTCTGAAGGTTACTACAGTGAATCGTCTTGGCAAGATTATCCTTCCATAGAGCAGATTAATCTTTCTGTTAAGAGAAATGCTATCAACGTGATTTTTGCTGTAACCGGCAATACAATTGGAATTTATGATCAGTTAGCTAAACATATTGAAGGAGCATCAGTTGCCAAATTGGAAAAGGACAGTTCCAATATAGTGGAATTAATCAAAGAACAATATGAACAAATTTCATCTTCTGTTGAATTGAAGCATAATGCATCGAGTGCCTTGAGTATAAGATTTTTCACCAAGTGCCTCAACACAAGTGGTGTAACTTTAAATACAAACAAATGCGGGAATGTTAAGGTAAAACGTTTTTTTGTATATGGATTCATTGATTCATTGATTTTTTAATCAAATAGATTGAATATTTTAGGTTGGAGATGTAATCAATTTTAAAATTGAGTTGGAAGTATTAAAATGTCCTAAAGATCCTAAGGACCGTTTCCAAACAATTCAGATTTACCCAGTTGGCATAAATGAGAGTCTAATTATTGATCTGGAAATGCTTTGCCACTGCGATTGTGAAAAACCGGGAGATAAGGTAAGGTTAATGTCTAAATGAGAAAAGATTTTTTTTTTGTTTTTTGTATTTTGGTACCTGCTGAAAGTATTAATGATAATAATGAGTGTTAATATTAATAATGAGTATTAATAATACTTGCAGTATTATCAAGAAAATGCAACATTTTGCCATCACCACGGAACATATAAGTGTGGCATATGTGTTTGCAATCCCGGAGCGTTTGGTAGAAGTTGTGAATGTAATGCCGAAGAAATACCAAAATTACCCAAATCTGGCACCAGCTGTATACCCCCAAATAGTACCACTGGTATTGAATGCTCTAGTAGGGGTCATTGTCTTTGCGGAAGATGTGAATGTGAACCTAGGGGGGGACTTGAAGTAAATTCAGATAAATATAATTATACATATCTATACATAATATTTTTTCAGAGGATTTATGGCGATTACTGTGAGTGTGACAATTTTTCCTGTGAGCGGCACATGGGGGAACTGTGTAGTGGTGAATCACATGGAACCTGTGACTGTGGTATCTGTAGATGTAAACCAGGCTGGACGGGCCCAAATTGTGCTTGTGAAGAATCTAATGCTGGCTGTTATGCTCCGGATGTAATTCATGGTCAGATTTGCTCAGGGCACGGGACTTGCGAGTGTGGTGTTTGCAAATGTGAAAATTCAGAAGAAAACAGATACTCAGGCAAATTTTGTGAAAAATGTCCTGTAAGTTGTATTTTAAATTAGTCCCAGGCAACTTGTGTTTTTGTAAAATGAATTATCTATTTTTTTTGTCCTTTTTTTGAATTTTCGAATTAATTGATACGTTATATGATATTAGCGTTTGATGTGCTCGGGGTATTTGATAATTCACGTCATATAATTTAATAAGTGAATCTCACTCACCTCACGTGACCACCTAAAAGATGAATTATGCCAAAGGAATCCAGTTTTCAGAGAAACTTGCATCGTTCGAAACTCAATTTAATTTGTTCTTAGAATATGCCATAATATACAGTGTTCAATTTTTAAAAAATGCACTTTTCGCAATTTTTGTTATCTTGTAGGTAAATCGTTAGTTTTCACCAAACCTGTATGATATAGCAGTAATTTCGATATTGAGAAATAATGTACAGTACCTCCCTAAGCTACATCCAACATTTTAATTTTCTATTGGCTCCAGTGTCAAAGTAATAAAAATTTGATTGAAGCTATGTTTTCATCGAAAAATAGAGAAACCAATTCATTTCTCGAAAACTACTAAAGATAGGTATAGGAACGTATTAAAAATCAATCATAAAGTATTAGCAAATAAAATAATATACATGGTGTCCCATTTAAAATTTCAATGTTTCAATAGATCGATAGAGCATCGCCTCTTATGGAACTTACCAAATTTTCGGAAAAATCCAATGTACCGTTCGACGTGAAATACTCCGTATATATGATTGATATTACTTAATTTTGGGAATTTTGGGAATTGGGCAAATTGAAAATAAGTATAATAGAGGGTTTTTTTTGTAGTTGTATTTTCCAAGTTGGTTTTCAATCAATGATTTTTTCCTCTTTTCTTTTGATAGACATGCCCAGATCGGTGTTTGGAGTTTAAGGATTGTGTACAGTGCCAACAATACAAAACAGGGCCACTTAAAGATTCGTGTGATACGAATTGTTCCCATGTACCTGTTCCAATAGCAGTGGACAGAGTAGAGGGTAAGAATACATATTGAATAAAATATATGTCAGGTTTGCAAATTCAAATAAACCACACCACACAACTGCGTGTTTTAGAATTAATTGATGCATTAAACATATATGTAATTTTTTTCTTTCAGTAAATGAGGAAAACAATGAATACTTATGCCGGTACACTGATGAAGATCACTGCCAATTTCAATATGTGTATTACTATGACAAAGAAAGACAGTTGCATATGAGAGTACAAGAAGAAAGAACCTGCCCTCCCAAGGTAATAATCACCGTCGTCTTCTCCAACGTTACTTCTCTTGAATTTTATTATCAAATAACTCAGTACACAGACTTAAGTTAAATTTCAGCTTCTAGAAGAAAAACATTTACGTATTTGGAAACCATTCTGCATTGTTTTTGATTATGTTTTTTAGTGTTCTTAAAGATCTGATATATTTCATTTTTGGACATGAGTTTATTTAGTAAGTTTTGGTATGTTAATAAAAAAAAAACTATTACTATATTTGAGTAGATTGGCATGTAAATTGTGTATATTAAGTGACTAATACAAAAACAAGCGCACCATGTGTATTATGAAATGTAAAGGCCTCAAGTTAGCAGAAGATACCTAAAAAGCAATGATTTTTTAAAACTTCCCTTGAAATAATTGCTATTACTTGGAACTATTTCTCCCAATTTTCTTATAGGTATTTGTTTTGGGAATTGTTTTTGGCGTAATTGCTGCTATTGTTTTAATTGGAATGGCAATCCTTCTTCTATGGAAATTACTCACCACAATACATGATCGGCGCGAGTTCGCAAAGTTTGAGAAAGAAAGAATGATGGCTAAATGGGATACAGTAAGTGATAATATGTAGAACTAGGCCTATATTTATAATATATATGGTTTTAATTTATTTCCATTTTTAAGATTAGAACATTATTTTAGTACTTTAACCATTAAAATATTTTTTAGGGGGAAAATCCAATTTATAAACAAGCAACTTCAACATTTAAAAATCCAACTTATGCAGGAAAAGGTTGTTCATGAGTTATAGTATAAAAAAACTACTGATTTTTTTACCTGAAATTAACTGAAGATCTAAAGCGTTGTAATTTAGATTTAGTACTTAAATTATTTCATTTTTAGATAATACAACTAATATACTTAATTAATTCAGATAAATTGGATATTAACATTTCATTATACTATTTGGATTGTTAAATTTTACTTATTTTAATTTACAGCCCATAATTTAAAATAAGACTTTGTAGATATTTTAATAAAAGATATATCATATATGTTTTTTTTTATACATGCAGAATTCATATTTTCCAGTGGTGTCCCCAAAAATTACATCTACAGTGGCTTGTTTCATTGATGTGATCCATACAGGAGAACTTGAAAGTGGCCCCCATACATACTCTAAAGATTATTTAAACGAATTGCTCCTTGCCTTCTTTTGTTTTTGAACATAAGTAGCTTAAATTTTTTCGGGTTCACCGACATTTTGTTTACACCATGTAGTGACCCTGCTAGAGTAAAAACATTCGCCGCAGGCGGCATTAATATTTTCGTAAAGGTAATGATTTTTCCGCGCATGCCTCTACATTCACCCACTTACCTATTTCCTTAAACTTAACTCGTTTTCCCAGAACATTTAACAAGGTCTAGGTATATTTTGAGAAAATACGCATGAGTTACATGCCAATAAACTGCTTACCCTAGTATAATTTAATCGCACAGTATGCATTTATAATTGCTTTATTCCGTTTATGCAGTTGTATGCAACTTAACGTTAAGATAATTTTGAGACGAAAGAGTCAGTTCTGTTCTTAACTTCCGGCAGTCAACTCGCTTTTGTTGTTATAAATTGTTCCCGTTTTTAACAACAATAAAATTCTTTAAACAAATTAAAGTTTTTTAAAAGAGTGTTTCTCTGACTAACACACGTAACTCATGCAAACTTTAATGATCTGTCAGTGGCCATGTTGGTTGTCGAATACAGCAAGTTCATTGGTTAAAAACGAGATTTTAATTCTCACGCATGGACATATCAAACAAAGCAATAACCTTAAGAAGTGACAGTAGCCCACTTAAATATAGTTTAGAATGATAGGGGTAGTCTAATTTAACTCATTGACTCATTTAAAAAAAATCAAAATGTACAGAGTGTGGTTTTATAACTGTAATACTAGGGTAATATTTTATTCTATCTATTTTCGTTGTTATGATAAAAAGTAAACGTTTATATAACAAAGTGTTCTTTACTTCAAACAAGGAATAACCCGTTTAAGCTTTTTAACATATCCCTTATGAAAGCGAAATTTTAATTCATTTGTTGACTAATTATCTTTTGCGACTTAACTTTATTGTCACTTTTAAAAGCTCAAAATTTTTAAAATCCAGAGAAATAATACTGATTCGAATTCTTGATTCAATGGACCGTGATATATCACACTCCCAGTTAACCATTACATTCTTCAATTTTAGTAGTTGCGCACTGATAAAACTGACCCCAGCTCAGCGTAATAAAAAGTAACCGTAACCATGAATAGGAACGGAATACGGTCACACAAATCGTTAATATGACAGCCCAATAGTGACAGTTGCCAGAGATTATTCTATGTCTGACAGGTAGAGGTTTTTGTTTGTGGGGGTTGTATGTTTTAAGATTAAGCCACCAAGATGTTAGCTTTAATGAATCGAATACTAGATTGGTTTAGGAGTTTATTTTGGAAAGAAGAAATGGAATTGACGCTAGTTGGATTGCAATATTCCGGAAAAACAACTTTTGTTAATGTTATTGCTGTTAGTTTGAGTTTAAAACTTTAAACTGTATATTCAGAACAACTAGTTTTAGTCCGGTCAATTTAGTGAGGATATGATACCGACAGTCGGTTTTAACATGAGAAAAATAACAAAGGGAAATGTAACTATAAAGATCTGGGATATTGGTGGACAGCCCAGGTTCAGATCTATGTGGGAAAGATACTGCAGGGGAGTCAATGCTATCATGTAAGCACTATTAATTTAATTGTGTTGTCCTGAAAATGTGACTATTCATGCTTTATGGACGAAATAATTTGTTTTTCAGATATATGGTTGATGCAGCAGATCCTGATAAAATTGAAGCTTCTAGAAATGAACTGCACAGCTTATTAGATAAACCTCAACTTGCTGGAATACCAGTACTAGTTCTCGGAAATAAACGTGATAAACCACAAGCATTAGATGAAAATGGTCTTATTGAAAGAATGTAAATATGTTTTTCTTTATATGGATTACTTAATTTTATCTCACCCAGTCACTCATTTATTTTTTTATTTATTTATTTATATTACATATTTATTGTTATTATTTATTATTATTTGTCTCATAAATATAGCAAATGGCAATGTTTAGACAGAGATTATTTTAATAATTGGTAAAACCAATTGGTAAACTAATTTAATGCTGTCAATAATTGTGGAAGCTAGGGTTGTGGAATTGGCCCATCAATTTTTTTAGTAAGTAATTTTTAAAATGCAATGACATTTATATTTATGTATTTATATTGCCCATTATATCGCCACCTCACCATTCTTAAAACATTTTGATTGAATTTGACTAGTCAATTAAGTAGTGGTCAATTGAGAGTCATTTGATCAGTCCCATCACTAGAAGTGTCTCGAAATGGAGAGTATATATTTTAAGGGGTGATTTTATCTGAAATGAACCCCAGTTTCATATATGCATGTTCAGATATGCTTTTTACTGAGATAAAGTACTAAAAAAAATGTTTTTTATAATATATTTTACACCACTAAATTGCATCATCAGAAGGCATTTAAAATATGCTTTTAATATCCCCATTAACAAAAAAGTTCGCGCATTGTTAAATTGTTAAAATTTAATGTAATTTTGTTTGTAAAATTCAATTTTTGCTAATTTTAAAATACATTTTATACTATCAATTAAAAAATACTATTTCAGGTTTTTCTTGTTGCAGGAATCTGTCTGCTATTCAAGACAGGGAAATTTGCTGCTACTCAATTTCGTGTAAGGAAAAAGATAATATTGACATTACTTTACAGTGGCTAATTGCACATTCAAAATCTGGTATGCATTAGTAATGCTTAATATATAAATATTTTGTTGTATATTTAGGAATATGTTTAGCATCACTATGAAATTATGTGACAACTTTTTTTTATTTATATATGTATATACTTAAAGAAACTCTATAGGCAAAATACACAGCTTGATAATTTTCTTGTAGCACCTGATTATTACTTTTTTAGAACTACTTATTTGCAAAATGGTTATATTACAGTACATATTGTTTAATGTCTAATATTTTACACAGTGACAATATGGATTTGGCTAATCAAAGTGATGTGCAGCATGGCCAATTAAATAAGGTAAGCCAAATATGAGACCAAGGAAAATTGCTTGAAATTATATTTGGATACATAATACAGTATTCTCTTCTCTTATGGACAACTTTAGTTGCCCACTTTGTTCTTTTTTAGATATGAAGGTGCTGAAAAGACAAATATTGTTGTTTCACTCCACAGAGAAAGCTTAATCATAATTTAATGAAATAGTGCCATGTATAGAATTTATTATTTTTTTTACCAAGGAATTTTTCTGATAATCTAATAGATTACAATTGTAGTATTTAACCACTCAAAAAATTTTTTTTGCTCTACCTTCAAGACTAATAAGTGAAAGTTTTTCTGGCTTTCCAACTATAATAAAAGTATTGACGTTTCTATTTTCAAAGGGTTTTGGCGTGACATTTTTGTCTCAAGTCTCCCACGTGCCTAAATTAATCTCAAAAAATTTTCTTTTGTATACGACTTTTACAATAAAATTAGATAATTTTCAAAGAATCATGTACTTGAAAAAAATATAGGAATATGATATGTGAAAAATGATGTATGCATGCTCTCTAACAAAAATTTCTTTAATAAATAAACTAATTTTAATTTATGAGTTATAGATTTTATGACATACAAAATATTGACCACAAGAAATAAACAAGTTGAAAAAATGTATCTTTATAAAACTATCTTGTTCGGAACTAAAAATTAGGACTACTCTTCGACAGGTTGTTTATTTTAAATATTTATAGTTTTCGAGATATTGCCGTTCATTTTTTTACTTAGTCTGCACTTAACTTTCAATTAATCATCTGAGGTACCGAGACAGTTGCTATATATAAAATATTATCTCTAACCATGCTGATACGCTTAAATAATTATACATACGAGGATTATTTAAATTTGATTATTATTTATGGAAAATGTTTTGACCATAGCATGCGATACGTTTGTGTTACTGGTAAAAACAGAAACCATGACCTATGCGAGTTAAGCAGATTGTAGAAAATCTCAAAAACTTCGTTTGAAAATATTGAAATAGTTGTTTTCGGTCATTTTGATGCATATTTTGCAATGTCGGTAAGAGAAGGACATTGGAAACGAGATTATCTAAGTTATCAATTCACAGAATCTTACTTAAAAATAAAATTTCATCCATACACATTTTCCATAGTTTCCACTGATAAAATGTTAAATATCTCAGAAACGGTGAAATTTAGGATATACACAAAATATGTCCAGAATTTTCGGGGGAATCCAAAAAAGGTGTTCAATTTAAAATAAGAAAGTTGACTCCCCCTTCCATTATACATTCGGATTCCGCCATCTTTAAAATATTTTAGCCGGATTGCCCCCACCAACATTAATTTAATTAATTTAAGTATTAACTTTTTTTTTTCAGGCGTTACGGCGTTATTCAAAATACATTAATTTACTACCGTCGCGAGCAAGCTCTTATACTGGTGAACTAAATATACATATATTCATTCTGAATTAAATAAAAACTATTTCTAAATTAAAAATATCAAGACGGAACCTGAAATTTGACCAAAAATGCACCTCTCTCACTTTAAGACGAAACATGCCATCATCGGCACATGCCATTTTCCACTTTGAAATTGGCGTCACACGCCAGTAAAAAATAATTTTTATTTATTTAATTACATACATACCATGACACAGCAGAACATTTATTGGAGTGAAATTTGCAATTCCGACTGGCTAATTCGTTGCTGAATTATTTTTCGCAGATGAATTAGTTGACGTCTTAAAATGACACGATATAAATAAATTTCATGAGTTGCGAAAATGTTGAAAATATCCAGAGATATCACGGGAAGTACCGCTAAATCGTTCTCAGGGTAGATAACAGAAAATTTAACTTGAAATTTAACATATTTACTACTACGACAGTTCAATGAGGTCGCTAGTGTGTAAGTTATACTAGTGTTAAATAGTATATTATAGTATTGCGTGCTATACTTTTACCACGACCATTAGTTTTGGGCATGATTTTGCAAAACAGCACGTCTACATTCACTGAGTGACGTGTGACGTGAATGACAAACGTCAAAATATCATCCGTGTGACTCGCAGCCGTGGATAACGAAGCTAAGGTTTTATTTTAGAACAGGGACTGCAAAAAATAAATTTATCACTTTATAAAGACTACCCTTTTAAACTAGTATCTAAAATAAGTGTAATTCTGAATTTCGGATATTTATATCATATATGATCTCTCTAATTATATCCTTTTCACAAAATGATAATTGCTTCATTTGCATTTCCGTCCAAGACCAACATACCTTGTACACTTGTACCTTGTACGTGGTCAAATCAACGTGTAAACCTCGTAAACTATTCGTCATCGAGATTTGCTATTTTTTTTCAAGATTCAATGACGTCAGAATTTCATAATTTTAGAAATTTGATTGCGTGATTAGCTTAAATCGGCCTTAGTCACAAAGACACTTGACTGGAGCAACGGAAGGTAATGGTAATGTGATAATGTTAATGTCTTTAGCAGACGTGAAATATTGTTGTTAATGTCTCATATGGTATATTGTATACGTACATATAATAGTTTTTGGTTCCAAATCCGGACAACTTGATGGGTTTATTTACGGGCTTCCGGTTTGCTAATGCTATTTGGCGACATATTAAGTTTCTTAGACGAACTGCACATTTGAGGTACGGGGTTGGTCCATTTCAGTACCATTTCGAACGGGAACATTATAGTTGTTAAGTTCCTGTGTTTCTGACACTCAACCTCATGACAAAATACGTGCTTTTTAATAACTTTTGGAACCGGCATCATTTTTCACTTATTCAAATTTTTCGTATGGATTTCCTTAAATATGAATTTCAAGCTAACCAAAACTTTAAACTTAACTCGTAAAATCTGTAGTTTGGATAATCTATTAGTTATACACATTCTACATTATAAAATCGGTTAAGTAGAAAATGTGAAACCTATTTTATAGGGTTTAAAAATCTATTACAGAATTACCTGTGCCCGAAACTGGTTCCTAGTCTCGGATTACGAACTCGAAAGAAAGATAATAACATCGCCTGTCAAAGTTTCTGTACCTATTTTTATTTTTCAGTCGGTTTTCATGTCTTTGTTGGTTTTACTTGACTGACAAAACTGACAAGTTCGGCCAAGCGTGAAATTTGACAGATGATTGTCGGAAGTATTTGAAAATAAGTGGTAAAAAATGTATTTAGATATATATTATTTTGTTCCGATGTTTGAAACCAGGTCCGAAACTAACCAAACCTGATCGATATAATGCTAAGAAATTGGCATGTAACGTAAGGATGGCCAATTTTGTTAAAAAAAATCGAAGAACGCGGCACCTCTAGCTGTAATTAATATTGTGATTTGTCCCATTGTTTTTAGTCCTTCATAGTACTTTAGAGCGTAGGTTGACATACACAGCTACTATGCTATTCTAAATCATTTTAGTGTTTTGTTTTGTGTATGTAGGCAACACATCTCGAAATTTTATTGCATTTGAGTTCGATTTTAATAGCTTCGATTTAGCGAAATTTTGTTGAATGATCCCAAATTATGGTACATACTTTCTGAACTTGTTACATTAAATAACAATTCCCAGTTGATTGATTAATTGATTTTTAGGTAATTAAGGTTTTTGTAGGCCTGAACCAAGCGAAAAAAAGTTATTAAATCTAGTTAGTAGTGAAGCAGTAACAACAATATCTAATTCATATAAGGCCAATTTATTGCGTTGTATACACACTTATTCTTTTTTTAGATACAATTTTCAATCGTATTTCTGTCCGCATTGCCTTGTAACTCCGATTTTAATGTTCGCAATAAAGGCGATTTTCCACAAGCACATTTATTTTCAAAGTCATCCAGATCCAACGCCCACACAACGCCTCCTCCCAACCCACGTTGTTTTATAAGTCGTGCCTGTAATTAACACATACATATAAAAAAAGCAAAGATAATTATAAATTCGTAGAACTCAAATACATTTCCAAAAGTTTTTACATTAACCAGAAGAAAGTTGAATTTTGTTGGTTCTCACCAACTACCTCATTTTTCAAACATGTATTAAATTTTTTAGAAGTATTCATGCATGTGAAATTAATTTGGATTTTTGGTTATTTATTTCATTTTTGTTCGGAATGTGTCATTTATCTTGTTTCAATATTCACGGTTCACAGTTGTCAGTAGATTCTACAAAATAATTAAAATACTTTTAATCCAAATTTTAAAAAATGAATTCAATGGTGATACAGTTATTTTTATGTACAGTTATATTTATTTTAAAATTATTTTTCAAATAAAAAAATAATTTCTAAACCTAAACGATTTTAAACTTAAACTTCCACGACCTATCCTATCAAATTAACCCTAATCGTCCCCGAAAGCATGGAAAGCATTGTGTAATGTTGTATAGTAACGCAGTAACAAATTTACCTTTGATTTGACCTCGCTCACATCATCATATAAAATCCACTGATCATTTGAATATGCGAGTGGTCCAGTAGTTCCCGAGGGGTCTCTTTTGATGCGCCATTTATCTTGTTGTACTTTTTGACAAATCTGCAAATAAATAAATGGTTTTTGTTATAACATTATTTGTTTTCTTTGTCTTATTGTACAACTACGATGGACATCAGATAAGTCGAATCTGAATGATAATCCTTTTATAGTACCATTTAAGAATATTTTTTTCTATAGAGTATGCAGTACCTTACCTCATAAAATGGCAAAAGTTGCAATCCATCAGCTTGAACTGTGTCGACATGCTTAAGACCTGTGCGTTTTTTGTATAGATCTTCCGTTATGGTAAAGTACCGTCCATAAAATGGTATTCCCATAACTAGCTTTCTATTGTCAACTCCTTTTTCTATCCAGTAGTTTGTTAAAAAGTTCTAGATACGAAAATATTAAAATTACATATATTTTTTTTAAATCACATTGTTACGGTCATGGACTATCTATATTTTGTCGTAATTCAAAATTCGAATTCAATCGATTTTAGAATAAAACGTCCCAACAATGATGTAGAACAAGGTACGCCAAATATATACTACCTGTTATATAAAGGTAAAAACTTCCCGAGTCTAACAATACAGGACAAACTCTTCTTAACTTTTAAATTTTTTAACCAAAAACGAAAATAATATCAGTCAAATGTAAATGGATACAGTTTTCTTTTAAATATCCTAAAGTTTAAAATACCACAGTTAATGTGTACGCCACAGCCCTCATTTTTTTAAAATAAAAATGTTATTAAATGAAATTGCTATATGGTTTGTTAGTTTTAATTATTTAAAATTTAATTAATTAATTAAAATCCAATTATTCGCTTTAATCAGATACCATAACGAATATTTGCGATGGAGATTTTTAATAATTTTCCACATTATTGTTTATAATAAACCAATTTTGCATTACTAAAAAATAAAAGTTTTTCAACTTTTCAACATTGTATTAGAAATGCAACACCAATGTCGCCAAATATTGTTTCCTTTCATTTGCTTTAATTTAATTGCTGACTGTTGTAATGAGATTCCATTTTTCCACATGAACGAAGATGGACTTTGTAAGATGTGTTCGGGTTTTTATTTGCACAAGTTAAATAAATCAAATTGTAACACCTACCGCATATACGAGAGAAGAAATGTTGTTTCTTTGGGAATCACGGTTTCCATAAAATCCAAATGGCATCACTAAAATCCAATCCAAATAAGTGTTTAGAGTGGAAGTGTCGTATTCGGCAACGGAAGATGTTTCGCTATGCGAAATTGCTGCAGATAAAAGAAGTTTTCTGAACTTGAATTCTTCATGTAGTGCTTTTATTAACTTTGAAAATCCTTCTTTATATACCCTTAAACTCCTTTCGTCCACCTAAAAATATTTAGTATTGCATGGGGGGAAAGGTCGAAAAATCAACATCCTCTCAAAAACATATTAGAGACAGTAATAATGATGAAAACTGCAGAGTTCTGTAGCGAAAATGCACCCCTCTCGTTTCGTAATGTATGACGTCACAGCCCACATTAAATTAAATTAAATTAATTAAGGTTTATTGCTTGTTTTGTTAACCGCTGCCTTGCTTATTTCCAGAGTTGTTGTGTATTTGGCCTCTAGAATTGAGTCCCCTTAGAATCATAATAATTATTAAATAAATATCAACAGAATCGGATAGATTATTATTTATGAAAAAAGTTTTGTTTTCAAAGTTTTTTAGCCTTTATGTTGAAACAAAGCACTGTGAGACTTAAATTTAAATACAGTATTTGCCTTAAAATAACATGACAGTCTGAGATACGGTCGTGTACCTAAAAAATACACAATCTACATATATAAATATTTACACCGTGAACACATTCATTATTGAAGCTAAGAACTAAATTAAATTAATTTTTTTCCCGATTATGGGTTGCGACTGAAAAATATTGGACATAGCGGTCAGATTTATTAAAAAAAAAAGGAACTAAAAATGGGACAGCCTATATCTATCAATCGATTGGCACCCCTTTTTTTCTGCATAAGTAAGGCAAATTAACATTCTAAAGGTTGAATTAGTGATCTTTTAAACAAAGCGTTCTAGACTAAAAGTTTATAGGGAAGACCCTTCCTCCCATTCGAGGTTTTATTTTTGGTCATTATTTGTCAAGCCACCAGATTAACTGTGGAAATAAATAGTTTGAACTATACCGTATCATGCTTCAACAACCAGGTACTGGCGTGTGGAATTCTAAAATTATTTTTTTATTATATCTAATTTTGCAGTGATCATAATTTTTTTTTTTATTTTAAATTAAATTGTAATTAAAATAATAAGATTACACCCACGTCACACGTTACACATAAATAAATTAAGACTAAAGCTTTAATTTTTGACAAATCCAAATAAATTTTAGGACCGAAATTTATGTGAATAATTTGGAGGAAATGCTTTTTTTGGAAAAATATTCTAATGATGAGTTTTGAATTATCCGAAGACGTTGAAGAATAATTCGGTAAATGTAAAATTGATATCAGTGGTACCTGCACGTTTTTAGGTAATGGCCAGTTCAAATCCAAACCATCGAACTGCCATTTTTCGATGTACTCAGCAATATTTGACACAAATGTGGCTCTTGCACCTGGATTGATCACCAATTTAAAATACCTATCGTCCGCAGGATCAACTGAATCTCCTACTGTTAGTAAGACTTTCACGCCTTCTGCTTTAAGATCTGCCACTAAAATGAATAAATAAATCATTCAACTTTTGATAGATATTGACTTAATTTTTTTTTATCAGCATTACATATCAGAGCATGTTATTTATACTAGACGCGCGACCAAATGCGCTGGGTCCGGCTCTGTCTGCGTTGCACGAACTCTTTTCAATCTTTGATGAATAAATAGGATGATCACAACGTTGGTTCCAAACCTAAATAATGTATTTTTGACATCTATTTTTGTCAAAAACCGATCCATCTTACCGAAACCAATTAAGTGTACCTTTTTCTCGTAACAGAACACAACTATTTCGATTTTATAATACAGAAGTCTAAAAGTCGACCCACTAAAAAGTCATTACAGTTTCTGTTACCTGTGTCCCTGACCAAAATTTGACATTTACAATTTTAAAATTATATTCAGCATGCCAAAATTATTAACATGCTAATACGTCAAAACTGTAGAAATGCTGCTATAGTTTGACAAACTAATTTTGGCACACCGTGAATAATTAAATAACTGTGTTACTTTGTTTGTTATTTTGGATAAAATATAGTTTGTTAGATTAAGTTTTGGATAGTTTCACGTTTCAGAAACCCGTACGATTTTTGTTGATTCAAAAACATAACAATACTTTAGATAGCATGTTAAAATACGATTTTATATACTTCATTCTCGATAGAATCAAATGCACGTATATTCAGAAACAAAAGAACGAAAAGTGTTGGTTTTGTGTGTGAACTTACCGCCATTAACATCAACTAACAGGTCGGTAGTAATTTTTAAAGACGTCGGGTCTAAGGAAATAAAACCGTAATTTATGTGGGTACACATAGAAGGATCGATATCTGCCAGTGAGAATTCCTCACGATTTTGCCTGGAATCGAAAGTAGTGGAACATTTTCGAAAAACAATAATTCCAATCACTCTTACCTACGCGAAGCTCGATTTCTAAAGTAACAAATTATTTTGTATTTGTTGTGGTCGTAACTCGATACTGACCAGCTAAGTGCGGAATTTTTCGGTTTAACTTCAGAAAGATCGTTTCCGTTTGAAGCAAATAGATTTGATTTCTGCAAATTACAAATCGTGTTTTCTGGCCAGTCACAATGATCCACGTTCCATAATAGCGGTCCCGGACAGTATTGTGGTAAGTATTGACCTTGATCGCATACATAATACTTGTTACATGTTGTATTGTCCGATAAAAACAACCTTCCATTACATGAAAGAGTCATGTATGTGGATTGCTCTGGCTTGATGGTTGTGGATGGTATATTGGAACTTGTAGATAGACTTGGACTTGTAGATGAACTTAGACTTGTAGATTGTACAGGCGAGGTTGTGGAAGTTGGCGCCAACGAGCTGGATGTAGAAGATTCTGGCGAATATTGTCCACCTAACACGCACTTGGGTGCCGGCTTAGAATAATTTCTGAGAACTCTATTAATAGTTCTTAGTAGAGGATATTCTTCACAATTGCACTCATTTTTGAAATCATCTAAATCCAAAGCCCATATCATAGCGCCTCCCAATTCCATAGCTTTAACGTACTGCGATTTGTGCCTTACCATTCCAATATCATCGAATGATACCCACTGGTCTCTCAAATAAGCGTAAGGGCCCATCCTACCTTTTCGATCACGGACGACGTTCCACTTCTTCTGAATTACATTGGTACATATCTAAAGTGAAAATTATTTAAAAATGCAAGCCCATTTTTAACAATAACGTTTAGAATTTATCTTAACATTTGGTTTTCTTTCTACGCGTATTATGTAAAACTTAAATATTTTTTTTAGCTAGAAAATGTGTTATCCGTATGTATGTGCTTCGAATAAAAAAAGACACCCTATAGCTTGAATTAAATTTTTGGGACTAGTTAATTAATGTACTATGCACATGTACAGAATTATTTAATTAAAATGAAAATGGGCCTTTAAAAAGACACGGGTATTCGAATATCATGAAATTTCGTGAAAAGCAATTAAAAGTTCTTTCAAATAGGATCCTGAAATAAAAAAAAATCATTAGCTAATCTCTTTTCACAGTAAACTATGGTTAAATGAATGTGCTATACACCCATTCAACCCTAAACACAATATTTTAAGTGCCTGTTTTTTTCAGGTTCACTTTTTTGCGAATATAAATATCGCAGCTTATCATCCGACAATCAGGAAAGAAGGAGCTGGAATATCGAAGTGGACGAAGCAGGGGAAACTTAAAACCTACAATCAAACGATTATAACACCAAAAAAGAGTTAACACAAAGGAATCGGGAAACTGCTACGGCCCCAAAAATCTCTTAATATATATACAAGGTATCCGTTTTAAGTAACACCAATATTGCTATCTCCAAAACAGAAACAGTACTGGTCGATTAATTAAAAAAAAACCTTTTTTGACGCACATTCAACGCAGTGCTGCCAAATTATTGTTATTTTTCATTTGTGTCTCGAAAATGAACTGCACCTTGAATTTTGATAAACTAAAAAGAATTTGGGAACACTGTAATATAGTGTTGAATGGACCTTTGTCCAATTTAATCTACCGTTTTGGAGATAGCAAAAGTAGTATCACTTAAAATTTCCCGCTTCAACCCTTTTTGCTCTTCCAGTCAGATGGTATCGAGCTTAGCCCTTCATCTTCGACTTTGCAGCTTCATCTTTGTCTTCCACGCTTTCTTCTTCGAACTGGATTAGTGTTTTTTTTTAGATAAAATACATAAATAATCCGTAACTGGTAATGCAAACCTTCAAGTACCACTAATGTGGGCATATATAAGTCAACCATAACAACTTTACAAAATCAAATCAGTGCAACTGCAGTGCACCCGCTTGATCATGTAGTCGCAAACTTACGAAAATTTCTAAAGACCAAGTTAACGTCGAGAAGAAATGTAAAACGTGAAAATTGCTTTTGGTTAGAGAAAAAAATTTTACCTCATAATAGGCCAAAAATCCTCTCGCTCTGGTATCTTCCCCTGCTTCACCACCACCGTACGTAGGAGCATTTAGTCCGTTATTTTGATTATCCGCTAATGAAAAGGACTGACCATACATCGGAATTCCCATAACCAACTTTTTCCGATCAGCACCCTTTTCAATCCAATAATGAATAGTGAAATTCTAAAAAACATGACTAGTTTGAAAAATACAATTTCAAAGTTAATTTATGACAATACAGCATTGAAAGTAGCATCGATGTCTTCCGGATGAGTGTACATTGGAGCTACGTGGCCAGTTATTTTATCCCATTGGCCATGGTAGTCGTAAGTCATTACTGCAATCCAGTCTAAATATTGACTTAAAACTGGCACATCGTAACCGCCATCGATCACCCTTCTACTTGGAGAAACAGCTGCAGATAAAAGCCACCCTTTTGGTGAAAACGCATTGTGCAATTCTTTAATAAATGCGGCGAATGCGGCTTTGTCGGACTCAGGACCTTTGGTACAATCGACCTAATTCAAAAGGAACGCTATTCAAAACTATTTTTAAAAGATAAACAATCCCGTTCAGTATTTAGACAGCACATTGCAAATTTTCTTGATTACCCGATAACTTACTTGCCAACATTTAGGATATTCCCAGTCCAAATCCAAACCATCAAAGTTATTGTCTTCGATAAACTGGACAACATTAGTAATAAATCGGCTTCTATCGGATGGATCGTTCACCAACCTGGAGTATTTGTCGCCTGCTGAATCATTCCAGCCCCCGATAGCAATTAGTACTTTTATTCCTTTGGCTCGCAATGCTGTCACTTTCTCGTAAAATTCTACAAGGAGGCGAATTTTAAGATAAAACTTTTTTAAACAGTTTGTTACCACAGTTATTAATATTTTTCACTTTAGGCAATTATTGAGTCAATAATGAAACGAATAAAATAGTGGTTATTGGGGAGATGTTGCAGCGATATGACATCGTAGTGTTAGAGAGTTCGGGGCAATAAAGATGCTAAATTTGTTTAACTGTAACATTCAAAAATTAACAACCATAATTTTCAAGATTAAATAGAAAGACAAAACATCAAATTAGTTTTGGTTAGTTTTGTGAGAAGCAACATATTATCTTAGAAAGAACTAATAAAGCAATTATGCATTTTTTTTATGTAACTTTTGGCATATATGAAAGATCTATTATTTTACAATTATTTTTTTTATAATGTCCGAAAATCCCAAATTTGGCAGTTTATTAATTAATTTATTTTCCAGTATCCTAAGTACTAATTCTCTTTAGAGTAATAACTTCGACGATGAACAAGGTGTTCACAAAATTCTAGTTTTACCGTCTCACACAAAATTGGCAACAAATTCTTTTTTAAAATAGAACTCCCTGTTTATTACGAAATACTTTGCCAGATAATTTAAAGCACTTTCAATTCATATTTTTAATTCCTATACATCAGTTCATGCAGTTTTTTAACGAATTTTTGACACATATACATAGTCATTTTGCTCTTATTTTATATAAAGTTGGCAATAGTCATTACATTGACAAATAAATGTTGTACAAAGGAGATTTACAAAGAAACAAAAAATTCATTAAGATTTTATTCAAATAGAATTCTGAAGAAACTTTATGTGTGGATTCTGGTTTCCTTTAAATCTCGTGAATAAAGTATTTGTTTGTCAAAGCAGTAACTATTGTCACTTTTTCATTAATTTTACGGCTCGCTCTTAGAGATATATATGAATTGAAATCGTTTTTAATTCTAATAATTATCGTAGATTTATTAATATTTCATAATAAACAAGGTCTTCAGTCCAATTTTGTGTAAGAAGATTCATAATTTTACAAACATTCTGTAACCCAGCAGTAAGAATTTAAATGGGGGTCTGTTTCAGCCGAAAAATGTGGAATATAATTAACATCTCGAAAACTGCTATGGGGAAATATTTTACGAAAACGACCAGAAACTGAAATATAAATGGATCAATATATAACTCGTCGCATTTACAAAATTACAATCACAATCACAAGTGACCAAATTTTCAGCAAAGTGCCATGTCCCGTTTTCAATATCAGAGTGACTTTGCGTATGTTGTTGATTCGTGTAATAACTGTCGTTAGCTTCATAAATAGGATATCTAGTATATTTTGTACTTTTTTATTTCTAATGCTTTCTTACTGTACACTTACTGTTATCAAAATCAGCCCAAGTGTCGTGAGGTTTAATAAGCAGTCGGTCACCATCTAACACAGCAAATCCGTACACTATATGTGTGCATAAATCTACATCAATATCTGAAGGAAGATACTTTCCTCTTCCCTGCCTATACCAGGCCCAATTCGTAAAGTAACAAACGACTTTAAATTTACTGCTACGATCTACGATCGGTTGGGTCTCTTGAATGTACCCATATGTTGTACTTGCATGTTCCGTTGTTGCAGAATTATAAACATTTAGTTCTTCATTCTCGATGTCTTGCTGCGGCCTGTTAATCGACTGATCGTCTGTTATACCAATCAATTCATCTTTTGAGACAGGATCGGCTAAAGTATTTCTTATTATGGTTAGCAAAGGATGACGTCCTTCGCCGCATCTGTTTTTAAAATCGTCTAAATCCAACGCCCATATCATCCCCCCTCCGAGGTCCATTTTTCTGATGTAATTCGATTTTATTTTAATTGTCTCTTTGTCATCATAAGAAACCTAGAAATATTAAACTACTTATAATAATTAGTAATCCCACATATTAATAATATTTATTATAAACCTCCCCCCCCACCAATAGTTATGATGCAATCCAAAAATGCTGCACCTAAAATATTAGCTTACTTTATAACACGTTATGTTACTCGTTCCAGTACCAGAAAGGGAGCACTTATTAATAAACAAGTATTTTAAGATTATTTAAAAAAATTTCTATAAATTGATACGCAATTTATCAATGAATTTATTTAATTTGTTAAGGCACATTTTCTAAACAAAGATTTTGATTATTTTGATCGAACTATGAATTTCACATATCAATTTATGGATAATTCAGATATATAAATATAGAATAATTTTAAACAGATATCATTCCGTTAAGTTTGGCAACGCTTAGTAATTTGGGCAAAAAAAAACAGAAGAGAATTTACTTAATTACCAGTTTAAAGTAGAGCAGTTTAATAAGTTTAAGAGTATTATCTATTAACAAAATCAAGATAGGGGACAATGCCAGTTTTGTATCTGAAATAACGGCAACGAACTTATTACTCAATTCTATATTGTCTTCAGTCAGAACTAAAACACTGTTATTTGATGATGCGTGCTTTTGCCACAAATTCCATTGTAACCGATCCGGAGACATTAAATTGACTTCTATTCGAGAGGCTCTAATCCGCAACGCCAGATTTCTCACTAATTACGTAGCAGGAGTATAAACTCATAATGAAACAAAAAGCTTCATAGAAAGCAAGTTATTTTGATAATTTAAGGAAAGACTATGCTTATACAAATATTTTGAGGGCCGATTATTAAAACATCTCAGAAAATTACAATTTATAACTTTTATAATCACCTGACATGACTTTATATTTAATAAGTATTGTTCTGCGAATATCATTTACCTCATTAGTTGGTTACAGATTTTCATAGTGACATAAAATGTGCTTTTTCACAGGTTGACACATATTACCGGCAAAATAGTCATCTCAATCCTTACTAATGTTGTTACTTTATAAGCTTAACTGCTTATAGTATTTAAAATTCTTACAAAACGAAATTGCCTTATACATTTCCGGATATTATTATGTTGACTTACCCACTGACTGCCTTTATAAGCATAAGGTCCCATTCGATTTTCCGGATCTTTAACAACAGTCCACCCGCTGTTTTTCACATTATTACAAATTTCATAATATGCCAAAAACCCGGCAGCCCTTGTGAATTCACCAGCTTCACCAGGTCCTGGAGCGTTGGCATTCAATCCGTTCTTCTTTTCATCTTCCAGTCTGAAAGATTGACCATACAAAGGCATTCCCATTACAATTTTCCTTCTCGGTACACCTTCTGAGATCCAATAATTAATTGAATAATTCTACAATAAAATACTCGTATTAGTATAGATTAAGTTGTTTCTATTCTAAATTAATGTGTTTAATGTTCAACGCTGCGCAAGAGTGCTCGCACGTGTGTCAAGTAAATTGACAATAAAATACTAGATGTTTAGGGATGGTATTGTATGTTTTTAGTAGTAATTATAATAGAGAGTATTTCGTATTCCACATTTCATATTCACATTTCATATTTCATCATATTTATTCAAAAACTTCAAACAACAAATGAAGAACATTGGCTAAATCCCTCAATAATTTTAACTTAATTTGGAGTCTTACCAGAACGTTCAAAAAGTCTTTCCCAAAAAATGCAAACTAATAATATTGGTGAGAATCTAAAGAATTCTACCGCAATATATTTTTGGATATTCCATTGTTATTATACAAAATCTTTGTTGATATTTTTCTTTGGAAATTTTTTTAAATCTTAATCTTGATAATAAAATAACAAATATTCGTTGGTTTGCAATCATTTTTTGGGACAGAAAATATAAAATAATTCAAAAACAGTGAAAGTCAATCAAAATATACATATATAAAATACATCTATAATTTTCCGACGAATATTTGTTTACATTTTTCTTTGGGAAGGTTTTTAAATCTTAATTTTAATAATAAAATAACAAATATTCGTCGGTTTGCAATCATTATTTGGGACAGAAAATATAAAATATTTCAAAAACAGTGAAACTCAGTCAAAATATACATATATAAAATACATTTATAATTCCCGATACCTGCTGCCGGTATAATAGTTTATTTATAGTATATAAATGCTACTTTATTCACGAGTTTTATTTGGCACGGACGGAGCACAGCGGAGCCGGTATTTAATAAATAATAAATACAATAAAATAATAATTAAATATAGTTTATCCAACGTGTGCCATGAGATGGTAGCCATTATTCAAACCCACTATCGCCCAAGAAAAGGAAACCGATTCACCAAATAATTAGCTAATAATAGCAATTATGCAACAAGTCTTATAAACTACACGAGTTTGTTTAGGAACAAGTTGAACGCAGCGAGATGCGTGTTTACGTGTTTAGAAGAAATTTATAACCATGTTGCATATACATTTGCGATATCAGTACGTTAGTATCAGGCAATTAGCAGATTGAACAATTCTTTTCCAATTTAAAATAATTCTTACCGAGTTAAAAAAGTCCACTTCGTCATCGGGATGATAATACAGTGGTGCCACATGTCCCGTTTTCTTATCCCACTGTCCATGGAAATCATAAGTCATCACTGCCACCCAGTCCAAGTATTGTCCTAAGACGGGAACGTCATAACCTTGGTCCACTACAGTTTTACTAGGTGATACAGCTGCTGACAGCAGGTATCCCTTTGGCATAAAAGCTTCTTTGAGTTCTCTGACGAAATGCGAGAAAGACGCTTTATCCGAATCGGGACCTTTCGAGCAATCAACCTATAAATTAAGTAAAATGTATTTAATTTATTCTTTTATTCCAGAAAAGGTATCAGTGCGAATTGGTCCAATTATATATTTATTTCTGTGGAAAATTTCTTGTTCGTAGGAAAACATTTTTTAAGTACCTTTTTACGTAAAACTTAATCGTTTAAATATAATATTTTTAAAGCTTTTATGTGTTTAAGTGTTTATAAAATTGTAAGTTGTATAAAATAATATACATATTATAATACATAATACATAATATACCACCTTGTTGAAGAGAATTGAGAATTAGGTTTCCAAAATATAGCACAATTGATATTTTACTCGAGCCTTCTTTAAAAAAATTAAAATTTTGAACTTTGAACAAATAGGCTTTGGACAATATGATCATAATACAGTTGCCCTATCAATTAATTGTTTTGAATGAATGAATCAATACTAAATAACGTATTAAGAGTCAAGTGTAACAATTCTACTATTACGTATTTCTTTTATGCGTTTCGCACTGTTCACAGCCTATAATTGTGGCAAAAAAAATTATTTTTACAAAACAAATAAATTCAACATAAGTTTATAGAAACAGTGCATATATTAACTAATACCGAAATTAGCAATTTAACGGTATACCAATGGTAAGGGTCCAATTTAAATGTGCATATTTTTAAGAAGTAAACTTCATGCTGAAGAAAAAATTTTGTCTCCTTTGTTAGTTCACCAAAACGTTTAATTAGTATGTTTCTTTTTTGTATTATAATTACCGTAAAAACAATAGAGAGGAGCAGATATATTTCAAAGATTTAGTAAAAATTTTTATGTAATATAGTCATATATTTATTTTGAATCACTGAATTTCACTATGATTCCAACAATGTGCCTGTGTCGCAAATTGAAAGTGAGCTATGATAACTGTGAAAACTGTGAAACCGTTTTTAAACAAAATTGCAAAAACTGCAACCTTTACAATAATAACAATAACCGAGAAGGTATGGCAACAGAGCTTGTGGATTTAACATGGGATAACATTGGGAAAATATAACAACATTAAACTTGTCGATGGGATTATTTTAATGTAAAACAACCTGTGAGATTAAGGTTAACGAAACTTATATGTATTAATTACCTGCCAGCATTTTGGATATTCCCAATCCAAATCCAATCCATCAAAACCATGTTTGTCCAGAAATTTAAGGACGTGATCAATGAAGCGTTTTCTAGCTGACGCATCGTTGACGAGTCTAGAATATTTATCACCCTGTGAATCATTCCATCCACCTATTGCTATCGAGACTTTTACGCCTTTTGACTTGTAGGCAACGACTCTTTTGTAAAACTCTACAAAAAGTATATGCATTGGATGCAGAATAACAGAAACATGCATTTTATTACTTTCTCCTTGGATTTTTGTACAGAATGTTTTCGATCGAGTAATAAAATATGACTTGTTTTTAGTTTTAGATGACTTATTATTATGATACTGATAAAAATTTGGAAAAGATATATTTTTTATGACAGCTTTTACGAACTTAACTTAGTCATTACTTCTAAATTCACGACTCCTAACTTTTCCATCGAAAAAATTGAAAAAAAAAATTACATGAATTACAATTTTTTTCATTATCACATTTGTACATAATTTAAAATTATTATGTATTAAATCAGTACCACACACATCTTGAAATGAATGTAAAACTTTTTTTTTCTAGCGAACACTTAATTTTTAGTATAGTTTTTACTTACTTTTGAATATATATATATATATATATATATATATATATATATATATATATATATATATATATATATATATATATATATATATATATATATATATATATATATATATATATATATATATATATATATATATATATATATATATATATATATATATATATATATATATATATATATATATATATATATATATATATATAAATTTTTATATCTTCTATAAAGCGTAAAATAATCAGGAAATGGTAACAGAGAAATTGTATAAAATCATCTTTTTTTCTTACTTTACTTTTTGCGTTGTAGACAATAACGTCATACAGGGTGGCCAGATAAAAATGCAAAGTGCTATGTCGGAAATAATATTCATAGCTGGTCGCCAGGAGTAGTAGTTTGGTAGTAGTAGCAAAAAAATATGTACTATATTATTTAAACCTTAGCTTCATAGGAGTAATTTTTGATTAACAGTTTTGACGCATCCATTAAAATAAAGTGGTAGGAAGTGAGTTATTTTTTTTCTAATTAACATTTCCTAAAGGACTTAATTAATTTTACATTAAACTAAATTTACTGCTCCATCAAACTCATCTTATCTTTGAAAATTGTAAGCGAAACCATATTTTGATATCTATTTATATATATATATATATATATATATATATATATATATATATATATATATATATATATATATATATATATATATATATATATATAAAGAAAATTTAGATACCATAAAATTTTAAAAAATCTTTATTATACCGGTATTTAATATTATTTATCTTTTTTCAGGATTTGATTATAAAATTTCATAATTTCATAATCTTCCATTCATAACAATATGCCTGGATCAAAAATTTTAAAAAAGGCTTAACAACATGTCAACAACTACTTGAATTATACAAGCATCGTAATATATGTTTCTTGGGTACACTAGTAAAAATCAAAAATCATTTTGCCAATGATAAAGCTGCCGATAGATTGATAATATTTGCCATTAGTGTTGACTCAAGGAGAGCTCGATATCCAAATTGAGTTTTAATCGGAAAGTGGTAGAACTCAATTGCAAAGAGGGAAGAGGCTCGGCTAGAACAACACTGACAATCAGATATTAACAATTTGCCCGTCGATTCGCAACTGTGGTCGAAAACTACCTGTATTACACAAGAGCTGATTTAAATTAATGTCATATTTTGAAGACATTCAAATATACCACAATCATATCGACAGCTGCTTCAGTTTTCTAAAAAGCATTTTAACAGTTTTACACTTATGTGTGCAACAAATCCAAATTACGCTACCATTGTAATATTGGTATTTTGCATTATTATCTTGTCACCCGGTACATAGTGCTTGCAAGAATGAAACATCGTTATTTAGGTTTCCCATTATGTAGTTACTACGTAATTCTATTCTGTGAAAAAATTAAGTAATAATTTACTTACGATTATCAAAATCAGCCCACGAGTCGTGAGGTTTTATTATTAAGTTAGAAAAATCTAGTACCGCGAATCCGTAGACAATATGGGTACATAAGTTTTCGTCAATATCTTCGGGTAAGTATCTACCAATGCCTTGCCTGTACCAAGCCCAGTTGGTAAAGTAACACACAATTTTAAAATAATCCGAAAATGGTTTGAGTGGTTCTGGCAGTGGAGGTTTTTCGGACGTGGGTGGTATAGGCGGATGCCACTCCCAAGGGTTTTCTCCCGGTTCGCTAGTTGAAGGCGGTTGATATTGCCATTCTGTAGTTGATCGAGGGGAAGTGGTCGTCGGTAAATTAGTTCCTGGTTTAGGATCATCGTCGCTGGGCTCTGGATACAGATCATTTTCGGTTTCCTGACATTCAGACTTAATGGGCCAATCGCATATTTTATTTTTCTAAAGGAATAATATAATTTATGCTTATCGATTAACGGCATTATATTTGTAAGCACTAACGTCACTCCAATATAATCCAGGGGCACATTGGTAAACCTCAAATTTACCCCACAAGCAATGCATGTATTTGGAACAATCTCCTGGGAACGAGGCGAACGCATTTTCATCGCATGCAGAATAGGGTTGATATCCTGAAATTATTATCCCAATCATTAGTTAATTTCCATGACTAGTGTTGGGCAAAAGAAGCTATATTCAAATTACACGATCACAAATCATTTTGTATTTCTCGAATTTATTGAATTTTTTTGTAAAATGTAGGAAAAGTATTTGGAAATAAAAATTAAAATTAATTGTTTGAAAACATAGACCTGTGTCCTAAACGTTCCTATTGGTTTATATCATTGCTTTTAATTTCTCCACTTTACTCTTTACGAGACGTAAAATAAAGCTCAAGTAACCTGTTAAAATTAAGGACATTAAGGGAAATGAACTAAGAATAAGAATTTCTTTTTACTGTTGCAATTGCAAAGTTGTCGCAAACGCGGCGTCAATTCAGACAGAGTTATTACCTGATGTCAGAGAAATCTAGAAGTATACCAACAAGTTTCACAACCTGCGAAAGTTTATTCGAAAAATTAGGGATAAAATATTAAGTTTTTCAATTTTAAAAATAATATGTTCCAGTTATTCCTATGTTTGTGTCATTTGTTTGACTGCAAGGAGATAATAGACACAAAATCCTTAGTAAAACTTTTCTATTAACCTGTATGGTAATTTAAGTGTGCAACATTATTTTACCAATTGCTCCATCAGAAAGTCGAAAGTTGGTGCATGTTGGAAAACCATTCAGATACACTTAGAATTTTTCCAAGTCAAACGGTATATGCAGAGCATTGCACAAGAATAAAAAAACGCAATTAGGAAAAAATGTTAGTGATTTTTCAAAAACTTTTTTTTATCTTTGAACTAAACATATTTACAAATTAATTAAAATCAAATAAATCTGGCACAATTTTTGTTCAAATTAATAATATTAATATTTTATGCAATCACAAACTTCACGTTTCTTATTACTTAAAAAAAAATTGGAAAAAAATATTTTTAACAATGTAAAATATCGTTAATAATAATAGGCTTATTAAGAAGCTCTAATTCGAAGTGAAAAATCGCACCGATTACCACACTGCGCATAAATGTGAAGTACCACACTTGTACCTAAGTTTTAATCAGAAATGTTTCTAAACTGATCATTAGTGAAATTAATAAAATATTTTTGTCAGCCTTTTTTTAATCAAAAATGCTTTTTGACTTTTTTGCTCTAGTCCTTCTTTTCATCGTATTACCAGGGGCACGCATCTTAACGTAATTCATCATTAATTTTGTCTTTTAAGAGCATTAATTTTAAAAATGTATAGTGTTATCAATTTTTATTATATATTATATTATTATATATTATATATATTTGTATATAATTTCAACAATTATGGACCTTGTATGGAAGAAGTTCTACTAATTTAAAAAATTTGAAACCACTGTCTTGTGAAATTTGCATTAAGATTTTTTTCCTGTAATGCTACATTATGTAACAAAGTCATCTAGGTACTGTTCAAGTGATAATATTATACTTGTATTAATCTTACGTACTGTTGTCAACTAGCAATTCCAACTGTTCCCAATCTTTTCTTCTTGTACAATTAGTGTTAAACTGCCAGTCACAGTTTGCCTTGTCAACATTCCAATACAACCCCGGCGGACAATTTTGTGGAACCAAATGATTATTTACGCAAATGTAAAACTGTCCACAATCTTCATGGGAGTAATACGATCCTGAGTTACATTGATGTTCGGAATAAGGCGATATGCTTAAACTGTACTCGCTAGATTCCGAGGCAGAAGTGGTCGGCTGAATGTCTGCAATATCGGTAACAATTACATCAGTATCCAATTAATTAAAACAATACGGAAAATATTATCACGCGTTAAGTGTAGAATACTAACAATTTTCCTTGCATTTGGCGGCGCTAGGCCAGTCACACGTGTTTTTGTTTCTATTCCAGTGAAGACCGCCGCCACAAACTTGTTTTTGGAGTTCTCCACCTACACACCTAAGCGATAACAATATGAAAAATAAGAAACTAATTTTTAATAACAACTCTGTTGAAACATTAATGTCGTCAATTGATACCAATACATTTTTTATTTAAAACATCTTGAAAGCTGGTTTTCTGCCTGTTTTGATTTGTTTTCATTGTTATAGCAATTAACTCTATCTGTCGATATATCTATCTCTTAGGGTGGAAATGATTGTTTTCTAATCTTAATAAGAATTTTAAAAATTAAAATAGGAATATTCTGCTTCGATTTTATTGGTGAATATATTTTGAGGGAAATATCGACTTGTTAAAATGAGAATAAAATGAAGTTATTTTCTTATTCAATTGTATGATTTCTTCCGTTTGCTAAAAATCATTATTAATTTCTCTTTTGGAAGAATAATTAGATCTTTGAAAAACAAATAGTTTACTATGAATTTGTAATGTTGGCGCGATAATAATATTGTCTATACCGATAAAATGCGTTGCAGTTGTTGTCGTCTGGGAGATACTGTCCAGGATGACATTTTTTCTTAATTGGTGGTTCGTGGTTAGGAAGGGTTGGCGCGGCCGTTGGCGGTCTTCGTGAAGTTGTGGAAGGCCTGAAATTTTTTTTTACTGCAATGTTATCAGTTGCCAGTAAGTAAAGGTGGACAAGACATACTTCGATGTTGTAACCTTTGTCGTGGTTGTCCACCAAGCAGTGGTAGAACTTGTCGTCCACCAAGGACTAGTAGATGGTTTTACTGATGAGCTAGATGGCCTACTCCACCAATTCTCGGTTGATGAGGTTGGCCACCATGTCATTATGGTTTCCGCAGACGTCGCTACGCTCGTACCCGTATGATGGTCGTGTTCCGATGCCCCTGTATGGAATATCGAAATACACTACTATTCGCAACTTTTTTTTAACAGATCGTTATTTTTTATATCTGAACATTTTTTGCGGGTCTCTTGCTTATACCTTTGTTAGGCTGTCGTGAAGATAATGTCGAACAGTTACCTGAATCAATTCCGGTTGTTACTTCTGGAGGCGCGGGTGTGGATGGTGGCGGTGGTTTTGCACAATCTTCCACCGTTGAACTGTCTATTATGCGATTCAGTTCTCGATTTATAGAACGCAGTAGTGGGAAAGGCCCATTACAACATCGGTTTGAAAAATCGTCTAGATCGATTGTCCAGGCTACCACACCACCAAATTTTCTGTCTTTGACATATTTAACCTAAGAAACACTGCGGCTAAGATAAGAAACACTCCCAATCTCGATGTAATTAAATATTATAAACCCTGTTATTAATTTGAACCACGTTGGTTCAATTAGTAATTAAATTCAATTAAAAAAATGATGTTTTTTTATATGGTACTTTAAAGCACCTAACAAAAGGTTTTTTTAGATTAAAAAAAAATCGCCGGTCTGTTGAACTTTTATTATCTACATTTTTTATTTTCTAGATTTCTCATGGATAATTAACTTTGTCCTTTTTGAAAATTAATTTCGCAATTTTAAAATAAGTCAATCTCTTGAAGAAGTCGCAGTCATTCCGTTCTTTCATTTAAAAGAAATCATGAATTTTTGAGCACAGTTTCTATAAATCAAGGCGTTAAATGTTATTTAAAAAATATTTTGTTATTAATAAAAATAGCAATTTTTCACTTATATCATAACTAACTAGAAATTGGTACATACTAGTACAAACTCAAACACTAAAGTGTAAGAAACTCTCTTAATTTTGGGTTTAGCATTTCATGAAAGTGGGCTTAATTTATGTTCTTACTTTTTTTATTGTCAATTAAATATTTTAAAATCTGTTCTTTATTAATGTTCATTTAAAAAAGTTTTAATTTAGTAATTAATGTAAACTACTTCAGAAATTACAAATGTCATCGAACCTAAACACGAGAAAAAAAAATGCAAAATAAGAAATTTATTAACCAAAATAAGTTTTATAGGGGTAGATCGATACTTTTTGGAGGGACACCCACTTTTTCTGCTAGACGTTATGTGGTCCTTATTTACAAAATTTACATAAACAGTGTAACGTATTATACATACCAAGCTTAAATTGTTGCGAAAATGTTCGAGATGTATACACTAAGCTGAGCTCTAAATTATAAACTAATGCATCCTTGGAAATTATTAACTAATTATATCTGCTCCTCATAATATACCACGAACTTTTATGAATGAGATATATGAAGATTGTTTCAATTTGGCCGGCCATAGAAGTTCATATAAATGAGCTATGAAAATTGTATTGCTGACAACAATATTGTAACTTCGAGAATAACTGACAACTAATCCGTAAAAGTGTCGAAACTAAGTAACATTTTGAAAAACAAGCTTATATATCGGTTTTGGTTCTACAACGAGATTTGGTGCAAAGGGAGATACTTAATTCCAATAAACTAAATAATTAACGCCTTCATTTTAAACTAATTGGTTATTTTAAACTCTACGAAAGCAACGTGGTTGTTTGGTTAATGGAAGATCTAGAACACTATACATAAAATCATTATTTTACAAAGATGGAAAATCGAATATTCAAAGAAATGGGTAAAAATATTTCACATAAAGATCCTCAGTCTAGCTATTAGAGTTAAAAGGATATGCTATATTTTAAAGCTGACTGTGAAACTGATTTCTTGCAAAATTGCATTAATTCATATGATTTAACCTGTGCATATTTTTATATAGGTTACTCAGAGAGTAATCGACCTTAGACACTTGAGTTTTAAATTTCAGTTTATTGTCAAATATTAACTCCAAATTCTTTTATTCATTAGTTACCGGAAGCTTTTCACCATGAAGTCACAAGAAAATTTACTTGTCCCAAAATACATTACTACCGATCAACTTGCATTCAGCGTAACATCATTGTCTGCTGAATATTAACTTGTAAATATAATGTAGACTATTTTTAATGTTTTCTTCATAAAATAGTTTTTACCTTTGCTCTAACTGAATCGATATTTTCATATCCAACCCATTGGTCATTGTAGTAGGCATAAGGCTCCATGCCATTTTTTCTCTCATTCCAACGAGAACGTTTAATATTGTAGCAGATTTCATAGTACGCCAACATGCCAGGTTGCTTCGTATAGTCACCTGGTTCACCAGGACCAACACTTCGAGAACCCGGACTATAAGTAGCAGATTTTGGCAACGTGTAGCTTTGTCCATAGAAAGGAATACCCATTAAAAGCTTTTCTCGGATCGCACCTTTCGATACCAAATATTCCATGGTATAATTCTGAAAACAATAAACGTAGACGTATTCTTTTTTATTCGAGTTAAGGGCAACAAATATCTATGTAAATAATATAAAAATCACTAGAAACTTACCACATTATACTGTGGATAACTATCGCTTGACGAATAATATAGTGGTGCAATGTTACCAGTTTTACCCTCCCAAAAGCCATGATAGTCATATGTCATCACTGAAATGAAGTCCAAGATGTTGCTCAAAGTTGCCAGGTCATACGCCACGTCGATGACCTCCTTATACCCAGAAATTGATGCGGCTAGTTCCAAACCCGTTGTATCAAATTCTCTGCGTAACTCCTGCATATAAAATAGTAGTACAATAGCACTGTAACCTGTGGCAACTTATATAAGTGAAACAAATTACTAATATTGGGATAGAAATATATATTTTTGCTGATTAATGTACAAAAATCAATGCTAGCTTATCTCAAAACCAGCCCAGAGAGTGAACTCATACCTCTGGCGAATTTGAATTGCTAGTTAAGGGCCTCTAGACTGTAAGTATATAAAATGAATTAAAGTCAAAAAGATAGAAACTACCCCGCATACAACATACAGTTTCTATAGAATGAAGGAAAATAAACATGGAACTAGAACATTAGACGGGAGTTGGAATGAATTGAATAAGTGTTATTTAATTATAATTTCGCCATACAGACCAGCAATATATAATATTGAATATATGAATATATAAGTTGAAATTTTATATCAGGCACCCAAACTGGATCAAATTTTTTTATCTTTCTAAAGTCTTTTATTGTAGTGCGTACAATTTCTGTACTCAGACGACAAACAAACAAACAAATATGGTGTCTAATACACATACATATATCAACAAAATAAAAAGCCAGTTTTGTATTTTCCATTTGGTTTTGAAAATTAAGGCGCATAATTTTTGGAAAACGGTTAAAAATTCAATGTTTCAAAATTTAAGGTAATTTGAATTTAAAAAATGTCAGTAAAATTTTGACACCTTAAATAAATATATAATATTATCAAGTATATATAATAATAATAATAAGTATAACCATTCATGTTACCTGCATCAGTTTATTGAAATTGGGCTTGTCTGATGCGGGACCTTTTTTACAGTTGCTCTGCCAGCATATCGGATAATTCCAGTCGAAATGCAGTCCTTTAAAATTGTATTTTCGGAGAAAAACAGCAACACTTGTAGTAAATTTTTGGCGTGCCGCTTCATCTCTAACGAGCCTTGAATATTTATCGCCGACAGAATCTGACCATCCGCCTAGCGATAGCAACACCTTCGTGTTTTTTAATGCCGTTATCCTCTCGTAGAGTTCTGGAATAAAAACGTTCTACACCAATACCAAAATTTATAGGGAAATATTAAAATTTTCTGAAGTATTGTGTTAAGACTTAAGTAGTCTGAAGATTTTCTTGATACGCGTATAAAACGTATTTTTCTATAGACTTCAAGTTTCGCTATACGCTTAACAAAAATTAAATCTTACTATTGTCGAAATCTGCCCATCTGTCGAATTCCTTTATGGTTAATGTTTCTGGGTCAAGGCTCGCAAATGCGTAAATAACATGGGTACATAATCTTGGATCAACATTTTCAGGAACAAATTTTCCTCCCTCTTTTCTATAAAAAGCCCAGTTTGTTACAAAACACACCACCTGAAAGAGAAAATATGTAATATAAATGTAAAACAATTTAGGAAACCAGGCGATGGTACACTGCTGGATACTCCAACAAAGTAGTTAGACAAAGTATTATTGCTAAAGCATTTAAGAGCGTAAAAGAGGGCAATGAAAATAGTTATTCCTACCTTAGGGGAAGAGTCCTTTTTAACTCCCAAATTTAGATGCTGCGCAGGATTGTTTAGTGGTTTTGCGGAGTCCTGATATACTACAAAAAATTAAAATAAACATTTTTTCAAGCTCTTCAGTTAATGCAATGAAAGCATTTTTTTCTACATCCGTTGTTTGTAGTTTGCCATACTGCTTAGTCAAAATTGTTTGAATGTGCTGCATAAATATACACCATTACTTTTTTCGTTGCTTTTTTTGCTTGCAAGATCTCAGTATTTTTTTCATCAAAGTTCTGTATTTCGAAAAAATTTTAATCGCATTTTATAAAACAGGAAAAATATTGCTTTTTGAAATTGATTCATGGCTTTTGGGACACTCTGTATAAAAAAAGGCCGCCTGTTTGTTGTTTCATTACATATGATTGTTAGTTATTATTAAATATCTAACCTATTATTTATTTATTAAACATCTTTGCAATATTTCAAGGCCTTTCAAACTTGAAGGATTTGAAAAAATTCTTTACGAAAGTTTGCAAGATTTTAATTAAGTTAAATATAAGATTAAGAATTATTTATTACCATTTAGCAAGTGCACATGTGAAACATAAAAACTGTTACATACGATTATTTCCTAAATTGTTATTCAAAGAATCTTAAAATTTGAAATATTGATTTACATTTAAGAATTACACTTTTATTCTGGCCTATTCTGGTAGTGAATGGTAGTTTTGCTTGGAGTAGAATAGCTGGATAACTATCCTAGCAGCTTATATTCGTTCTTCAATAAAAATTTGATATTTATGACCTTGATTAAAGGGAAAAGATACCAAAAATAGACTTGTGTAATATGCTCAACGTCCGTTTTCACGGCATCAAAACTAACCTGTATTAAAAGCAGTGTAATAAGTAACAATACTAATAATTTTACATTAATGGGAAGAGTCCCTTCAAGCCATATGTACAATTTAGTACTTAATAAATACTTACTGAAATTAGATGGAAATTTGTGGGAAACATGAAGAAAATTTTGAAGATATTCATTTCCCGGAGGCGGTCTTCTCTCAACAGCATCTCGCAGAGGTACACGATGGGACAGATCGTTTCTAAAAGAGAGTGGACATTTTTGATTTAAGCTAAGATTGTACATATATATGAGGCACAGTTGATGTCATATTGGCAATATCTGACGGACGGACCAGTGTAATTTTAATATACGCAGACGTTTTACAACCAGTTCGTGAAAGGTTCAGAATATTTCACTGCCATTGTTTTGCTGCTTCTTATTTGTTGTCAGCAATATTAACTGTGCTGTGATACAGTTAGCTGCAAATAGTTGATCTAAAACTCCAACCAGTTTTCTAAAAGCCTGGTCGGCTCGAAGCTGCATGGGTGCAGATGGAATCGGGCCACTTTTATCGGGTACCAGGAGTTGTGATATTCCTGAATTGGCATTTTTTTTTAATTCTTTCACCACAGTTCGAAAATTTTCTATGCATTATACCGCATACGAGGAGAGATTTTCGTCACATATGTGAAATCCTATTTGATTGCCTATCAGGAGACTAGAACACTTAAGTCAAAATTTTGCCAAAAGTTCAGTGTCAGTGTTCACATCAATTAGTTTAAAAAACATTTCAAGGCCCTGCCTATATCTATGATACAGGAACTTATGAAGCAACTATGAAAAAACTATTGAGAAGGTCTATTAGACATGAGCAAGCGCGAGATTTAATTTTTTTATAACCAGTGACCTTGCAGCATCATCAATAATTGCAGCATCATCAATAATTGGTTCATTCACTAATTATTCAGTATTAACCTTCTAAAATCAATTGGGACTAAGTCAAAAATCACTATTGGTCAAATTCCCAAGAGTATTTTGTAAACAATCTAATAAAACAAAACGTAGTTTAAGGCGTAATGTCAAACTACTAAACTATTAAGATTTCTTCCATGACCTCCGGAGATCGTCAGGCTCATTAAACACGAGCGGAGCAATTCATATGCTTCCGGTACTTTAATCACGGGTCAGAAGCTATCGGATGTTTTCGGTAGATATTTAAAAAACTAATGGTATTTTATTTTTATTTATTTATTATTTTTATTTAGTTGTGATAGTTCTGCATGATTTCTGAATCCACCACAAAACGACTAATAAAAGGCTATAGGGAAACGTGAACCAAATCTAGTTTATTTCTTGATTAGAACCTTCATTAATTTTTTCGAAATAAAAACTTACCTATCAGGTCTACTCTCGACCGCTGTTCGTAAAGGAAGGCTTTTACTTCCATACTCTTCTAAGAACATATGGGGCAAGTTTCTGCTGAAACCCGCTGGAAGTGCAGGAGCCGACGAACATATTAAATGAACAATGAATAACCATAGCTGTAAAATAAATTTTGCTTAATACACAAATTTTATTAACAATCACTTTGGAGTTAATGCTTTCTTCTTCATACCATACTTAACTCCGCTATTTATTTATAAGTAAGGATTGTGTTGTATAAATTTGTTTATTTTTATACTCTCAAAAAATTATATAAATAAAATCGACTTTACAGATTGCCAAAAAATGTTACAAGGGTAATCAGTTAGACAGGGAATCCAGTTTTGCAAGTTTTGGACTCTGTACAGCTATACAGAACATCTCATCAGGGCATCGCTATTTTTTAAAATGAAACTGCATTTAAATTCAAAGTTAGTGTAGTCCGTCTTCGAAGTTAAAAACTTATTAATTTAACGTATTAATTTAAATTTTAGGGCTAAGAAAATTTTGACCTAATACTAGAAAGCAGTAAGACGTTTTTGCACATTGCACATCCTAGCGATCTACGGCAAGCATTTCACAATTAATTAAATTCTTTAATCTTTGCACCTAAATAAAATTATATGTTCGTAGTCCTATAATAAATACAATAACTAAGAATTTTTTACAAGGATTGACGTCGGTTTTAACAATACTATTCTAGCACATACATGTTTCCAATACCTATAATATGCTACCGCAACCATATCCTAAATTATTCCAGAATGTTTGTGGAGTAATTAGAGTTGAAGAAATATTCAGTGCGCCCTTTGTAAAATAATTCTTTACTCCTCAAACTTGGTATATATTTAATAGGGAAATCTACCAGCTGCTCAACATTTTCTAGCCAAAACGAGTTTCGTGTTTTTAGAAGTTGCCCCATAACTAAAATATGAAATTAATGTAATTTGATATCAAAATTTCGGGAACAGGTAGTATAGAAAATTCGAAAACAGTAACTATCCCAGTGAAAAATCTCTTTATGAAAAACAATGAAATTGAACATACTGTAAATCAGGCACGTTATTCGCTACAATGGATATTGGGCGCTACAAAACCAAACAATAGGAACACAAATATAGCTAAATCGAACAATGGTTGCAAAGCTATATTTATTTATGAGAGATTCGTTGTCAATATCTTGAGAGTGGTGACTGTATTGACTTTAGGCAGATCAGTTAAACGATTTCCGTGGTACTTAGAACAAATAGTCAGTCTGTGGTTTGTAAAATAACATATAAATTACACTCGATCGGAAATTTATATCGGGAGGATAAGAAAATTAAATTACTTAATAACTTTACAACCCGCGTCCGCTGGATTATGTTCAGTTAATAAATACTGATTTTGTAGCATGTTACACGGCCTTCAGACTAAAATAATGGATTCTAAAGAACTGATATTGCCGACGTTTCAAGTCTATATAAGCAATACCAGTAACGTTGGTAGATAATCACCGGAATCAACCTGCAGTTCTTTTTTTTGACTATGAACTTTGCGGAATAAGCGCAGATATAGGAACAGTTACAGTGATAGTAACACCTGTTGCATAAGAGGAGATTGCAATACATTTTCGAAAAATCCGTGGGATCCGCAATCATGAATTGTAAATCGCGTTTTTTGACAAATAATCTTACATCAAGGATAACTAAAATGAACATAGTTTTAAAGTTAGGATAAATACGTTTCGTTTTAGTAGATTAGTTTTTGCTCTACCATTTTGCGAAAATGAATGTCAATAACTTCAGAATAACTGAACCCGTTTTATTATTCTCTTGGTCTGCTTAGTTATAAGTTTGTTCACCAACAGTCTTTATGACAACGAAATAGTGTCCTTTTTAATTGGCCACAAAAACAATGTAGCTCTGCTACAAAATTTATCAGCAAATGGCAAAACTGATGTTAAAAAGTTATTATCAAACGCAGACAAGACGTATTGATCCTGCTGCTTAGTCCAACCAGAGGCTAATCATTTTGGGTTCAATCAACGGAATAAATTTGCCAAAGATCAGCATGTGCATTGCCCTTAGTACAATATAATCAGAAAATAAGAAATTGGGTTGAGGTGAAATGAAATTGTTGATTTTATACCCAAGTTTTCGTTACCCAACCCCTATTGTTACCTTTATGCATAGTTACAACCCTTAAATTTTTTTTTAGAACTGAAAATCTATTTTATTTAAAATTGACTAACTAACACTAAAATGACTAAAACTAATCAAAACTTAAGTGGGTAAATACACAAATATTGTTTTCGTTTCTGATGCTTAACTAAAGTAGCGATATTTTTGGGGCACGTGAAAATTGCTTTCGGGCACTTGCACATTAAGCATCAATCACATTAATGCTACTCCGGTTTCAAATATCTGGAATCTTACACACCAAAATTAAATTTGATGAAGGATTTCCCATGAAATTGAAATACGAAACACACACTTGCTGCTTTCTCACTCTCACTGCCTCTAACGTAGGGACTGTTTTCTTTTATATAAACTGCAAGTTGCTTATTTTATATTTTATTTATAGTATTACTTTACTTTTTAACATTCGTACTATTCACATAAAGTTTCCGAAATTTTATATTCCAATCACGTTTTCGTTTTGGGGGCCAGTAATTATTATTTCGCCTGTATAATTCAGGTCAATGTGTCTAGTGCAATACGTTATTGAATTTGTTTTTCGGACATTAATTAATTTGTACTTACCGAAGCGTATTTTTCCATAATTTAACAATCGAAATTCTTGGCGGTTAACTTCATAAGGCCAAACTTTACTTAGTAGAACCGCTATTATATTGCCTGAAACGAAATAAAAAAACTCAAATTTAAGAGTTCCTAAAAAGAACCCCAATAAACGAGTATCTTCTGGTTTTGACTAGAACTATTTCTATAAGATTATTAAGAAAAGCAACTTTGCTTTTGACGATAAAATTATAAAAACATAATTTGCTATAGAAACACAAATTCATAAAAATATTAATTAACCGCAATAAGCGAATCTGAAGAGTAGACTCCAATTTTGAATTTTTGGGGTGCGTTGATGAAACTAGGTTAAATTTTTCAATATAGAGGAAATTTGAAAAAACGCACTTCTTAGACACGGAAACATTTTTGACATAGAATTCATTGGAGTAGTTGGAGTTTCTTTAGAACCGTTTTTATTATTCAATTTAATTCAATAACTTTAAATTATTTAGTGCATTTTCGATGCAAAAAGATTAGATAGAAGACACACAGAAGATAGAAAGAAAAGAAGATGAATATTAGATCTACTGACTTTTAGTAAGTAGAATATATGTATCTATCTGGGTTTATTTGGAATGTACGCATATAAGTAATAACGTGTTCTATTTTCAAAAGACTCATGGAACATTTAAATTTGTTTAGGAGTTACTTGACAACATCAGATACTTCGCGTTTCATATTCAAGATATTTATTGTTAAATAAATTACCATAAAGAACAATCAATAAAATAGTATAATTTTAAGCACTAAATATAGGTGGGTGCCTGTTAGTTAAGAACTGAGTAGTATGCAATGCTTTCTGTGAATAAAGATTGAGAAAACTTAATTCTACTGATTTATCATTTGTAGTCACAATGCTTGCTTGCGTGCAGACCTCAGGTAAGATTTGACTCTTCACTTGAATATTCCCTAGGAATTATCGTTATTAATCGCGAACAACACCCGGAAGACTGCTTTCTCGTGTTACTTTTTCGGAAAATATAGATTCGATAATATCATGAACTTAGTAGAAGTTAGTGCTCGTGGAATGTAGCGGTTGCTACTCGTAAAGATTGAGCCGAACACACATACGTCATAAGGTCTCATCAGGTGCATCTAAGTCATTTTTTTTAAGTCATTATTTCAATAAATCTTCAACAAAATGTTCGTTTCAATTTGTAATTTCCGTACTATGCAGGTTTTTCGCTTGGGGGTTCGTAGGAAAGTTAAACTAGAAAAAGAAAATTTGGGAATCTGATAGATTTTAAGAAAGTTTATTTGTAGTAGCGTCTTAACAGAAATAAAATAAACCAACTTTCAAAAAATGTAAAACATAAAATTTTGTATTTATTATATTACAGCTAAAAAAGTGTTTTTTTTTTTGTTTCCGAAAATCAATTTTGTATGAGCTTTTGCGCTTTCCTGAATTTCAAAATATATTTACTGATTTTCACCCGACCTTCAGAAATTCTGTTTCATTAATAAGATGGTCAGTAACTGAAGCGGTAAAAAGGGGGTTGTCGAAGGCGTCGCGACGCGTCTTACCAAATTCTGGTATATTTTGCGACAAAGTGTTATTTTGTTAAAAGTACTTACAGGAATACTCCGTCTGGACAAACTTTGAATATAAATCAAAATTCCGACTAACTAGGCGTATATCGCGAGCGGACAGTAGTCGACGACGATATCGGTTACGCGAAACAAAATGCGTGAAGATGGCCAAGGTGTGACTCTTATACCAATCAAACCTGAATCCAAGTTGACATGTTGCTGGTCCCGACATATATAAGCTAAACATGCAAACCGGTCCCAAAATATAATTCGGTGGTTGGTTCTGATTAAAGTTTTGCGATCTTATGCACCAGAAATTTGTCAAATACCAATGAATTACCTTGAACCTGGGCAATCAAGTTCAAAGCTAATTATCATTCTTTCTTGCATTACGAGTGTATTGAACCCTATCACTTATTGTTTATTAAATGTGTAGGAAGTCGGTATGCGAGAAGCGAGAAGGCGTTTAGTAAAAAATATAGCGATCTTAGATATTGCAAAAAATTTTAATCTATTAAATTTTCTATTTATTTGAGTTTCGATGCACTATAATACCTAACGTGTTCTTAGTTGCAGTAGTAGCAAAAAGCTGTTTGAAAAAGGCTCGCTGACTTGGAATGAACCGATACAAATGACACTATATAGTCAATATTGACTTAGATTCGAGGTTCCGTTATGTTTCGCCTGTGGCGCAAATTATTTGGCTCTGACGTGGGTAGTTTGTTAAACGATTTCGGATATATTATATATTTAGGAAAGATAAGAACATTTTATGGGTTTGCTACGTCCCAAAAGATGAGACACTTAGGCCCATTACAAAGCTTGTTTTTAAGAAATCTGTATTTCTTTAAAAAATCCTGTAACAATGTGGAGTTTAAAGTCGATTTAATCCTTGATCATTATATCATTATTATTAATTTTGAAAATCGACAACTCTAAGGTGTTTCTGTCCATTGGAGGAAAAGGAATATCATTCACACAGTTACACTAAAGATTAGCAAGATTGCTCTACTTTGTTAGTTCCAGTTTAGTTACGTGCTGAGCTGCAGTACTATAGATAAAAATTAATTTTTTTTCTACTCTCTACTTTAAAATACTCCCATCAAGAGTGTCGGCTTCGTTAAACACTATCGCGAGTCACCGACCTTTCTGGAACTTGAGTCGCGGATTTAAGAGTGCTAAGATGGTAAATTCTAGCCACGGATGGTATTGTGACATTTGTCAGTTGTGATGGTCGCATCACACATCACTCATTTGTTTTTTTTTGCAAAAGGGGACCCAAAAATTAATTGTCGCAAAAAAAGTATAGTATGCAACATATTAATAAACTTCAAATACCAGCTCCATTGAGCTCCGCTCGTACCAAATCAAACCAGCAACTAAAGTGTCGTAAAGTGCATAATAGACCATTAAAGATATTATATGGTATGCTGTTAGCGACAATGGCAACAAATATTGTTCACTTGACAAAATAAAATAACAATGTGACACCAAGGCTTTGATGATTGGTGTGGACTTGAATAGTTTCACCTTCGATAACAAATACGCTACACCAAAAATCATTGTTTTTTGCATCCCTGACACAGCAGAGACAGCACAGCACACTTTGATACGTCGTTAATGTTGCAGAAGTTTGATGATAATAAATTATCATACCCCCCCCCCCCCCCTCACGACAGCAACCGTCTGGGCCTAATAGGAAACAGTCTATGCGTGTAAACGGTATTACTTGTTATGTTACACCCAAGAAAGTGAAATATAGATGTAGTACTTATTTCTGATTAACAGCAGTATTTAATATTAAAAAAATATATATATGATGTTTTAAAATGTCTTCATTTCTCCCACATATTCGGAGCACTTAACCTAACTAGCAGGTAGTATAAAGGTCAACACTTATGTCGTAGTTTCTGCAGTATGGCCATTATATCCTTGTTATTGGCCTTGCGCTATCGACAACTAAAGGGCGTTTCTCTTTATTCTAGAAAAGGGAATGTAATCCACACAGTTACACAAAAGATAAGCAAGATTTCTATACTTTTTGGTTACCCTGTTTACAGGCGCAGCTGAAGTACAATTATATATTTATGATTATAATATATATAGTTATAAATCAAATGTTTTTCACTCTGATTAATAGTGTCATTTTAAGACGTCAGCTTTTTTAAACACTGTCGCGAGTTACTTCGGACCTTTCCGTCGCTTGAGTCATAGATCTAGGAGATCTAGGATGTTTTCGGTAGAATTTAGCGACGAATGACATTTTGAAGTTTCTCAGTTGTGATGGTCGCGTCACACGTCACATAGTGAATGTATCCGTACTGTTTTGCAAAAGAGTACCCAAAAACTAATGGTCATAAAAAACAATATAGTATTCACCACGTTGATAAACGTCAGGCTTATTCATCAAAAAATAACATTTGTCAAAAGACAAATACAAAAATATTTATTGAAAAATTCAAAAACTGTTAGGTTTAGCTAGAGCATAATGATACGCAAAATATATTTAAAATTCCAAATATGATGGAACATAGAGAGGAACGCATAAAAAACACAACCTTTGCTTTATGGGACACTGTGTAATCATGAAAATTATTTTAGGTTTTTCCAAAGCTACTGTGGTAGGTATGATACTTATATTTTTATCGAGAAATGGTACGCCACAGTTTTTTTTTCAAAAATAAATTAAATTTAAAAAATTGAGATTCAGACTTAAGACTTAAAAGCATTTATGTGCATATTGTTAGGCGCTTATGATTTTAAAAATGATCCAGAAAGTCAATTCAAGCACGCAACATATCAAATTTCAATCCAAAAATCGTCATTAATTGCTTTTTTTTGGCTGGAACCCCTTCATCGGACTACACAAATTGTTATTAACAACTTAAATTAAAAATGCAATTTATTTTTGAAAAATATAATAAAAATATTCATAGTTATGCCTACACGGCCGCCACCGGTTAATAGCAAATTTCTAAAAAAAGTTCATTGTGATCACCTGCCAAATGTCAACAAAATATTTAAACCATAAAAATGAGGAAACGCCGTTTTTTTTTAATTTCAACAAACTGTTTATAAAAAAGGGCGAATGCGGATTTAAATTGATATAAACGTTTTTTCCGAGAAATCCAAGAAATCACGCCGTTAAGCATTAGCATCTTATATGAAATATCATGTATTATTAAATATGGGGACTATTGAAAGAAGCTGGCGCTTAATATTAGTCCTTTAAGGAAAAGATCGCATTACTGAGAGAAGATTTTTGCAACCGCAGCCATAACATTATTTACATAGGCTCCAGCGGCTGTAGCAGAAAAATGTCCAATTGTGGCTTTGAACCTCCCGATCGTCGCAATCTATATCTATAAATAAATTGTCTATAAGAAGTGCACTTAATTGATTAATTTATACATAGAAATATACTAGAAATCTATTGTACTATTTAAAAGTTAAATGCCAGATCACAATCTTGGATTTTCTGGACTAATGCTAAAATATAATTAAGAAAACATTATAAATAGAACCATAACTAATTATCTTTATATTTTAAATATCTGCTTTAAATGAAAGTAGAAAAGTTTATAAAAAGAATTCGACATTGTTTTGCATTTGTTATGCAAAATTTGGCAGTGTTATTTGCAATAATAATAAGTAGCTCCTTTAGCCATTGATATAATTACTTGTTGGAGTTACATGTAAAGCTAGACTGCCAGGATAGTTGGGGCTAATAGATCTAGGGTATTTCTTTATAAAAAGGTTAGGTTTGTAGCGGGCTCATGCAATCATAAAAATGTCCAGTATATTTTTGCCATATCACTTCGTTTTAGCGACACAGATAACAACAAAAAATTACATTAAAAAAAAAACGATCGTTACGTTTCAAAATACAATCTGGCATAATACGGAACTGTTTCGTCGCATGGGAAAGAAAAGTCGCGGGTGTAAGATAGAAGATATGGAAGTCTAGAAAGGTTAGACAACGAAACAAAAATAATCCCCCTTATGCTTAGATGCGTAAAATAAAAATAAGTATTCTATTTAGTGACTATTACTTTGCAAATTGGCTGCAAAATTTAACGCAAGAAACGGCAATATTAAGTTCAGTTTTTTCCAAACTATATCTCTGTTATTTTAGCAATGTAAAGGCGGCTTTACGTTGCACACCACCGGCAAGCCAGAATTTATTCCTAGAATCGTATTTAGTAAAGCCGGATAAAGGCACTACATTTTGCCGGAAGGCGCCCTTGTCGTCAAGTGCAGTAATTACCCCGTGTTCTGTGGAAACAACCTCATTCTATGGGGACTCAATACGAAAACTCACGAAATAAAGGTTATGTCTAAAAATTTGTGGAGAAGAATGAGATGATGATCTTCAACGATTTTCTATTTATTGTGCCCTTTATGCTAGCATATAGTAAAGCAGAATGGAACACCAAAGATTTTATGAAAAGGGAACATTCATTAATGAAACCCTATTATGGTGCATTTTTTTCAATAAAAATGTTTCCAAAGTTTACTGTAATATATTTTAGGTTCTGGTATTGATATTCCCTTTTGGAAGTTTTTAGGAAATGTAATTATTACGCCAAATTATATACGATTAACTCCAGACCTACAAAGTAAACGAGGAGCAATTTGGAATTCTGTGGTAGACAAATCTTTCTATATTTTTCTTTACAATTTTCTGATCAAAAAATGTTTCTACATTGTAGTTTGTTGCAATAAATAACATTAGTTTATTTGTAATTTTAGCCTGTATCTGCTTTTAATTGGGAAATACAGATACAGTTCAGTGTTCATGGTAAAGGAAAAGATTTATTTGGAGATGGGTTTGCATTTTGGTATACCAAGGATCGGTTAATTGAAGGTCCCGTTTTTGGAAGCAAAGATAATTTTACAGGTCTAGCAATAATTGCTGACACCTATTCGAATCACAATGGTCCTCATAATGTAAGTAAAGTTCATAAATATTAATAAGCAACATTAACAACATAATAATAACATAATAGTAGCTTGATAAAACTTGGTGACCCTGTCTGCAGTCCAGAGATGGTTAGCACTGTTGTGCTTAGCAATGTATTTTATCATACAAATAATTGTAACAACTGTATACCGGCGCCAATGCAAATAAAAGACACCATGTAAATAAAACGTCATTTTGGATCTATTTGATGTTATAATTATAAATTTGAAACTTAAAACAATATTTCAATAAAAAATCAAAGAGGATGTGTTTTTAGGAATAGGGGTTTTAGATACAACACTGACTAATTAGCCTAAAAATACCATAAGTAATGATACCTAGATTTCATATTTATTCTTTAATTTTAAGTATTTGTTGCTTTCTGCAAAATATTTAATTCATCAAAATTATATTAGAATTAGGTTAGGAAATGTTTGTAGACTACTGATGATTCATGTAAAAAATATATTTCTGGTAATTATTTCTTGAATGAATTTGTTCATTAACTTATATATAAAAAATAGCTGTTATAAGAGCCAAGCTAGTGAAGTATCTTAACATAATCTACAATCAGTTTTTTTTAACTGCTTCAATTTTATACTTTTAGCATCAACATCCATATATTTCTGCTATGGTAAACGATGGCAGCTGGCAATATGATCATGATCGTGATGGTACACACACGCAAATAGCTGGATGTGAAGCAAAATTTAGAAATCTAAAACATGATACATACCTTGCTATAAGATATGAAAATGATGTTTTAACAGGTATATGCACGCTACAGCATACATTTATCTGTGTTGTTAATTAAAATTGCATTATTTTTATTTATGGTAAGAATGTCTTATTAAAAGTAATCTCTTACAAAACAGTTAGGGATTAATTTAAAAAATATTATTTGTGAGAAAGAATGAAAGTAAGAATGCACACATTTTTATTTGAGAGGGAATGCGCATACACTAATCATTTCAAAACCCGCTTTCACACAATAAGCTTTTCGATGTTTGTAATAAAAATGCCTTCATTACTAAGTTTCTATAATCTAGAAACAGGACTCGCCAGATATATTTTTGTTTCAATTCTGAAGCTGGTAAATTATCAAGGTCTGATTTTTTTTATTGATTGTATATTTATTTATTTTTGTGTGTATGTATTTCCTGCAATAGACCAAGAACTATTTAGGAGGAATATAAGATAAAAATAAATTATCTAAAATTAAATTTTTATTCTTGGTAATCTTCAAGTCTTTTAATTATTGCTTTTCTATAGAGTCAATCAAGGTGTGCTGACGATTCATCTTCGCCACTTTCTCATGATGTAGACGAATCAATTAACAGATTCATTATTTTTTATAAATTCAATCTTTTTTGACAATTAATATCTTTTTAGTTTCTACGGATATTGAAAATAAGAAAGCTTGGAAAGAATGTTTCAAAGTAGTAAAGGTACTGTTGCCTACAGATTACTATATTGGATTTTCAGCCGCCACTGGAGATTTATCAGATAATCATGATATTATATCAGTCAGATTCTTTGAGTTAGATCTTCCAGAAAATGTAAGTATTTTTCTGTTTCTTGTCTCACATATAGTTTAAATTATCTGTTACTTTTTTTTAGGTTCAGGCCAATAAAGACAAAAGTAATATAATTCCTTCTGCAGCTTTTTTTGAACCTCCACGGGAACACGTAGATGACCCAAAACCCAGTACTCTGTCTGGGATAAAACTGTTTTTGTTAATGTTGGTTGTTAGTTTGGTATTAGTAGCTTCTGTTGTTTTAGGCATCATTTTTTATCAAAAACAACAGGAAAAGGGAAGAAAAAGATTATATTAATTAATCAAGCTCCTTTAAATGTATATTGAGTGATGTTTTGTGTACAAATCATTTGATAAAAATTATTGGCCTTCCTTTAATTTTTAAATACCAAAATAAATAATTAAATATAGATTTGGGTAAGTTGATGTTTATTTGTTTGGTGATTTGTTATTCGTGCCCTGAAACACAGGATGTTGTGACTACAGTATATGGTTTTTGACAGTTTTAATTTGGGCTAAAGTAAGTTTTTTAATTAGTTTTATTATACTTAACATTTAAATATTTACGAAGTTTCTCTCTCCAGAAATTATAGGGTAGTAAACTTATGGAAAAGGTTAGAGTGACTTATCTTTTATCTATAGACCAGAGTATCATTTTAAAATAATGAAGTTAATAACCAATTATTTAATACACTTTTGAACAGAAATAGATTGCGCATACAAAATAATTTTATTTTAATATCTTTTTCTAAATTAAGCTATGCCATGATAAAGCATATTAACTATACACTTGTAAATTTCACATGGTTTTATAAACTGTTTCTAGTGCTGCTGATATTAACTTCATCTCCTCTTCTATTGTTCTAGTCCAGTTTTCAACATCACCCAGTCCTTTTAAGCCATTATTAAAGGATTCAACCAAGCACAACCACTGTTGGGTCTGTTTTGCAAAAGTGGATGAACTGGAATGTAGGGTTTTTGATTCAATATCAAGTTTCTTTTGATTTAAATATGCCTGCGCCACCCTAAAACAAAAACACTTATTGAATAGATATATAGATATATATAAACAACAAAATACCAAATTCAATTTTCATATTAAAAAGTTATGATAAACTTACCCAACATTTAGATGATCTACCAGAGCCTGTGTTAAGTCACTGGCTGTCGCACATGCTTCTTTCCACTTTGTTTCTGAAAATATCTACATATAAGTAGGTGTTCTAATCAAATCAACCGATATTATTATGAAGGTATCACAAATTGTGATACCATAAGCAAAAGAAACATTCATTTCCCATTTATCACTAAATAAAATTCGCTGTACCTTATATTTCCTGTCTAGTTTGTTGTTGTGTTTTCTGGAAATATCTACATATAAATAGGTGTTCTAATCAAATTAACCCATATTATTATGAAGGTATCACAACTTGTGATACCATAAGCAAAATATAAATAACCTTTGGGATCAAAGAAACATTCATTTCCCATTTATCACTAAATAAAATTCGCTGTACCTTGTATTTCCTTTTTAGTTGTTTGTTTGTTGTGTTCTTTAACAAGCGAAGACAACATTTTCATAAGTTATATTGCTAGGATTCAAATATCACAAAATACAAAAACAAACTATAGTCATGGAAAAATTATATTAAATATCATAGAACAATTACTCGTCTTCTTTATTGGAGTATACCAACTAATGCTGGGCAACTTGCTACTAACATTTGTCCATTTGATTACTTGATTTGATTGATTGATTTTCCTTCATACTCTCAATTTTTGACGGCGGTACAGATCGAACTTCTAGACGTTCTTTAATGCCATATTTACGCGATGTCCAGATATAATAAGAGTCTTAAGATTCTTCATTCGAGAGATCAAGTTATATATGGCCAGTTCGCTTTACAGCTTTCTCGTGCCAATTTGTAAAACCACGTCTTGCAAAAAATCTGCGGGAGTCTTTTGTTTTTTGGGGTTAGTTTTCCTTTTATATTTAATGACTAATCTAATTGTTTACTATAAACAATAATAATAATATATGTGTTTATTAAGTTTTTTGGCCATCCTAAAAATCATTTTACAGGCATTACATTATAACTATTTGCAATTGTCTCAGTTGTTACTGCCATGAAAATGCCGCATCCCCCAATAGCGGTCAAGTTTGTTATGCAAAGCCGCAATGTTATTGGTCAAAGATCTCGCAAAATTGGCATGCTCAATAGACCTTCTCACCAGAAAACTAAATGTGTTTGGACCCTATAGCTACTAGAGATATAGAGGCCCCGCCCATGCTGATAATACTGGAACTTATGAAGCAACTACGAAAAAAATTTTGAGGTGGTCCATTATACATGCACATGTGCGAGATTTTAAGTCCGTTTTTAACCATTGAACTGGCAGCAATAAGTGTAGATGCGGCATTTTTACGACGGTATTTTCTCAAAATACCTAGGCCTAGATCGCGCATGGGCGAGATTTTAAATCTCTTTTCTATTCCCGTCTGTAAAATACCCAATTAGCGTCACTTTACGAGACCCACTTTACCACGTCAGTTTGGTTTCCCACGAATCCAAGCCACTTCGGACATTTCCGGGATTTTACCGCACGGGTTTTTGACGTTTGTCAGTCAGTGAGTGTATTCGTGTTGTTTTGCGAAAATGTACGGAAAAACTAACGGTCGTAGAAAAAGTATAGTATGAACACGTTCGGTAAACTTTTTAACTCACTCATTTATTAAAAACTCGCTCTGCTCGTGTCAAATAAACTCGTGAGTTAAATGCCGTTTACCGCACTTGTTGCATAATATACTAATTCTAGCCAATCACTTTGCTGCATTCCACAACCAACATGGCTGTTGACAGGTCGTCGATAAGTTCGAATGCGGCATGTTTAAGGTAGTACTGTCTCAAAATACGGCTGGCTAGATCTCGTTAAATGTTCTGGGAAAACGAGTTAAGTGTATGGAAATCGTTTTTTAGAAATAAAATGGTGCAAAGTGCAGATTTGCGGGTGAAATGTAGAGGCATGCGCGGAAAATCTCTTTGAAAACATCAATGCCGCCTGCGATGCATCAATTTTTACCATAGTAGTTTTACTAGATTATCTAATAGCTATATGGTTGACACAAGTTTTAATAAAAAGCAAATATGTTTTGTTATAATTCCTCATTTTATATTTTAAAATATCATCACAAATTATGTATATGATCAAATAGGAAGTGTTTTTTTGCAAACCATTTTTAACAAAATGTGAAAGTTGTCAAATTCTTAAAGGGGTCATAACACCAAATATCCCAGGAACATTGTGGCGCTGCAGTAAGCCTTATTAGGCGCTGCGTTGGTGCAACCAATAATTAATTATTATACAATCAATTAAGTAACAATTTTCAAATTAAAATAATTTATTTTTATTTACATTAGAATTTATCCTGAAATAAAAATAAGTTGTTAGTTGCTGCCACTGCGATTATATTTTCCATTGGATGCCAGGCAGTATGTAAAATTTTCTTATTAAAATCTAAACAGTCCACACTGATTTCATCTTTTTTTCGCTTGCCTTGTGAACAGACCTTTCTAGGTCTTAATATTGTTCTAGGTTTGGCTACATCTCTTGAAGCTTCTAAAGTCACTTCACGTTTCATTGTCCGATCAAATATTCTAAAGAAGTTATTGTAGGAACCTGTCATGATTGCAGTATCATTTCCATTCCAACAACATTCAAACTTATCAAATATGCAGTCATTTTCATATAGGGAACAAAGTTTCGCTCTCAGATATTCATGTATCTGAAGTAAAAAAACACTATTAGCACAGTACATACAACATTGTTATTTAAAAAGTGAAACATTACGATAAAGATCAATTAGAAGACATAGTCCAAAAAATCAGTTGATGAAACAATGAATATGAAATCAAATAGAGACAGATTAACCTACAATTTATGACAGAGGATGAAATAAGAATTAGAAGCTTTTTTTCAAAATGTGGGTGATTTAAAGAAACCTGTGGAAGTAAAAAAACACTATTAGCACAGTACATACAACATTGTTATTTAAAAAGTGAAACATTACAATAAAGATCAATTAGAAGACATAGTCCAAAAAATCAGTTGATGAAACAATGAATATGAAATCAAATAGACAGATTAACCTACAATTTATGACAGAGGATGAAATAAGAATTAGAAGCTTTTTTTCAAAATGTGGGTGATTTAAAGAAACCTGTGGAACTGTGTATTAAATATGGTACCAAGTTTACACTATGCTATATGTTCACTATTTTTATTTGTTAGATCAGTGTTTTAGAGTTGCTGTATTAGGAAGTATTACATTTACTGTTATTAATAAGTGGAGTGAGTTGCATAAAATAACATCTTACAGGATAGATTTCAACAGGCTTAGCTTCCATGTGAAGATCCCAGACCTTTACTGAAAGATAATCTCTAGAAACTAGATATCTTCCATTGTTTGCCAGTTTAACATCACTAATGCTAGAAATAATCTCCGAAAAGAAACTTCTATTTGTTGGATCCTCAGGTTCCTCAAATAATTTTGCATGTCTATCACAAAGCGCAGCTGCCCTCATATCACATAACCTAAAAGGGTTCAAATATTATAAAAAGTACTTTGCAGTATTTCACATGTGATATGACTTTAAGAATATTGTTTTTCATTAAGCTGGTTGTCTGAAAATTTCATTTACTAAATGTAATTAAAATAAATGCAAAAGAACATATGTACATAGTGGTCTTAATTAAATAAGAAACCCCATATACTTGCTATATAAAATACATAGAGGCTTTGCATATCCTTTAGGTTCATTCAATATGCGCATGTGCGAGTTATTTCAAAATACATTATCAACTGTTATAAGAATTGCAATTTCAAAGCCCAATCAATACGACCTCGCAACCAACATGGACGCCGATATTTCATCAATTCAACAGTTTTCAGTTTAGATTTGGCACTTTTTAAATTTTCAAGAAAAAAACGAGTTAAGTGTGTGGACAAATTTAGGGGCATGCGCGAAAGTTTCGGTACCAAAATGTCACGGCCGCTTTTGTTGATAACCGAGATACAGAGCGTTTTTTAATTTTCGGTCCTTACGAAAATTGCCAATAAGTTATTAATTTTATTAATTAATATTACATATATAATATTATCACATTAATTCAGTATAATTTTTTCTATAATTTAACTATCTTATAGCAATCAATTGTTGTCCAAGGTTTTAAAAAAATGCCACATTCAGACTTTTCCAAACTGCAGTGGTTGTTGGTATATACTATTTTCATGACAAATACCAAAAACCATATATGTTTGAAAAAGGCTCAACACGAGAATGATTGCCATATGAAATAAAAAATATATATATTCAAGCAAGCAGCAAGAGTATGCCCAGCATTTAAGTAACAAAAAAGTCTTTAAATATAAATAAAAAATCGAACCATGTCATCTGGAATACTTGTAGGTTTTTCCTATTAAAACAAACCGAGTGCAAAAACTAAAATTCTGTTGTAGTTTTAAAAAAAGCATAGTATACAACAAGCTTTGTAAAATTCTTTAGGAACTGGTTTATTAAATACACGTTGCATTTATACCTAAATAAACTTGGAAATAAAGCATAGTTTATAAAATGTATTGCATAACGTTCTATTGCAATTACATCTTTAATGATATGTTAGAAAAATGCTGCTAAAGATGAGAACAAGTAATATTTATGTAGATTGCGGAACTTAATTTTAAATTTTAAGAAACCCTTCCAAAATGTCATTTTGTGGCTGTTGTAGTCATTGTGGTATTCATTTACTAACTGGCTCTTCTAATGATTTCTACAAATTTTCAACAGAAAGCGCCCATCGAACGGTAGAAGTGAAAAAGTTCATCCGTTAAGCCAAGACAATGTTTTACGTCCTCAAGTTCGATGCAACCCCTTCCAAGAGATAGTTACCAAAATTAAGGGTAGGTAGAAGAGGATAGTGATGCTTTTCCTCTTGTTTTTTATTTCAGTAAAAGTTAGCCACTCATGTGAATAGAGAACTTCTGATATATGTATTATATAAATGGAATTATTGCACAAACTAAGACACCAACCTTATTGTTCCCTTGCTACTGCTATAGACAAACAAATTACATTCCACTGGATGAAATTCGGCAGCTGTGATAACTTCTGTAAGTTCCTCCATATTGGTTGGTTTGATGTCAACAATATTGAAACTTTGATCAGTTATTTCTAAATGCCATAGGTTAATTCTAAGGTCATCAGCAGACAGAAATGTTTCTTGATCAGAATTAACTGATATGGAATTTATATGGTAAGTATGGGCATTCGCAAATATTCTTCTTGGAGATGCTTCAACCATTAATTCCATTGGCTTAATAACTGGCACTCGTAACGAATTAATAGCTGTTGGATTAACTAATGATCCTGGAAATGGGTAAAAGGTGTAATAAAAAAAATTGTCATAAAATATATATTAAAAGGATATATTTCATATAATACAAATAAATTGAAAATAAATGTTTTTTTTTTTAATACAGCAATGTGAAACAAAACAGGTTTTTTTTTCATTATCACATTAAATGGAAAAATGTGTATTTTGTTGTTTAATTGGATTATTCAGATTAAAGTAAGGCACAAAATCATTTTATGCCAGGAAAGGAAAATCAACATCAACAACAAATACAATATTTTAACTCAAAAACTTTGGGTGACCACGCACCCTCACCAAACAATTTCTTGAAATTGAAATGAAGCCCAGACACCCTATTTTGATATATTTAGCAGTTGCCAAAACTAACTAAACTAACTCCTAGTGCTAAATGAAAATTTAAAAAAATAGTTTAAAGAATTGTAAACCAGTGGTTTTTGTTGTTGTGAAACTGAACATTAATTAAATTGTGACATCAAATAAGAGTGCAAAGCATTACAGCAATTTTTTATGGTTCCACAAAAGTATTGAAATTCTGATTAATTGTAAAAACTATATATATATATAAGCATAAAACATGTAAATAAAATAACTCAGCTGCCACATACCATTTTCAGATCTTGTGTTGTATCCCTCCACTTTTTTATCTCTCTCCGATACTTTCCATAACTTGATAGTTTTATCATTTGTGGATAGGAGAAAATGGGCAGGATTTCTTCTTTTTAACCACCTGATTTTGTTTATCTTTTCTTCAATTTCCAAACTTTTTAGATAATCGAATTCAGGTTCATGACTCTGAAAAGTGGAATAAACATTATAGTCACCTCGCCTTGGAATTGCACTCTTGGACAACGGATCACGCTGAAAAATAACCACACGACCTCCTTTGTCTCCTGTTGCAAGCAGCTCTCCATCGTGGTTAAATTCAACACATGATATTATATCTGCTTCTGTAACATCATCATCTAGCGTTCCTTTAACTTGTGAAAAGCACCACTGGATTTCTCCATTCCCTAAAACACAAAAAACACACTTTGCAATAATAATTCTGAAACGGCATTGATTGCAAATTTCATACAACCCCTCAATGAAACTTTGAGATGTGATAGCAATATCCTGCCCTGTTAGATTGGTCTTATTGAGTTACGCTAAAAACCAAATAACCCTGAACTAGTGGATCATAATATACCATACAACATGCTCTCCTAGTTGCTTTACCTTTTCTATTGAACACAGTAGAAATAGTCTCAACCATTCTATATGTGAAAGCAGTCTTACTGCCAAAGCCAAATAAGTGAATTTAAACTCTCCCTTGTAACAAATTAAAAACAATTCAAACTTATACTTTTTAACTCTTGTCTTTCACCGAATTTAGAAGTTATATGAAGTTAGTTAAGTTATTGTACTAACCACAGTGAAAAAATCACGTTTTGTTACTGGCAAAAGAAATTTTATTCTACATTATACAAGACAAAATATTATCACATTCTAAACTAAAATTTACAGTTCCTTAAAGCCATTTTTTAGAACTGTGGTAATTATGGCACCTACATTAAAAACAATGTTATTATTTTTACAGATGTCGGGATACTATTATACTTAAGATAATTATAATACCCTAATAAAAGTTACTTTATTATGTCACCTATATTCTTGAGATTTGTCATAACATTTTTTGCTTTGTAAAAATGATGTTGATACCCATCAGCTTTCCTATCTAGTGCTTGTCGTCATTTGAAAACTAAAACTTTAAGATCTTGTGAAGAGATTGATGGTGAATTTGAAACCTGGTTAACAAATTAGATGAAATACACAATTGAGAAAAACAAAAATAATGGTAAATTTATAAAAATAGTTTAATAAATAAAAAACCTGCTGTTCAATTCTGAATGTAGAATCACGATAAAAACTTTTTAAAGTATATATATCAAAGACAAGTGAAGTTTCAACGAAACCCATTTGAAAATCAAGAATTCAATACAATACACAATTGATGTACATAATAAAAAAAATACAGAAAAACTACATTTAAACCAACACGCGTTGGGTGCTGAAGCGTCTTGAAGAAAATTAACTTTTACCTTACATGAATTATTTTTCGTTTAAAGCTCTAACGCGATATTTAAACACATAAAAATCACTGTTTACGATATGCGACGAAATCGCAACACGACTTACCGGCCATACTAATCTTAACGCGACTCGCAGGCGAGCTTTCTGAAATACGGGAACGTTTTACAGCTTCCTCTCCAACTTTTCCGATAATTAGTCGTTTCGGATACTTCATCAGCAAAATCCTGATGAAAGTTAAGAATATCACATTTACTACAGACAAACTTCACCATTTATTTGTCAATCATAGCACATCAAAAGACGAAGTACTTTCCCCTTTCTTGCTTACATCCATAGAACACAGTACAAATTACCGTTGTTTGAATTCCATGAAACAAGCCTTTTTTCATCTACACGCATGACCACAAATGTTCTAACCAAAATTTACCTCTGCTATCTTTGGCCATGACTAGAGTTGTGTTAATCGCGGTTGATTCGGTCACTTTCATTCAATCAGTTCATAGGATCGATTACCAAATCGTGCTTATTCGTAAAGATTCGATCACCTTTTTCACTCTCGCTGCCGCCCTCACCGGTCTGAAGTGAGACGGCGACCAATTACAGGACGACCGATCGACCGACCGTACCAACACAAGTCGAATTCGCCTTGCGGAATACGGTTCAATTGAATGGTTTAAGATTGAAATTCACAACAGAATCGGATCACGGAAAAGGAATGGGAATATTGTTATAATAATTGTATAGTATTGAGTTGAGGATATCGATTGGTAAATTTGCTTATGTGTGAATTTTTTTCCACACACGTATATAACTTAAACAAATTAATGTATTACTCGTACAACCCAATACGTAGTACCTCTTTTGATAAAATCATCATGCAATAAAAAGTAGAACACCGCTAACTATGATTCTAACTAAAACAGAAAATATAGACACAACAATAATTCAAATTCATATGATTCTGAATCGGTCGTTCGGAGTATTCGGATTCAGTGATTATTGTCGCTTATGGTTTATAGTTTGCAACAAAAAGTATTGAAATGAACGATTAATTGAAAAGATTCGGTCTTTTCGAAATTGTTCACTGATTGATTCGGTTCTCGTAAAATGAACGAGAATGCAGAACATAGTTGTGTATAAAAAATCATAGAATACATTTTTCCATGGTAACCTTTGTAGCAAAGGAGCGGCTAAGTCACAAGATACGTTTGAATGTTTTGATTGTTCTTTAAATTAAATGTCAATGTGTTGCTTTCGTTAGATGCCATCGAAAGCGACCTATGCTATACGTACTCTTGCATACTTTCGTATACTAAATAAAATTAACAATTTCACGTAATACTAACTGGTGAGTTAGCGCCTTGTCGTAACTCGTGATTTGACTGCACTAAATTTGTGTATTGAACCGAAATTATGATTTGTGAAAATTCTTTCGTTTCCAGTTAAAATTTCTGTTTCGATTAGTTTTTTTTTTAAATATTGAGTCGCAAATAAAAATACTTTAAAATTTTTTTTTCTTTTATTTAACGTACTATGGATATACTTTCTATAGCAGAAATTTCATGATCCTATTTGCGGGCCGATCTTGATTTCATCCCGTTTTCTAAAAAAACTGATTTCCCTTTAAACGACTTTTTTTACTTTTGGCATTAACATAGTTTCGGAAAAAACGTGGGTGATTAATGGTTTATGTATTTCTGTCTGATTGTTTTCAATGAAAATGCTGCAACGTGTCAATACTAAATTGCAAGAAATTTTTCAGATGACAGTAATTATTTTTACGTGCAAAATATTTATAATTTGTGCAAATATTTGATATTATAGTTGCACTAGGGCAGTAAAAATTGATGCGTCTGGGACGGCTATGTTATTTTCGTAGAGATGGGAATAATAATCTTCCCCGCATGTCTCTAAATTTCACCCACTAACTTGCACTTTGCTTCACTTTCTTTATATACAGCGCTCTCTACAGTTAGCTCGTTTTCCCCGAACATTTGACGAGATCTAGGCATATTTTGAGAAAATACTGTCCTAGCCAACCTTATTGACGATCTGTCAGCGACCATGTTGATTGTCGCAAGGTCGTTGGTTAAAAACGAGATTTTAAATCTCGTCTCTATTAAATTTTCTCAATTTTTTTTCATAGTTGATCTATAAGTTCATGTATTATAAGTATATCCAGTTCCTCTATCTCTAGTGGCTATATGGTTTGACTCATCTGTGTTTGACATCCATGCTAATAATACAGGAACTTTTGAGAAGAGCATTTCGCCAAGAGAATTGCCCAAAAAATAATTTGAGAATGCAAAAATTAACATAATTAGTATAATGGATTTTACTCAGCACTTGAAATATTAAACATCCCCCCCCCCATTCATAGCGCATTTTTGGTATTATGGATTTTCGTTACACAGAGTGACTGCGAGGTAACATCAGAATTGTCAAACGTCAAAATAATATAGGTGGCTAAAATCATTTTTATTATAAAAATAGATACTACTACTCAAAACTAATAAGGATGGTCTGCACAAGTTGTATTCAATCCAGACTACATAATATCGGTAGTTTGAAAATGAAAAAAAAAAAATAATGCATTAAAATAAAGACGCCTGATGCAAGATAGAAAAAACGTAAACTTTATTTTCGCAAAACATAATTATTGATAACATTAAAAAAATATATAAAAAACTGCCGCATATTTTATTTATATAAATAATTTCAAATTCGAGATCTTTTGTTGCTCCCATTTGTATCAAATAGTTTTCTTACAAAATATACTTGAATACAAACTGTTGCTATTATAACCACAATTTGAATTAGAGACCATCGTACAACATATGAATTATTTCCTTGTAACAGATTATAATCCCAAGCCTCTCTGCCTCTTGAATGGTGTTGAAATTGCAGCATATGATTTATGTTTCTCTCCACTTCCATGATGGATGACTGTAACAATATAATGTCAATATGATAAATACATGTCTGACTACATAACATGGCGCAATCCCCATAAGGGCAGATTATATTCTCCAATTATGCTCAGTTTTCAAAAGACTTTGAAAGTTTTTGCAAAAAAAAAAACGTTTTTTACACAAAAACATTTAGCCGATTTTGAAAACTTACTGTCGTGACCACAGATTTCTTTTAACATAGTCACAAATAATTTTTTGTTTAAATGATGTTCCAGAAATACAATAAAATAAATCTTGTAATGGTTAGAAGCGGTTGAGGCCAATGCAATTAAACAGTTTTAAATTTTTCTTTAAAAACTAGGCAAAAACAACAGAAGCAGTTTCAGTCAAGCTCTAAAGAAGCCAACAGGATGATTGGCGAAACGTCAGCAAATTCGACTCAGCAAAAACCGAGGCAGGAGGAATCCGGACGTTTTATAAAAAGTACAGTTAATTTTGGTTGGTTCCGTGCTTAAATTTTTTTGCTAAGCGTTTGTCCCCTTTAATTTTGTATCATCGAGTATCTCAAAATTCAGTATTGGAATCTTGTGGACCTATTTATTACGTGGCTGGCGGCCGACCTACAGATGTTAAAGTTTTAAGATTTATTATTATTTTAGATTTTATGTTCCTCGATGAGGATATTTCACTCCAACTTTTACATTTATTGATTGCAAACACATTTTACAAGTTCATAAATAAAATCAATCGCTACAAACTAGTCTCAATTTGAGAAAAAAAGTAATAACCAATAAAAATCAAAATGGTTCAGGTAAAAAGTTATCTTACCGTGAAATTTTCCATATTTAGATTGAGTTCTTCAACATCTTTTGTGTATTGTGACCACAGATCATATCTTACGACAGTAATGTAGATATTCACTAATTTCCCAGCAAATCTAGAAAACTGATTATCTATACACACTGAATAATAGCCACCGGGAGATGACTGTTCTTGATATTCACTGTTTGGTTTCCACTGATACGGGTGAACTATAGTATTTGCCGGATTCCTAACAGCAAACCCTGCCATACCATCCCCACCACGAACTACCTAGAAAAGAAATGCTACGTTGTAGTGAACACTGAAATTGTGTAAAAATATTTTGACATCGCGCTATTTATTTCATGAAAAATTTCTTGGTGGTTTCTAGAAATACTAAAAGTTCTGGATCAAGCTTATTATATATTATTATCTTGATATCTATCGAACATGAATACAGATTCGGACAACTCCAAAAGCAAAAAATTTTCGCACAATCACAAGTAAGCTTACCAGGTGTAGTTCACAAAATTAGACAATTGTTAGAGAATGTTTTCATTCCATATATAACATCTTCCATTGATACGATTTCTCAAAGATAGTATTTGTCATTTTTTTGGTTTAAAAATACCATGTAGAAAATGTTGACTGTCTACCTGCAACACAGGAAAATTATTCGATAAAATTTGAATTGAATTGTTTGCTTTAAAAGAATTGTTTCAGACTCTACGAAATTAGTTAAAAGAAAATAATTGCTGACAGAAAAAATAGACTAGGAAATTGAACAATAGACTAAATAACGCTTTCGTTTTGATGTCATGAAATATCGTGCTAATTAAAATGGTGACTAAAAATGACACCTCGTAGTTTTTGCTAAAAGGATGCAGTGTGTTTATTTTAGAAAACTATTTTATATTTTTCTAAATGTTTTAGGAACCAGTAAAAAAGTTGAAATTGGATACATCAATTAACACAAATGTTGCCACAATCTCAAGCAATATCCTGCAATTTAGTGCAGTGGGATAAAATGGTGGTACATTCCTTAAAAATAAAAGGTTTCGCCCACTGATAAATTATAATTTTCGCCAAAACAAAATAACTTATTTACGTTCTTCACTGGCTTATCAGCCTGTATTATTTCCGGTCACGATTTGTGATTCACCGTGTATATGTACCATATGACTTCCCGTGCCTTTTTAACAAAGATTCTTATATAAAAAACCTTACCGAAAAGACTCCCATCCTCTCCCACTTTGGCAAAGGTTATAAGTTTAATTTTGGGCCGTCATTTGTGAATCATTTGTGTATACACCACACAACAATGGTTCGAGGATATTTTGCACCAAAGCAAATGCTTTTGTAAGGAGCAAGCGGTTCTGTCATAAATAGGCGAGCTTCGATACACTTGAGTCCCTTTCCTGAGCCCTAATATATGTGTTACGGATAAGATAACTCGTAAATGATAAATTTAACCATGTAACTAAAGTTATTTATAGGTTTTCTTTATTTATTAAACACTTCAAAATTTGCTTTAGCCTTTCATTTTGCCTTTTTGAATTGTTGACGTACTCTGTCTTGTTCTATTATAGTCTATCTAAAATTCTTGGTAAAAATATTTTCCGAACAGAAATAAGTGCAAATTTTAAATATACTGGGTGATTCAAATTGAACTTTCAATTGAACTGAGGTGGCTTTTACTTGATGAAAATCCATTTATCAAAATAAATAAGAACTAAAAGTTCAGATTTTCACGAAATTATATATTATGACATGACAATTGTTTCGACAACACCGTGTCTTTATCAAATGTGAAAATGTGAAAATCTGAACTTTTAGTTCTTATTTATTTTTAAACTTCAATATTGGAACCTCGGAAATGGAAAAGGAAACAAGATAGTCCAAATAGGGTAAAGCAGTATATTGAGACCTCCAATAACAAATCATTAAAAAACTGAAATTATTTTTGGTATGATTATTTTATTAATGCAGGTTCATTTATGTATGATTATTTATAACATAGTTTGCAGTATATAGTATAGGCCCGCGTATATAGTAAAGTAGAGTATGGTCTTTCATCAATTTTGGTTACATAATTTAGGCTAGCTTGTATTTCTTTCTTTTTTAGGTAACCATTTTCTTCAAACACAATGAATATTGTGCAAATTGATAAAATAAAAACCATACTTGTTTTGGACAACATTTTTGGTTCTCACATTACAAAATGAATATGGTATTTCCGTGAAATATTGTAACCATAGAATTAAGTTTCAATTATCTTTAAGTTTTAATGGTAAACTCTCAATAAGTTAAGATACCGATGTTTTCTAAATCTAAATCTAATAGAATTAATTTATTGTTTCAAATACTTAACGAAAGTAATTGCAAAAATATATAAAATTTTATATCCCACTTATAATAAAGTCATATTTTGTAATGGGGTCAACAATTTAATTCAAATTATTAAAAATTAATCAAGAAATCTTAATAGCGTTTCAGTTTTAATGATGCTAAGTTGTACTGAATGTTTATCGAACACGTAATCCCAAATGCATTCTGATTCTGATTGATACATTCTGCACAAACATGTTATTTGCTGTTGTTCCCCAAATTTTGTCACCTCTTAGTTATAATCAAGAAATAACTACGACACTATCGAGCTCTCTGGACCTTTCTTGTGTCACTAAAATGCTATTTATAGAATACAAATACAATACAAATCCTGGCTTAGTTAAATTATATTATTCAAATGCACAATATTCTTAGGGGTGATACGTCCAGTCCCAAGGTCTTAACATAAACATCGTTAATTTAGAGTTGATTTAGAATATTGCCGAGGATAGAATAGATACCGAAAGCAACTATATACAGTGATGATTATGCACCTGGATACTTAGTTAAAAAGCACGAGGAAAAGTAGCTATTATTTATGAATGGTATGGTACACAGGGAATATTGTGAAGAAAACTAGAGGGTACAGGTAGATAAAGAAAATTCATTCCTTTTAGATATCACTAAGTAAAACACCCCATCATTATTTATAGTAAATAATATATTTCAGAAAACCAAAGCCTTTTTCTATGTACGTATTATAAATATAGTTTTAGGTCTATATATAAATAACCATTTTGCAGAACAATCTAATTCAAGTTTATATTTTATTTAACCCATTTTAAGAAAATAGAATAATAAAAAAAAGAAAGCTTTTCATTACTTTTTTTAACCATTAAATTATTTATGTACATTCCATATTTAGGTCAATTTATTTATCTCATTATTTCTTTCAAAAATCAAATAAAGCGTTTAATTTTTCCAAAAATTCACTCCCTAATACTCTTTAAATAGGTCAATTGCGCTCCACTCAAATTGATACTTCTTTCTATTAACCTTGAGGCCGTCCTACGTCGTCGAAACCGGGCGATTCGCGGGGCTATGCGACTTTTTGCCGTGTTAAATTTAGTTGATATTCGCAAAAGCATGGCAAGTGTTTTATACCGATTCGTTTTGGCAAACTGTAGAACTTTGTATAATGCCAGCGCATAATGCGTAGTTTGTTTATAATATAGAAAAAAGTGAAGAGATTACTTTTTTAAATATTATTTGGCACTATTAGAGTAGGTGAAGGGAATTTATAACTAGGTTCATTAGTATTAACTCATAGACACGGGAATGATTTAAATTTCAAGAGTTTTATTAATAATAAATTAATAAAATGTATATTTAAATTAATTATTAAATTAAATTATTAAAATTAAATATATTTAAAACATCATCGACAGTTTCCTTGCCGCGAGTCAATTTGAAAGTTTTTGCTATTTCAGTCACAAGTCGAGAGCGATAGGATGTTTTTGGTATATATAAAACTGATTGTATTTTGATGTTTGTTAGTTTTGGTTGATTTCAAAATTAAATTTCGCATAGGCAACGGAGTCATAGTTTTAATTTATTAAACTTTTATGATGTTTCTTGTGTTAATTTTTGTAACCCATAAGCAAACTAAAGTGTACTGAATACAAATTGTTTTGCAACTAGAACAACAACAAAAATAGTTAATAAATGAAGTTTCACTTTCAACCCGGTGTACCTTTTTAACGATTAACATTTGCCACCACATGTATTGACCAAATCTAATTTTGATTTATATCACCTGTGTTGCTCTATGGCGGAAAAAGAGTTTGAGCATAAAATATAGTCTTAACTGTTCTTTATTTTTGTCATTAATTTACTACAATCCATGCGCGAATTTACCATAAACGGCCTACGTTTGAAATCAAATAAATAACTTACACACCTTCTTTTCTCTTTTGCATCAAAATTTAAAAAGTTGTTTTTTTTTCTCGGTACCATTTTAAAAATTAGACACAAAAATTCTTTACCTGAAAACTAACATAAAACGTTGCTCCCGGGTTAACATATTGAAAGTAACAATCTTCTTTTCCAGGATCTATGTGCACTTTATAATCCATTGCTACTGCCGGTAAGTTCTCGTACCATTGTCCTGGCGCTTCCGTGCCATAAATGCATTTGAAAAATACGGTTAAAAGTGTAATCGTTATTAACATAATAAACTATTCGCTCTTGGGAACCAAGATGTACGACCTGTATGAAGATAAATAAAAGAACACACGTACCATGGCTATTGTCATTGCGCATAGAAAAGGGGAAAGAGAGAAGAGAGTTTTAACATGGTTTACAATATTACTTTGGGCATTTGCCCACTACCGAACCCATCGTCTAATTACAGGGTTAGTTTTCTTTGGGCCATATGCAATTTATTTGTAGAGATATTGATAGAAATTCATGACTGACACCATATAAGCAAAGTTATCTTTAATTTGAAACGAAATCGTATTTTATTAAATTTTATGCAGAAGTCTTTTGTTTAATTTTTATAATGAGGTTAATTGAGGAAAAGTCCACAGAATCTCGAGATTCCACTAGTCGTTTAAAGCCGTATTTTCGTGACCAACAAATCATTCGTTTAAGAGGGTCGGTAACCTTTGTGGTTGGCCAGAATTGCTCTTTTGTGTACCGCTCTCAGGATATCATATATACATAAAATAAATATATGTTGAGGAATGTTTCTTGAGCCTAGTGTCCCGACTTAAAAAGACTGTTAACGGCGTCCAATATGATGACGTCATTACTTTATATTTTTGGGGAAATTGTGAAAATTCTTTTCTTTAAAGATAGCCTCATGAAAAATAAAATAACATCACCATTATCAAATTCACCACTTAATTTTGAATCTCTTGAATTATGGACTAATGTATTTTCACGTTGGAACCAAGAAGATAAACAGTTTTTATGCCTTTTGAACTAATCGTAGCACATTCTAAATTGTTTTCAGAGACAGAGACAGAGACCAAGTGTATCCCAAGTACGTCCAAACGTTTTCATTTCTGTGGCAGTGTCAAAAAATTGTTCAACATTTGATCTTTTAATCTGGATGGAATAAAATAGCACAAGAAATACCAAAGCTGAAGGAAAATAACAAACTGGTCCTCAAAATTCAATAATACAAATAGAAAGTTGTGTATTATATTCAAACAAGTACTCTACAAATAATATAGTATAAAATTATGTTATCACAAAAACCAATCTGGCTGTTGAAACAATGGAGTAGGACTGAGAAAACTAAGACTAAAGAAAAAACTTGCAATTTGTTTGATTATTTACAAAAACCTCAAATTTCTTTCTGTAAATGTTCATCAAACAAATACAAAGCCAGTGAACTGTCAGGCCCATCAAGCAAGGTACTCAAGTCAGTGGTGTATCCGGACAATTGCCTGATGACATCCCTTTGCTCATGCATGAACTCTTCTTCAAGGTAAGACGCCACTTCCGGATCATGATTTTCTACTTTTATTCTTGTGGCCTGTTGGTGAATCTGGAACGCCTCTTTCGCCAGATTTTTCTCAATGTCCAGCGCTTTGGCCAATGACTCAATCTCATAAAGTTCCCAGTTGGGGGTTGAACTTTCCTCTTTGATTTCAGTGTTAACATTGTTAAAGTCCATATCGCCTCCACGTTTAGTTATGTACTTAATTAGTTCGATACCCTCATGCCAAAGAGAGTCGGAAATTTTTCGAAACAATTTTTCAAAACCCACACGGTTCTTTTCATAGTTACCATAATGAGTAGACATGAGTAACAGGTCAAATGATCTCAAGAAATGATGGTTAGCAAATCTTTGGAGGTCACTTTGGAGCCCGTCAATGGATCCATACTTGGCGTTGCAATTAGGCAATGCGACCACTGTAAATTGAAACAGGTATATTATAATTTCTAAATATATCAAAAGTATAAAAATTCAGGTTACCATTGTAAAGAATTTATTTGCAGTAATGGTAAAAACGTATATGGTTATTTTAAATCTTAATATTTGTTGCCTTTTTTATATATTACACACTGTACAAAACGAAATACATTTACACAAACATTTTATAATTTCAATAAGTTTCTTACAAAACTTCTATTTTTAGCGTTGTCGAGCAAACCAAATGCATGATAAAAATGATAAGTACTTGCCTATTCATTAGGAAATGTGCCGCGCTTCCTATTATAAGAATAATAAACGCCGGCCATATTTCAGAAACTAAAATCTTACATTTTAATGGGAAAACATTCTAAAATGAACTTAAAGACATCACAAGAAAACATTACATTACAATTGCGGAAAAATTTCTTATGGCCGATGGCTAATCTAATTATTTTCTCTGAAGGAAAAATTGCGTTTAAGGGTTTCTAAATGATGAATGGTGTTTCTTTTGTACTGGCCACGTAGTATAACGCGATTTCCTTAGGCGATTTCTAGCAATTTTCAAATCAAGTCAAGTCAAAGTCACACATCATTAGACCGATATCAAACAAACAAAGATTAAAAGATTTGGTAGGGGTAAAATCATACCAACTTTTTCATTTCAATTGTTTTTTGATACACCGTATTTTAAAAAACCATTTTGTTTGAATATTTAATTTGTTCTGGAAAGCTTTGTTTTTAGAACAAGACTAAACAAACCAAGTCTCTTTTAATTTTTTTTTAAATTTCAGTCAAACAAAAAACATTTGCGCCACTTAAACGATAATTTGAAATCATCTTTCACTGGTAGAGTGCAATTTTCTAACACAAAAAAAAAGAGAAATACATATAAATATTCGTGATTATAACCTAAATTTTTATGTGCGGTACAGATTTATTAATAAAATACTTACGTTGCTTGTTGGTGGTGGGTTTGCAAGCACGTACTGTATCTTTGTAGCAATAATCTTCAGAACAGCTGACGACTGCGAAAATCGCAACGAAAACAAGAGTGATGGTTTTCATGATCCCTATAGAAAAAAAGTATACTAATATGCTTGTAAAGTTAGCAAAAAAGTGTAACCTGGTATCTCGCCAGCGTAATCAAGAACAACCAAATAACACTTTTTCTAACAAAATTAATTGATGTACCACAACGTACTCTTCTTATAATGGTTTGAATTGCGTATCGGGATCTAGTCACTATGGGTTTTTCGACTTTATCAGCATGCGCACGATGTTGATATTAACTGTTCTGCGCTTGGAACAAACACTTGACGAGGCCGCAGGCATACGCGACGTTGTCACTCCTTTATTTAAAGAAAAAGTGTTATTAGGTTTACAAATAATTGCTTTTTTTTAATTAGCAGCGTGGGTAATAATATCCCTTGTGTTTATTGATATTCTGCTGCAAATGTTTGAATCAATACTTCGTAAGGACAAATTTTGATCGCTATTTCATAAAAAAAATACGCGTGTTTGGGACTATTAATTACAACAGCCAAAATTTCCACAAGGTCATATTCCTGCTTAATTAAGTCGGGCGATTTTAGCTGAAAGCATGGAAACTAATGAAATTTTTATTACATCTGGTATGTCCATCGACAAATTATGAAAATAGGAGATATTTCGTAGTATATTGATTAAAAATTATTTTATGGACATAGAAGAAAATGGAAAACGAGTAACAAAATTTGCCAAGTTATAGTTGTCCCCCAAGATTAGCCCAATACCTGACATAAAAAAAAGCTTATTGGCAACGTCGCATATTGCACTCCAAGCGGGCTAAGCCGCCAGAATTCGTCGAATGAGTAGAACTCGATGACTGAATGATAACAAATGATTCGTGTCGTGCGCAAAATTTTAATGTGTTATTTATAATAAATATATTTTCCGTCTAACCGCTTTGTGAATTTTGTTGTAGTCGCCCTTCTGCACCAGTGTGTGTAAAGGCAGGCTAACGAAACAAAGCTTAAAAGACTAACGGTTTTTGTGCCATCCAATTTTTTGTGAACCTCAAAACCGAAAATGAAAATTATCGCGGGACTTGTGCTTCTTTGTGTTGCTGTGACGTCTGCTCAGCTGCAGTGTAAGAATTCTATTTTAATGTTTTAAAATTTAATCTTAACCCTTATTTGTTTTGTTCACGTATTCCCGTAGTGGAAAAAAAGACGCAATTTATGAGATTTAAGGTCAAGGTTGGAACGTTGTTTTTGAAATAGTTTTTTTTGAATTTACGATTGAATATTGTCATTTTGTTATAGAAATCTATGGTCTATCACTTTGCAATTCTAAAACGAAATTTTTCTATTTTTATTTTAGGTTTGTTTAGGTCTTTTTGCTGTTTTTGTTTTTGATTCATTAAATAGCAGAGGATGGCCAGACAGACTGCTATTATTTGATTTTATTGCACTATTCCCTAGTACAAATAAATTATCTCTATTCCTTATCTAGTTAATACTCCAAAGTTTATTGTGATTCAGACAGATAAATGATAATAAAATTTCTGTTTAATCAAAATATATTTCTGGACAAACACAAATACATAATTAACTTAGAACAAAAGATTTTTGATAGTTGGACTCTTATCCAAATACTTGAATTTATATAGCGGCCCCTTGGTAGAAATTTGTTTTTATTTGCAATATTTGGGATGAAAGTTTAAATATGAACTTAACAATTAAATAAACTTATCTAGCAGCTACTCTGTAAGAAGCAGTTTAGTGATTTAATATATAGACCAAAATTGACATACATTTTGTCAATATTTAAAAGGAATGCTAAATTTGATTGTTCTTGGAGCAGGAGTACTTATGTTTCTGTAGGTACTTTTATGAGAATAACTAGTTTTGTAAATATCATCCTAATCGCAATGGTTGATTTCTAAGATATGACAGTATGCATATTTTATGCACCTGCTTAACTTCAGAATGCTGGAAATCACTCATATAAATGCTAAAACTTGCCAAAAATAATTTGTAGGCGAACATCGAAAGCCCAAAGTGCCAACTGATTGGCTGGATATGGTGGATCCCTGTGTGGAAAAAATGCGTTCCCAAGTCATGGAGGAACTCAAAGCAGCAATGCAGTACATGGCAATGGGGGCGCATTTCTCCAAAGACAGTGTAAATAGACTGGGTTTTTCTAAACTGTTCTTCGAGGCGGCCAGCGAGGAAAGGGAACATGCAATTAAACTTATATCTTACCTGTTAATGAGAGGAGAGCTTACTTCAAAAGTCAGCGACCTCATTAAGAGAAGCGTAAGTGATCAGTTTCATTTTCTTCGCCTAGTTTGCGTAATTTATTTCGAAAAATCATTTCATTTTTGTGTAGCTCTCCCCACAAGTATCCACATGGGATAGTGGTATTTCAGCTCTGCGCGATGCCTTGAAGCTTGAGGCTTCTGTCACCAAGAAAATCCGAGATGTTATTATCACATGCGAAAATGCTCCTTCCTACAATGACTACCATGTAAGCATTATTGTTTGTTTTCATGTTAATTTCACAATAATCACTCACAATTTAACTCATCCTGAAAAACATTATTGTTATATTACAGTTGGTTGACTACTTGACTGGCGAATTCCTTGAAGAACAATATAAGGGCCAAAGAGATCTCGCTGGTAAGGTGTCCACCTTAGACAAGATGATGGATAAACATGGTGCCCTGGGAGAATATCTCTTTGACAAAAAATTGCTCAGCGGAGATTTGTAAATCCACATGTAGTTTAAGTTTTTTGTATTGAAATAACTTCCCACTTACTTTTTATGTAAATAAAATGTTTATTTCAGTGTTAGTCTGGTACATACATATAGATACATTATTCCCTGTAAGTATTGATACTTCTGAAATAAAGTGATTCATTTTTGATGTGAGAATTTGAAACTTAATGTAAAACACGAACCAATAATAATAAATATAATAAATAATAATAAATAATAATAATAATAATAAATATAACAATTGACTAATGAGATATTTTAATGTGTGCCAATTAAAACACTTAAATTTGTAATCCTATTATTTTTGCTTAATATAAAGTTGGACAGTTGTAAATTGGTACACTTAGTTATTTCTCAGATATATCTTATAAATATGACTTGGTTTTTTGAATATATAATTTCTTTATGAAGTAAACACAAGAAAATGGGGATAAGCTGAACTTAAAATTGTCAAATGTCGATTGTAAACAATTAAGGAAAATTTATGCTTTATGACAGTTTTATAATTTTTTATTTTCATATTTTGTTTTAATTTAATAGTAACAGTAAAATTCTTGAAATAAATTAAGCTACTTCTCATTAAGTGAAAAAATGTATCAACTTGTTGCTTATACTTTTTTTTGCGGCTTAGACTTTTGCACAGCAACACGAATACATTCGTCATCCCGTGACGCGTGACGTGTCCGTCCTAAAATTACTTTACTAAAATTACACAAATATCACACAGGATCGCTCCCAAACCTGTGACTAAAGTACCGAGAAAGTCCACAGTGGCTCACGAGCGTGGGTAACGAAGCTGATGTCTTAAAATAAGTGTCACTTTCCGTATTGTATTTTGGAGTGGGGAGTAGAAACATAACATTTTCTCAGAATGGCGGCTTTTTAATGACACGTGCCTTTCCTTACCCAGGGCCGCGAGCCACTTTGGACATTTCCCGTCAAATTAATGGTAGAAAAGTATAGTTTGCAACAAGTTAATAAACTCGCTTGTTAGGCACTCGTTCCGCTCGTGACTAAAATTGCGTTTATCATATTTGTTGTGCAATATATTATTATTGGAAAAACTCACTTTCTAAGTTTGTTTGTTTAATTTCTTGCTTTACTAATGCAAAGTCGTTCTCGAATCCAAATTTTCAATCAAATTCTATTTGTTCATGTTGAAATGATCCCCATGTATATCCAAAATTGGTTTCTCAAAGGGCTCATAAATTTATAAGTATTTTTGAATTCAGAATACAGATGTCTGTTTGGATGGTATTGTTAAAATCTAAGGTGGCGTCGTGTCTTTGTTATTTGACAGGAATCATCTAACTAGTACATGGTTTTAGAAAACTAAAGTAATAAAAAAGGAAATGCACTAAGTTACTATCTGAACGGTAGATTTTTAAATTATTTGAAAACCCTAAGTAATTTTATTTACTTAATAGCTTAATATTATATTCGATCAATTATTATTAAAGTATTTCAGATAAGCCAGATAAATAGGTCGATACTTTACTTGAGTGGCTGACTATTTCTTATCAGATAATTATGAAATTGTACAAATATTCAGTAGCTCGTTTGTTTAACGAAAATAGTGTTGTCAGTTTTTATAATATCTAAAGTAGACATAATAAATTTTGTTATATAAATTATATTATAAATGTAAAATAAAAGAAAAGGTTAGCGCAGGACACTGCAGGACAGCTTTTGGACTCACGGAAATACACATCTTATTACTAATATACGTTATCAATAGCAATGTCTCTGAACGAGTTTTAATATTTGACTTAAAAACACTTTCCATTGACACATAATTTTTTTCGGCGTCTTTCAAAATAAGTTTTTTCTACTCCCGTCTGTAAAATATCTAATTACACATCAATCTAGCGTGCGGGAAGTGTCACTTGACCACGTCAGTTTCGTTTCCCACGGATCCGAGCCACTTCGGACATTTCCGGGATTTTACCGCACGGATTTGGGAGCAATCGGATGTTTCCGGAGATATTTCCCACGCTTTGAATTTTTGATGTTAGTCGCTTCTGACGGTCATGTCAGTGAATGTATTCGTGTTGTTTTGCGAAAATGTACCCAAAAAATACCGTTTACCGCATTTGTTGCATAATATACTATTGTGTGAAATTTTTCATATAAAATTAACTTTTTACTGTTCTAAACAGAAATTAACTCAAGTTACCTACAATAGTATATTATGCAACAATTACGGTAAACGGCATTTGACTCACGAGTTTATTTGACACGAGCGGAGCGAGTTTTTAATAAACGAGTGAGTTAAAAAGTTTGCCGAACGTGTTGCATACTATACTTTTTCTACGACCGTTAGTTTTTGGGTACATTTTCGTGAAACAACACGAATACATTCACTGACATGACCGTCAGAATTGACAAACGTCAAAATTCAAAGCGTGGGAAATACCTCCGAAAAGATCCGATTGCTCCCAAATCCGTGCGGTAAAATCCCGGACATGTCCGAAGTGACTCGGATTCGTGGGAAACGAAACTGACGTAGTAAAGTAACGCTTTCCGCACGCTAGATCGGTGGGTAATTAGGTATTTTACAGACAGGACTAGAAAAAGTTAAATAATTCTCCCTATGAAGTGGTATATGTTAAGTTCAAAATTATTCTTGCTGTATTTTTAATTTTTGTTTTGACTTTGTTGAAACATGTCGGATTTTTGAATATTCTTGCAAAAAAAGCTACTAATTCTTCTAGTAATAACAGTTATTTTCGAATTTTTTTCTTTTCTTGATTGGTTCGCTTCATGTGCAGAATCAATTTTCGACTGTTTTTTCATTAAAACAATCGTCAATTACAAGCCTTTTGGAAAATTTTAATTTAATACAAAAAAAAACATTAGGAAGCTTTATGACATATCTATCATTTTGATAGCTCCTTTTCTTCGAGGCCCAAACACCTTGAATTTAGGAAACCAAGTAATACAAAATGGTTATCTTGCAACTGTAGGAGTTGCCATCAAAAAACTAGTCCACGCTATATAAATCTATTTAACGTTCGAATTAGTTATAATTTTCATTTAATTTGGTGTTTATTATTTCTCATGATGATTTGTCATGTATGTATGTATGTATACTACTGGATTATCACTTATAATTAAGTCTGATGATATACAGAAATGATTTTTCACAATCCCTTTTACGGTTCAGTCTCTAGTCGGATTTCATATTTTGACATATTTAGTTCATGGGTATTACTATACTTATACCTATTTATATATATATATATATATATATATATATATATATATATATATATATATATATATATATATATATATATATATATATATATATATATATATATATATATATATATATATATATATATATATATATATATATATATATATATATATATATATATATATATATATATATATATATATATATATATATATATATATATATATATATATATATATATATATATATATATATATATATATATATATATATTGCTATTTTCCTTCCACACATGGAACCACATAGGTACGCCCTGCCCATGCTGCTGATGCAGGAAGATAGGAAGTCCATTCGACTCGCTTTAAACCAGTGACCTAGAGGCATTCAATAACCAACATGATTATAGGCAATAAATATAGAGGCTAAGCACCGCTCGCTTAAACACCATTTTAAATGATATATCGAAAAAATTTTTAATTAAGGTAAAAAGAAAAAACTGCCATAAACTGTAATATTATTTATTATTAAGTTTCTTTCTTTTTACAATAACGTTGCAGGTGGTTTACAACTAACAACAATCAAGTCGGTCGACTAAGAATTTTTTTATCATTATTATATAACAACGTGAACAGCCCTTAACTACTATAGGTACTCAGGCATCTACAAAACGTGTTTTCTTTCTCTGTTGTTTCACAGCTTCATGAAACAATCACTGTTAGTTTAAGTCTATATTTAAATACAAAATAAGGCTTGCTTTCGGTTATTGCCTATCAAAATTTAATTATAGATGGTATATAACTCTTATTATTCCAAACAATAACCGAAAACGATTTAGCCCTAAACTTAATATCGAATCAACAACAATATCTACATGACAATGTTATGCGAATATAAGCTATTTCATATAACAATACCTCGATTATGTCATCACCACTTATCTGTTTGTTAATATGAAATTATCATCGCCCAAGGGACTCTTTCCAAAATATATTTTCTTTCAATGTTTTCGCTTTGTTGTTGTTAACAAAAAACCTAAGATCAGCAGAAAAGACGACCCTTGTAATGCGGTACAAAATTCACATAAAGTAAAAAGCAATTAAGCCAAAGTAAACAACGGAAACTTTCAAATAATAATAACTGTATTAAGGCGTTTTTGACTGATCCAAACATTTCTCACGTCGTTTACTCCAGCTTAAAGTTTTAAACTGATTAAGTAAAATAATTTATTAATGAGTTACAGGTTATAGGTTTCCTAGAAGTAAATTATGTGTCGTTGTCTCCGTAAATTCATTTGGTTTGTTTCTGACGCAATTTAAATGTTCTTGGCGTGTAAAGTTCGGCGTTTCGATCCTACTAGATGTTACGTTTTTATACAGTTTGCAACTCCTGCGTAAATTTTCCTTAAAAAGAATATTTTGCATTGAAAACTATCACGCCATGTTCGCTTAAACATTTGACATGGACTAAAATTAAAGCGAAGTTATATTGGTACGTCCTTAAAATATTCCACAGAAATCGATAACTAAATACTACGGTTTGCTCGTACAAAAACACCAGAGGTTGATTTAAATACATATACCTATCCAGCCACCGATTAGCTTTAGAATGATGCATTAAAGTCATTTTACACAGATTTTTTTAAACACCTAGTATATATCACACACCAGTCTAAGGACTACTATGAATTGCTTGTTTTTCTTCATAAGTTTTATGTTACAACGATTGGGCAGGAACATTAAAAACTTAATAAATTCAGTATAGTTTTAGGTAAAATCTGGTAATTGAAGAACTGGGCACTTAAATTTACTCGAAGTCTTTTTACGTGTTCGAATTCGATAATTTAAATTTACGAATAGTAGTAAAGTTGCAAGAAAAAAGACTGCGCCTCATAGCGGTGGTTAGGAGAGTTTAGCCATAATATGGTAACTGTTTCAGTCAAGAATTATTTTAGATAAAGTTTACATGACAACTTTCAAGTTTTATTTACTGAAATCAATTTAATCATCTTAGGGACTTAACCCACATTTCTAAAGTTGCGCCCACTGCATAATAGCCTCTCTTAAATAAATTCGTATAAGATATTTGATGACGTAATTGTCTGAGTATTTGCAGTAGTCCATCCAGATCCAAGAAAACCAAATTCATAAATAGTTCGTTAAGTTTTCTGCGACCACTTGATCATTTTGCCAAGATTTATTCGAATTTCGACCGGTATATCGGGAGAGGCTAGACACAGTTAAAAAAATGCTTGAAATATATGTAGAAGGAAATCTAGCTGGGGAAAAAATAATACACTCTTTTTTCCCAATCGATTTGAAACACCTTACGCGCTAAAAGTTTTGCATTGATTTGCATCTGGGCGAGTGGTCACTCGGTATCCCGTTATTACCTTTATTAACGTTGGTTTCACCCAAATTCCGTAAAATGAAGTCATTTTCGCTGGTAGTTTTGAATTTGGTTTTGCTTTAAATGCTTAAAAAACTTTTTTTCCCAACTAACAACGAAAAGAACCAACGCTGGATATTGAGTATATTGCGTTTTGCCAAAATGACACATTTAACGTTTGAGCAACAACGACACTTTACTATTATATACGTACGGTCTCTAAGAAGCTACTTCACGTACAGTAAGTAAGTAAAAGCATGCTCCAATTAAGGAATTGATACATATATACTATAGGATAAGCGATGAGGTTGTTTTGTCACGTTCGCCGATGAAAATAACTCGTAGCGACAAATTTCGAAATATCTGACCGTCAAGCCCGCGATTGAACAGGGCCGCTCCTCTTTATACAAATAATTTCAATAAGCATTTGCCAATAACTTTTTTCAAGGCACTAAAAACAAGTGAAACACAAAATTCACTAGCGTTTCTAACTTGGGACACCGTGGGGTACATTTTGTAATAGATTAACAAAAGTTTTTTACTTTTCAGTTTTGTAGGAAAAATTCGGATGTATTTACACGTGTTCTACAATTAGTATTATTATTGTCAGAAAGGTTTTTACCAACGAACCGAAAGATGTCCAAAATGACCGAAATTTTATTACTTGTATTTTTGTATTGATGGTTTCCAATTGGGGAGGGGGGACATCTTGAGAATTCATTTCATCGGCAGACATAACATCAACGGAAACGAGGACGGTGGTCAGAAAGCAGTGCGTTCTAGTACAACCTAAAAACTAAATGAATTATGTCATATTTAGAATGCGTTCCCTATTTATTAATATTATTTAATTATTCTGAAATGTTCGGCTCTACGTTTTCTTAGTGTTTATTAGAGTTTGATATAATACAAAAAATATAGTAGAAAGTACACGTGTAATTATAATCGTTAGAATGTGGGTAGAACGTGGTGTCTATATTTGCAGCATAGGAGAGTCGAGAATGTTCGGTCACATTTTTGATATTTTGTACTCATTCGAATTTGGTCTCCGGCAACAGCAGTTTAACAAATATTCCAAGCAGATTCTCTGTTGATGTTGATATGTGTTCGTGAGACAAACGTTTTTAATGTATCGGTTGAAGGTTGACTAAATTAATAAAACCGACGGTTTCGAGCTTTTCTGCCAAAGTAAAAAATATTTGGCGACATTGTTATTACTTCCTTCTTAAATGAATGAATATCGAAATGTATTGCCAAATATCTCGAAATATTTTTTTATAAACAGCATTTAACAGATACAATATTAAGCATAGGTATATATAGGGTATTGCTAATTTGAAAATTTTAACGTTAAAACTTTAATACATTTTTTGGAAAAAGGTAGCAGAGAACTTACTTACCTAAGGAAAACCACAACACGAAAACTTTCCTACAAATTTATTTATACGAATAAACTTTACTCAGGAATACCTACATTTTAAAATTCGAAAAATCCATAACTTTATGCAAAAGATACGATATAATTGGCAATATAGATATCTCGACATTCATTGCTAAAATATAAAACTCCAAAAAACTGACGAAAACAACAAAATAACTTAATGTCAGTCTGGTATGCTTACTATGTTGAAGCAACTAACCAATAATTAATGGATGACAGTTTCTGTGGAGATACTCTGTTAAGTTACCTAAATTGTTTTAAACTTAAGCCGGTTATGGGAAAAATTGGCATGCTCAGAGATAGATTCGTCCGTCAGTCTGCTTTGGTCGCATAACAAGCGCGAAAAACATAAGAAGCCAGCCTCCTAGTCAAATCATGTGCCGTGTTTTTAATTCGCTGAGTATTCGCAATCGGTCAAAGAGGCTAAGATTTGCGTGAATTCCATAACAAGAAAAAACTTTTCTTAGTAAAAAAAGATTACTTACAGCTTTACATTTTTTGCCCGATTGCATTTTGTAGGTCGTTAAAAAAAATACAAATTTCATTGAAAAATCACGTTACAGTGTATGCCATGTTAGATTTTTGAACGGTATAAATTGGGGGGGTGTCAAAGAGACAGGAAACAATGAACAGAGAACAAATATAACATGCAACTAACCAACGAAATTTATTGTGTACGAGTTGAATATAAAGTAGATGAATAAACATATGGAAATACGTAGTGTAGGTAATGACTGTAATCATGTATAATTGAACAACGACAATTATAACCAAGCGGAAGGAAAATCAATTCGAGAAGTAAAATTAAATTTTACACCACATTTACAGCCCCATATAGTTACTATGAAAATTATAACAATAAACAAATATTCATAGTTATAAGGATTTGAGTTACTCAAGCACGTGAAACATCTAATTGTACGTTATCTGTCTAGAAAAAAATAACACGCAATAGTAGTCATGGAAACCGTAATTGAATTGAATTAACGTATTTCCCAACACTGTCCTTTTTTTTATAGACAAACAACAACGAGAGCTGCCAAGGAATTTGGATGACCAATCACAATGCGTTGTGCAATAAGGAAAGTGAAGGATAGTCGCTCGAAAAGTATTAGTGTCAAAAGTTGAAAAATGAAAAAAACAAGGTTCAATTTCACGCTTTCTTAAAATTTTCACTATTTTGGCGATACATAAAAATAGGTTAAAAACTATATTTTCATCTACTTACAAAACCTGGTAACAATGTTTAAACGCTACGACAAAAGTATTATGACAACATTTATTTAAACAATTGATCAGGTCATCATAATAGATTTGTTACTTGTCAATTGTTTATCGCAGTCTCTTTTTTTGGTGAGGATTTGTATCTGCGTGGCCACAACGATGTACTAGCGCTTACAGCAGTTTTGGTTGCGTTTGCGCTTGGATGGAAAATATTCGAGCTAAGTTAAAGATGTAGAGGAATTTTGCATACGAATAATAGGAACTTTTTGTCAAATTTATTCGAGTCAAGTTGGCACTCAGTGAAGTTAAAGACGATAATCGTTTACAATTTGCGTTAGCTCTCAGAACATGGTTCTAGAAGTGAAATGTAAGGAAAACAAACTCTGCTAACGTATTGTTTTCTGTCACTTATGGATGTCCTTTGTTCTTTGTAATGAGCACTCTTTACAATGTAAGAATTAACAAAACTCAGGTACAAACATTTTCTTTAACGAGTCGCAAACGCCACACAACTTTTTGTAAACGTCATACTACTAGTTCAAATGGGTTAATTAAATTTAAACGCGGCATTGATAAGGGTTTGACTTTTACAACAAAATGTGTCTCGTTCATATCGAATTACGTCAACCCTTTCTAAATTATTCTGGCGCGTCCTCCAGAAACTTTTAGGTTTCGGCAATGAGAGTTAAAATTCATTTTATCTAGGTCTAAAGTTATGGTTGCCGGCCATATTAACATTATGGTAAAGTATAATGGTAAACTACGAATCTGAGATCGATTTTTGTCGATTTGAACGGAGGGTTTATATTTAATTTGGTCTCTATATTTGGTATATTGGCAAACTGTATATTTAATTACGGGTTTAGAATTTTCACCATACTCAGGACACCCTAACTAAAAAACACTAAGGCGGGGGGGTTGTGTTGTTCACAGCTATCTTGTCATTTCCCTTTTCAAGGTCGCAAAACACATAGCTACCTACACGAAATAAGTTATAAACATCACAGGTGTTACTTCTACCAACTAAATTAACAAAATGTTCCAGATAAATACCGGCTTTTTTCTGTTTAAACCTCGAATGAGACGATGGCGCGAAAGCAGATTTTTCGTCATTGTGGTTTTAAGCAGAAAAAAAACTATCGCATTCCTAAGGTGGTGTAAAGCCTAGAAGGGGGCCAGCGCCTTGCGGTCGTCCCCATGTTCATTGCATTACACATTTACTTTCGAGTTGAGACCTGAGCTCATTTACGCTCGACTCTATCGTGTTCTTGAGTTCTGAAAAAATGCACATAAACGTATTTACAAAGGGAACAGCGCTGCGCAAAAACGTTTTTCACAATAATTTAAGAAAAGTTGCACCAAATATTAGAAGAAAAATAAAAGAAGTAACATTATTTCACTGACATTTCCGTCCGTGGTTATTCCTACGTATTTATCTATTGGTTAAGGTAAATAGAAAACCCAGCTTCAGAGTAATGTAGTGGCAATGATTGTGTGTATAATTTGCTTTCTTCCAAGCGGTCAGTACTCTGAGGTCGATAAAATAGAGATCATAATTTATCAAATTATTTCGTATCTAAACCAGAATTACTTGTGGACAATTTATCATCAATTAATCAAAATTAAATAGCATCTAAACCTAATTTTTTAACTGAACAAATTTTCATCAATAGTTCCTAAAGAACTCAATAAAATTTATTTAGACGGTTTTTACTTTGTTTAAAGATATTTTTCTCTATTTTTTTTCTGTCAGATTTAAATAAAGTAGCCTTATGAGCCTCTTATAATGCCAAAATATAACAGAGGAATGAATATTGCCATAACATCTCAGCGGATCATTGAGAAGTTGTATGGAATTTACAGTCGGTGTCTTCACGTGAGTGATATTACATTGTTTTTCATTTTATTTGTAACCTTCAACTCGATATATATATATATATATATATATATATATATATATATATATATATATATATATATATATATATATATATATATATATATATAATATATTAATAAATTTTAAAAATCTAATTTGTGATATGCCAAATGATTACTACAAATTTGTAGTACTTCAGATAAAGTGGAATCCCAAGATAAACGTCACTCTGTACTTGATAAGTGGGATACAGGAAAAGAAATAAAATTTTATTAAGACTATTTGACGGTACGACTTCATGATTTTAAACAGGTTTTCGCAACATAATAATAATAATAATGTCATAATGAAAAAATCATGTTATACTTAAAGAATCGACTTAAGAGATTGGAATAATATGTTAATACCGTAAAACTCTTAAAATGCGTTGCTTTTTACTAGTAAAAGTAGAAAGTTTAAAAACATTTTTCGTCCATTTTGACCTAAGACACAACGAAGAGAGAAAAAAAATTTTCGGCAAGCATTATCAGGATTCCGATTATGCCTCCATAAGAAGGGTAGTCCGTAGATCTATTACTTTTCTTGTGATAGCAAGTATTCTCTTGACACACATTTTGGCCTACATTCCAAGTTCGCAAACAATCAAACAAACAAATCCGTCTTTTTAAATAAAAAATGTCTTATTGATTCCTCAAAAAATTTAAGACAGCTTATTCTTTTAACATTTTAAAATTTGTAAATGATTATACTTAATTCGTTGTAAATTACTAGGTATCCCACAAAATAGAGACAAATTTATATCTTTCTTCTTGGAAGTACAGATTCTAACCAAATTAAATAAAGAACGTTATTTTTGAATCGATTAGTATCATCACGCTGAGTAAAACAATGTGTACTTACCCCACAAGTAGATAAAATAAAAATAACTAAGAATAAAACAAAACTAAAAACATAATGGTTTATTAAAATAAAGTATAGCTAATACAGACAAGTGCAAAATAATAAACAACAAAAATGTGAAAAATACCTACACAAAACGATACTATAAAATGTGTGTTTAGTATATGGGTGTGTACACTAAGAAACATTTAACAAACTAAATAACAGCGGCCCGTCAAATTTGAGCTTATTAACAACAAGCATGATCGGCATACCATGAAAATAGAGCGGTACTAAAAATATAGTAAATAAGCATTTTTGACGTCATTCCTATTATAGACAGCATAACACATTGAGTCATTCCATAATTTTAGAAAGATGGACAAAAGTCTGACAAAAGCGCGAATATTTCAAGAATATCTGGATTTTATACTGGATTAATTTTAGTCAATCAAATTTTAGCTTTGCTTGGTAAGGCAAATAAGTTTTGTGAAAACCCAAAAGCACAATTCACTGAAACTGAGGGGAAAAGCTTTTCTTGAGATACTTGAAAATTTTCAAACTTTTTTCCAAAGAGACAAAGAACAGCGTGATATACAGCATAACACATTGAGTCACTTTTGGCAATAACGTAGTTATATTTTATAAAAGACCAATATATGTGAATATGTCGATTTTCGTATTTATTTTTTTATCTACCCAATTTTACATAAAAATGTTAAAACCAAAGTTTACGTAACATAACAATAATAGGATCAAAAACTTAATTTTATGTAAATGTAAAAATTCATAGTGCAGTTTAAACGAATCTGAACGGCAGTTAATGAGATTTTTTGAAACTTATTCTATTTTGACTACAATTAAGTGGAAATGTTATACAAGTGCTAACAAAATATGTTTTATTTAATAATTCCTAGCCTCAAAGCACTATCAAAAGCAAAAGATCCAAGTTTTCGCACTATTCATAGCGTCCTCAACATAGGTCATGCAAAGGGTTTGAACTTTTGAAGGACTGTAGTAAATTTAATTGTTGGGTTAATTATATGTTTTTTTATTATATTTTTAATTCATTTCACTCTTTTTTTTTAAATTGAAAACTTTCTTTTGCTGATTTTAAAACAATATGCCAAAATGTAGGGCGAGACACCTTCCATCAAAATAGCGGTTTTTCCTATAGACGACCTGAGTTTATTTTTAATGATGTATTGTCAAGCGATTTAGAATTTGTAACGCAATATATTTGTTGATTCAATAGTCGATTCTAAAAACACAATATTTCTTTTTAATAGCAATTCCTAAAAATTAGAACAACAGACCAACTTTAAATTTTACACCGTGATGTAAGAGAAGGCGCTTAATAGGTACAAAAAATGGCAATATCTTGCTTAATTTAAACGGTTAAGTTTATTTTGGTTTTCTAATAAATTTCACATATGCTTTTTGAAATTTTAAAATTGAATGAAGTGTCTAAAAATGAAGGGGCCTAAACCTATGACACTGATTTGATATGATTTTTGAAAACCGTTTCAATCAAATCATATGTATATATATATATATATATATATATATATATATATATATATATATATATATATATATATATATATATATATATATATATATATATATAATAAAATAAAAAATATTTTTTATTTCAAAGAGAGTAAGAGATACGTTCCGGACATGTTGCTTAAAATTGGGGAAATTAATTTTTACACTAACAGAAGCTGGGTGAAAAATTTAAAGTAAATTTTGGTATTATACAAGCGCCTTAATAAGAAGTTTTCTTTAAATCGCATTATCCACTTAGCATAAAAACATGTACATTTATATCGTATATTACGGTTAAAAAATCTACTTGGTCGGGGTACTTCTAAAGAGTGATTGTCTGGTTGACAGTCTCCAGCAATTCGTTGGAATTGAATAACAGTTTAATGTTATATTAGTACCTTACGAATATCCGAATGGCATATTTTTTTCATCTTTTAATATGTTTATCTAAAAAAAATTTGCACGTTGATAATATTTGCAAATCATTAATATTTATGAGAATTGCAAGTTCCTATGTAGAACAGTATACTCATGTCATAATGAAAGTTGAGATGGTTTAAGCTCAAGCGTCGATATTTAATGTAATTTGTTCAAAGCAGATAAATAGCAATCTGACTTAAAAAATTCCTATTTTAATTGTATATAATACTAATTATATTAATAGAACAACCAAATATCTTTATTATTGGTTCTATGATCAAAATACGATATTTACGCTACAAATGGAACAACTAAAAATTATAAGTAATTCATGGTACAGATCAATAATAAAGACATTTTTTAGTGGCCGAGATAAGAAAAAAGATGGCCGCACAAAATGGAATTAATTTCCTAGTTTTCATACATTAAACATAAAACTGTAAACGAAGGTTGCATTTCTAGCAAATTGTGCATAAAAACAAATTAAAAAATCACTACTGGAACATATGGACGCTTGCAAAAACTAATGTACTTCCCAAAGCTGAAACTGAATAAAATAATAATGTACATAAAACGAGTGCTTCCTTGAGTCGGTGCTTGAAATTGGGCTTAAAAATTTGGACATTTTGTCGTTTAAATGACAGTACAGCTTTTACGGAGTCGCCTAAACGCTGCTACGCACTCACTTGTCAGTTCGTCCTCGTCTTCCGCTTCCGCTTCTCGCGCAAGCTCCTCTGGTGTTTTCTTTTTCCGCATTAATGGATTTGGTTCTTCTACGATCGGGTCGACAACTTCCTCCTTTTTCTTTATGTTATACTGCAAGAAGAAAGGCAATTGTGCGTCATTAAATAGAAAAAAAGAATACGGTCAAAAAAAAAGTATGCGAAACTCGACCACCTCATCGAACTTTGTTCAGCACTTTGACTTAATTTGAGAAATAAAATTTATGAAAAATTGATAAAAAAATAGAACAAACTTGAATGGGCCACATACAATTTGGACAGCAAAATTGATCGAAGTTTTGATTACATGTTTTAGTGTAGTTCTTTTGCTAAATACTAAATTTTGATACCAAAAAAAAGTTAATGTTTTCATACGTCTTTTATATTGACGTTTTTCTTTAATTAAAATTATTTAATACAATGACGGAAAAGTTTATCTGTATCGGTAGGAATAACTTAGTTGAATATTTTTTAACGATTTGTTTGACTAAAAATGCCTTTCAAGCCTTACTTTTATGTCATGAAAAGTATTTCGTTCAGTACCTAAATAATTAATGCACAGGTCGCAAAATTGTTTATTTTTTGAATTTGATATAAATTTAAATAACCAATTTTTTCCCGTTATAAACATTTATTTACTTTATAGTTATTTAGATGAGATATATTTCAAAATATAATTTAACATTCGAGTGAAATAATAAACAAATGGGAATACAATAGGAATGTTAATGTCTTATTGTGGTAAATAAATTTTTACAGGGTGTCTGGTGACATATAACACAAGAGTTTTTCTTCATTTGTGACGATGCGCAGTAATCCCTCAAAGGGAGTCAACCTGACTCCGTTAGGGAGTCGCTATAAATTAACGGACTCCCTACTAGAGTCAATTTGACCCCGATTAAGACTTCCTCTTCTCATTAGCTGTTTGGGATCATCTTATTGATTTCGTTTACCTTTTAAGGATCGGTTGTCAACAGACGTGTTATGGAACTTACTTTCCGGACAGGTTACGTCAATAATTTTACAAATTATTTTATAATAAATTATGAAAAGATATACTACACGATGATAATATCATTATAAAGTTTATACATATTTTTTATTATCATGGATTATTTTATTACTTTTATTATTATTATTGTAGTATTTGATTCTTCGTGTTTTTCTAAGTTTTATATAAATGTAAATGTAATTTGCCAAACAATATAGTTATAATTTTTACAATCTAATAAATAAAGGTGAAACACTCAATTTCAGCTATAATTATTAAAACATTAAACTGAAAAATAATCAACCAAAATCTGATTTTTTAGAGCATGTGTTATTTCAAGTAGGATACAATTTAAATTTACTGCATCGACTAAAAATCATTTTAAATTATCAAAGAAAAATTTGCTGAAATTTTTCGAGATTTATTTGCGTCCTACGTGTTTACAAATCGTGTATATGTCCCTCCATTACAGAATAAAGAATGGACTAAAGTGGCTTCCAACAGAATCAAAAACGAAATATCCAATTTAATAAACATATTAGAGTAAATAGTTTTTTTTTTATTACAAAGCACCTCCAGTCAAAGTATACGAAAACATTAGGCGATGAAAATTACAACTATTTTTTATATTTGGCGCTAACACTGCAGAAACAAATCCTTATTTGTAAAATCTAAAAACATTACATTTACAATAATATTCCGACTGATGAATAAATATCGATAATTACACTGACAATACTCATAAAAATAATACCTTATCATGTAGCCCGCGGGAACCAAGTAAAGAGATAAAAAGAGTAAAAGGTCTGTTTAGGAAAAATCATTCGAACTCGTTTTCAAGGTCGGCAGGAAATTTTTGACGATTGAGGGTACTTGAATTTACAATCACAGATAATCGATTTACAGTGTTTGGTACAAACCATATCCTGTTGTTTTTAGAACAAAAAAAATAGAAATGCGATCGATACAGGTGTACTATAGGGCATATTTACTTTTCCAGATCTAAGATTTGATGTTTCGACTTATATTATAATAAACATAAATTTCTTTGCCACGATAACCTCAGTATAATATATCATGAAACAAATTGGAAACAAAATGAATATTGGAAATCGACTTTTATAACCAATTATAAAAAATAAAACAAATAAAAATGGCAATTTCATTTCTTTCTATTTTGATATAGGGACATAATTTTGGTGTACAATTTTTAAATAATTACAATTAGAAATAAAAACATTTTAGAAATATTTTTCTGGTTTGTTACTAATTTATTTGTCAATATATTTTTGAAAAATTAGTTATAATAGTTAGTTATAACAGAAATTGTATTAAAAACTTCCGGACTAAGCTATATATTTTATTGCTACTTGCAAGTAAAATATTTTTTCGATCACCAAGTGACGAAAGTCAAAATTGCATCAGTAGCTAATATCGACCAAAAACAAGTGACACATGCATGGTCAGTGCATAATTGTTTTTTTTTTGGTTAGTTGGAAAGTTGGAAAAATATATACACATATAATATAATGATAAACTCACTAAAATCACTTTACAAGTCAGCGTCAGAGTCAGTAAATTTAGTAGATTTTTATAATAACGCCATCATTTAAATTTTATGATACCTGGCGAAAGTTTTAGAAACACTGCCCAAGTTATTTACACGACCACGATGTAATCTTCTTTATTGCGTGACTATGCTCTAGGTAAGCCTCACTTTAATTATACTTATGAGGTGCTTTAATTTCCCTCCAGCGCTTTTAAATTACTTACGCAGCAGCAACGAAAAGATGTTTTACTAGCTCCAGTCAGGTTTTCAAACGAACATTTCCGTTAGTTCCTCTAGGCAGTGCAAATACATTTAAAATGTTCAATGACACCGTCTGCAGGGAAGAACGCCACTTAATTTTGGCATAGATAAAATTAATTTTATTAAATAAGGACTAGGAGAAAAAATACAAACACCTAAAATTAATTAATTGAAAAAGACGTACAGGTATTATTATCCCTATATAAAACAACAACCAACAAAACAAAAACAATGAAGAGAAACAACAACAAATAACTAAGCAACTATTTAAAAATGTTTTTAAGTAAATAAAATCCCTTTTTCGCTAAAAAATTTCATAACTAAGAAAATGTTATTCCATATCGATTATACGAATTGCAAGCAGTCACAATCGATTGTCTCAACCACTAAAAACTTAAAAAAAAACCATCAATATTCACCCATTCTGTCCTATCGTATATAAAGTTCGGCAAAAAAATAAATAAATAAATAAGGTCTTTTATTATAATGTCATAGCCATTTGCAAAATATAGATATTTTTTTTCAATATCTAGAAAATCAATACCATTTAGAAAATGATTCTACGAAATAAGAAAAAAGTAATTGAATGTTTGACATCACACCGATATCTTGATGTTGAAACAGCAATTATAACCAGAAAGCAAAGCAAGAAACAAATAGTTCTTTATTACAATACTATGCCTAATTAATTTTTCAGAAAACTAGGTTTCATAGACAAGGAACAAATTTATAAAGATAAAAATTTATTAGATAAAAATGTCCGACAACAAGGCATTGTATTAGCTGAACATTCAGGTTGGTTTTGCTACATATGCCAAATGCTGACCATGAAAAACTAATAGGCGTCTTAATTTCTGCTATTTGGTTTCCTATGTTTCCTTCTTGTCCAATTTTCTTGTCTGTGTTGGTTAAGGTTTTAGTTTTGATGTAGTTCAAATTTGATACCTAGATTTTTAGCCGCTGTGTTAACAAGTTAACAAGGAAATATCTGTTCTGTAGTGTTGTTTACTTATTTTTATACATTTTTCTTCCCATTAATTTTTTAAAAACAGATCTAGAGCCTGATTAAAACGTTTAGGCAAGAGGGAGAGAGAGACAGTGAGAGAAAGAGAGAGAGAGAGAAAGAGAGAAAGAGAGAGAGAGAGAAAGAGAGAGAGAGAGAGAGAAAGTGCGAGAGAGAGAGATAAAGTGCGAGAGAGAGAGAGAGATAAAGTGCGAGAGAGAGAGAGAGAGAGAAAGAGAGTGCGAGAGAGAGAGAAAAAGAGAG